GGTTTAGAGACATTGGTTTGTTGTTAACCTTTTGTATCTGAGTAAGTAGAATAGAGTATAATATTCTTCTATATGGCTTTATTTACAGTGTAAGTTCTACTATACTAAATAATGTTATATATTACATAGTATATTACTATATATACATATATATATAAACGTCGTCACATATATGCGGCATACATTACAGCCTCGGTATCTACAAACGAATTACTATACTGTAATGACACCAATAGATTTTATATGGTATTTAAAATAATAAGACATATAGGATCTATTTACCTCCTTCACTAGACAATAAACATTTCGTAAAAACTCTCTTGAAAATTAGTTCTTCTACTTACAAACGAATTAAATAGAGAAAGACAAAGCATCAATAGGGTATTTGACAAGATTTAGAAAACGATCTCACGTTATCGAGTAATGTTTATGGAGTCCGTAAATAGTGGATATTCATCATTCTGTTGTATATTTCAGTAAAAATAACCAAATCAAAAAGTCCACTTTCAAGTTGCCGCGAAAACGTTTTTCTGGACAATATGGCGTCTTACTAGTATGTGACGTCACACGACTGTTATTAAAACGTCAAACGATACAATGTAATGTCACTTTATCCGGAAGTTTAAATGCGTGTGACATCATTTTAGGTTCCACCAATCCGAAGCATTTTGGGTCACGTGACAATAGATAAGAAAACTATTATCTTTTTCGTGGGTTTTTAGTAAAATTATGAATATTTTTTTTTTGTAAAAATAGTAAAAACTCCTGCCAATATTAATTCTAAACATGCTAACAATTGGCATTTTATTTTTAATACCGTCAAATACCCTATTCATGAAATTTCTGAAACAAAAAGGTGAATAATCCATTGGCATCAACGAAGTATAGGATTAATAAAAGTATTCGTCATAATCATAATACATAGTTATTACAAGAGTTATACAGAGTATATATTGCTCTATTAATTTTGAATCAGTCTTATAACACTTAATTTACTAACTTACCATATTATATATGCATTATTTCGTTTAAATAGTACAGGACATATCTAAGCCCATCGCACTTAAGGAGTTTCAAAGAAATATTATACTAAGCAATAGGGGTGATGACGGGTACAGTAAACGAAATTCTATTTAGTCCGTCAGTTAGATGATCAAATAATAATGGACACGTATTTTTTCTTTGAGCAATCAACATATCTCTGCAATGTTTATATTATGTGAAAAAAGAAAAAATACGTGTCCAATACTTTTTGATAATCTACCTGATAAACGAAGAAAAAAAAATGAGTCATCATCCCTATTTTTGTTTATATATTTTTTTTCAGGATTGAACATTTTACATAGAAAATTCTTTATTTATAATGAAAGATATTTAAATGGTATTTGAGGTTAACTATCTATTTTGAAAAAGATACGTGCGACAGGCAATACAGCCACCAATGAACTTCGGTATTTACAAAAACAAATAACCATATAAAATTTCAAAATCAAAATACCTTGGCACCTTACTACATAAGCTACGCCGGAAATTAAATCTACGAATTGATTATATTACTTTTAGATGCATCTCCTACCTGAGATACATTCAACAGCCACCTGTCTTAGGCCCGTAATATAGAAAGATTCTCAGTGATTGACTTAGGGTGTATTCCGAAACATACATCAGTATATTGGCCAGTGGTAATGACGTCACGTATCCGACGCCATATTGTACTGGTATGCTACCATATTTTTACCGGGAAAACGAATATGACGTATGGCCGAGCGTGCGTGAGATGCATTCAATTTTTATTTAAAGAACAATAACGGAATCCGAATAAAAAGAATTCCTCTTAAATGATGATGTGAATAAAAAAATCTTCTTTATTTGCACTATTTTTATTATTTCATCGATTTATGACGTCAGTGCACTGGCCAGTATATTTCGGAACAATTCACCAGTATAGCGTCGATTCATGTCGTCATTAGCACTGGCCAGTATACTGGTTTAAATAACCGAATACACCCCTAGTCTTGAGCATAGTTAGAAAGGGATGTCGCTATATATAGCACATAGCGACATCTCTTTCTAACTGTACTCAAGTAAAGATCAACACTTAGTCGTCATTCTGTAATACGGACTTTAGTCTAAGATCCGAGCCTACATAGACCTTCACCAAGCTGATAATAGAAAGAAACATTTTTTATCATGAATTCAGTATATTAGAAAATATATTAAAAACGGGTTGCCTTAAAAAAATCCTGGACAGACTATTTTTAATTAATAAAAAAAATGTTGCAACATCAAAATAATAAGAAAATGTTGTCCTGACTTGCAGTATAAAACGTATAAAATGTGCAGCCGTTGGGGTTTCTATTATTTACCTGGACAAACTACTGGGTTGTGAGGTATAAACAGCTTTGTCGATGCCAGTAACGTTACCCAACGGCGCAGCCAGTCTATACGCTTTATACTTTAAGTCAGGACATCATTTTCTTTTTATCTTGATGTTACAACATTTAATTAAAATTTTCTTTAAGAAATTAATTAAAAAATATAGTTTGTCAAGGATTTTTTTAAGCAAGCCATTTTTAATATATTTTCTTATAAGTATATAATACATACATATAAGTATATTTTTATCATGAATTTAGTAAAATTCATTTGGTGCATTCAAATTCATTGCACTGGTGTAGTAGTAGTGTTGTCAATATGGCGTCGAAATCATGACGTCATTACCGCTGGCCAGCGTACTGGTGTATATTTCGGAATACACCCTACATAGCATACACAAAGTTGACGTCACACAGTAGACGTCTTCGAACCGAGCGTTTTGGCGGTAAATTCAAATCCATTAAAAATAAATTCAACTTTAATTGTTTTAATGGAGAAAAAAGACATTAATTTTAATTTTTCTGTTTAATCGTTTGTCCTAATCTTTGGGTTTGGTATTACTTGTGTCTTTTTAAAATGCAATGACGTTGGCGTATGACCTGTCTATATATAATACGTCATTGCTAATAGCCAAGCTAAATGCCAGCTAGAGATTTGATGGCATAACCTGTTGCAAGCCATTGGAGCGAGTGGCTAAATTGTTGCCGATTAAAACTACACTTTAATACCTTTGAATACGATTGAAATCAGTGAACTGATCAATTGGCCAAATGTGACACGGGCGAGGCACGCGGCCTAATTAATTACTAATTTAATAATTACCTTAACCCTTTTTGTTTCCAAGGACTTATTGTTTGGCTTATAAATCTAAAACAGAAAAACGCGGCTAAGCTATTTGGATGCACGCTTGAATATAAGTTAAAATGCTGCACCAAAAACGAAGGAATCCAAAAATATCTCACATCTAAACGTTGCATGGTAACATAGAACAAATTCCATTGGTTACTACATTGTGTGGAAGACTACATACGGCACGCTATCATATCAAGCTACACCAATTTCAACCGTTCTATTTTTTTTTTGCGAAGGAGTACTGTAGTATTTTCACTCCAATGTTATGATAAAGGGGAGTATCCATTATCCCAGATCCAGCCCTCCTAGCATGAGCACCGCGATATCATATATAACGCGTTTTTATCACGCTACATTGTCAAATTTCTATGGAGTTTGACAGTTCGACGCGATAAAAACGTGATATAATAAAAATTGTGGAGCTCATGCTACAGGGACTGGTATGAAAGCAAAGAGCAATGAGGATCCGTAACGATTTTAGTTTAAAATGCAGATTTGTTCTACGACAAATATTGACAAAGTTATGACCAAATTACTTAACGAGTTTTCGGCTAGCCGCGTGGTGGCTGTGACGTAACAGAGCTCTAGCGCTCGGGACGAGCGTGCGTAGAGACGCTACTGAAGTTAGACCAGAGTGAACCACGATCGAGCTCTGTGACGTCACAGGTTTCGGCCGCCGGTGAATATTGGCTACCATAAAATTAGTTATAAAATCGCAACGTTTGAATCGATTTCGATGATTTAAAAAGTACATTAATTAAAAAGCTTATTAGATCATTATACTGTTCATTTCGAGTTGATTTGCTGACCTAATAATGATCCTCATTGCGTTATATTTATTGATGGATTTCCTACCGACATTGCTGTATGACTCATGATAACCATTTCTGAATGATTCATCATAAAGTCGAGAAAATCTGTCTTCTATATACCAATATTCTATATTCAATAGTTTGCTTATTTCCTTTCAAAATTCTCTGTATGTAAATAAGTAAGCTTTCGATCATAATGTGACAATTCACAGACATATACACATTTTTAGATTCCTACGATGCATTTGACACTTCACAGTACGAAGTTGTCAAGAGTTCTTTAACCCGACTCTTGCTAACTTCAACACAAAGTTTGACAAAGACTACATCAATATAGCATAAGGACACGGCAGAGTTTCTATAACTCCACATTTGTTTTATTTGAATTATACAAGTCTTAACTTCAAATTGTGAGCGATTTTAGACAACCCAAGTCGCTTTTGTGTTGCCTACAAAGATACCTATTACCATCATGATATTTGCTTTATATCTACAGTTCTTTGATCACTAACTAGGCGTATCATATTCATATTCTCATATTTTTAAGTGATCAAATGACTTCTTCTAGAACATTCTATTAAGTTTGTAGTAATATTATTTAATTATTAAAGTCATCCATAGATGGCGTTACTGTTGTGTCTTATATATATTTTTTTCTGTGGCAAAGGTTGCCTATTTCAAAATAATATTGAACTTAAGTGTATTCAAAAAACAAACTAAATACCGTGATTCAGAACTTGCATAGATAAATATTAAACAGAACAGTAGCGCCATCTATGGATGACTTTGATAATTAAATAATATTACTACAAACTTAACACATTCATTGATGATATTCTCCAATGAAGTTAAATATGTCTATTCAGGGTAATTTCTTTTCATTCACTTGTCTTTTGTATCGTTGAAGTGTAGTTTTTGAAGGCTATCTCTTACTTGTAGTGATTGTAGAATTCATTATAACCACAATATATGGAGTTAAATAGTCTCAATCTAAAATTGTTGTCGAAGTTTATCAAGGTTGATATTAGTGACCGGTCTGAAGACTGCCTTGAAGTTGCATCCCCATACTAGTGTAAACCTCAAATGGTTAAATTCGCTGTTTCTTCTTCCGGCAACGCGTTGCTTTATAGAGTTCTGATTACACTATACAGTTACCACGATGGTACGCTGACATTACCTGGGAAATAAAAAGTAAATGTGTTAAAATCTTAAGATATACATTGGTATCGATTCTGACAGGATTCTCTAAACTTAAAACTAAATTTAAGATCAGTGTGTCCTTTTCATTCTGTATAGAGAATGACAGGGATACACTGTTGTCAAATTTAAGTTTAGCATTAGAGAATCATGCCAGAATCGATAACAATAAGAATACTTTGTACTGAGCAAAGGTGGTTAGTGCGTTCGGCTGCCATCGTTGAAGTTAAGCAACTTTCGCAGTGGTCGGTCATAGAATGGGTAACCAAAAATCTTTTATCTCGAGTTCTTCCGTGCTGCGGAAGGCATGTTAAGCCGTTGGTCCCGGCTGCATCTGCAGTCGTTAGCACCCGCCAATCCGCACTGGGCCCGCGTGGTGGGTCATGACCCAATCTCCCTATTCCATCCATAGGGAAGGCCTGTGCCCCAGCAGTGGGGACATTAACAGGCTGGTGATGATGATGATGTACTGGGTTTTTTTTTAACTTTGCTATTAATTCATTTTGTATGTTTTTGTGAGCCCACCAAACCTATTCCCATTGGAATTTTCTAGTGAGAATAAGCGCTGATGATAACCTAGGCTTATATTGAGATCAAATTATTTATTAGCATCACAAATTAATATAAGTAAAAATCCATTTTATCACTGCAGGCATGGATAGAATATTAGTTTAACAATTCTTAAATTTGAGGAGCTCGATGGCGCCAGTGGTAAGCGCGTTCGGCTGCGGTCGTTGAAGTTGAGCAACTTTCGCAGTGGTCGGTCATTGGATGGGTGACCAAAAATTTACTATCTCGAGCTCCTCCGTGCTTCGGAAGGCACGTTAAGCCGTTGGTCCCAACTACATCTGCAGTCGTTAGCATCCACCAACCCGCACTGGGCCCGCGTGATGGGTCATGGCCCAATCTCCTTAATTCATCCATAGGGAAGGCCTGTGATCAGGCAGTGGGGACATTTATAGGCTGATGATGATGAATTCTTAAATTTATAAAGGTTTGAGCACTGTTTGACAATATAACAACATAATAATTTGTAAATGTTCTTACATTATTCTTTTAATATTGTAGTTTTTTTCGCTCGTTTCTCTCCGCAGCTTAAAAAATACGTCCAATAACGAGTGGTAGGGAAAGAAATTTTTGGACGATTCAAAAGAGTTGTACTATACTTCCAATTTGAATAAATATATATTGATTTATGATATCTGATTGGCGATCAGCTTTTCCTGTCGATATATTATATACAATACAATACAATACAATACAATACAAAAACTCTTTATTGTACACCATTTAGTACAGGTGATGCAATGGGCGGCCTTATCGCTTAAAGCGATCTCTTCCAGGCAACCTTTGGATGGAAAGGATTAGGAGGAAGTTGGAGAGACGGCGGTGTAAATCGCTAGTAAAATATATAATATATTAGTATATACATAAATAAATAATACATTTATTTCCAACACTCACACCCAAGCCCCAAGCTAAGCACTATAAGGCTTGTGTTATGGGATACTAGGGTAACGGATAGAATACATATACTGTACATATATAAGTATATTTATAAAGAAATACATATTAAACATCCATGACTGGAGTACAAATGCTCGTATTCATCACACTAACAACTGCACCCACCGGGATTCGAACCCGGGACCTCTCGAGACGGCGACACCATGAAACCCGGCGTACAAACCACTCGGCCAAGGAGGTCGTCATACATACATACACGTATAAAAAATATATATATATACATACAATAAGTATAAATACAAATACATACATTGATCTAGTCCAGGTAGGAGTCAGTTGTAAGCACATCAGATATTAAAAGAAAAGTATAACAATGTCAGATAATGGGAATTCAGACGGTTTTTAAATGTCTAATTAGTTTTCGCACGTCTTATCGGAACTGGAAGAGAATTCCATAGATGTAATAGATGTACAGCTTGCACTACAAACGAACGAACGGTGGAGAAAAGTAGTGTCCGACCGAAAGTTCGGTTTCGGTTTCGGCCGGGTTTCGGGCAAAAATTAAGTTTCGGCGGCAGTTTCGGTTTCGGCCAAAATTGGCCGAAACTTTTACCGAAACCGAAACTGATTTCGGAAGTTGTCGTGCACGCTCGCCTTACTTCGTTTCTCGCACAGCATCCATATTCTATATTGAGAAGTGCAGTTTCCTATATTGAGATAAAAGAGATTCATGATTCTTCTAAGTACAAATTCAAACCAAAGTATTAATTAATAAGATTTACACTAAGAACTTGCGCATTAATCAGGTTCAGTGTAACTTCGTACAGAATATTGATACGGATTTGAGAATGTTTTGGGAGATAGAAAACATACCAAATTCAAATAAGCCTATTCTCACAAACGACGAGCGTATTTGTGAGAATTTATTTATTAATTCAACTAAACGAGAAATAAGCGGTAGGTTTTCAGTACGTATACCTCTCAAGGAGTCACCGAATGTGCTCGGAGACTCGTATACATTAGCAAAATAGGCTTTTATCACTTGAACGAAAGTTAGAACGTTCCTCCGAATATAAACGTAGTTATTGCAATTTTATGCAAGAATATTTAAGTTTGGGGCACATGATGAAGATAGACGCGCCCAGACAGCCTCATTACTATTTACCTCACCACGGCGTGCTGCGTGAGAGTAGTACCACCACTAAGTTGAGGGTGGTATTTGATGCCAGTGCCATTACAACTACGAATAAGTCGCTTAACGACATACAATTACCAGGCCCGGCATTATAAAACGATATTTTTTCTATTCTGCTGAGTTTTCGTCAGTATAAATACGTCGCTTGCGCTGACGTTGAGAAAATGTTTAGGCAAGTTCTTATTCAACCTGATCAAACGAAGAACGAAAGAAGCCGGTGAAAGAAGCCACGAAGAAGACCCGCGCATTCGAATTTTATACGGCGCACAATACGCATACAATTTTCTATTTTATTCAACTTAATGTAATTTATACGAAATTAAACGTCTTATCAAGTATACGAGTACCTCATTAGATAGGAGACCTGTCCCAAACACCTACAACAAAATTAATATACTGTTTCCATGTCATGTGCTAATTAATGCTGAATAATGGGTAAAATGCACCAAATTTCAGTATTTAAGGAATTTTAATCTTGACCACGTGAGTTTCGGTTTCAGCCGAAACTGAAGCCACGGCCGAACATTCGGTTTCCGCCGGAAAACCAGTTTCGGTCGGACTCTAGAAAAAAGTTATACTGACGTGGGGCGGCAGGCGGGCGAGTGCGGGTCTCTCTCGGGCGAGTGTAGCGAGTTGAAGCTCATGTTGAGCAACATGCCCACGAATGGGTCGGCCCGCATGCGTTGCTGGTTCGCTAGTGCGGCCGCCCCGGCGTCGGTCACAACGCGAGACTCTGTCGTGCCCTCCTGTGGACAATAATAATAATCATCATCATCAGCCTATTAATGTCCCCACTGTTGGGGCACAGGCCTTCCCTATGGATGGAATAGGGAGATTGGACCATGACCCACCACGCGGGCCCAGTGCGGATTGGTGGGTGCTAACGACTGCAGATGCAGCCGGGACCAACGGCTTAACGTGCCTTCCGAAGCACGGAGGAGCTCGAGATAGTAATTTATGGTCACCCATCCAATGACCGACCACTGCGAAAGTTGCTTAAGTTCAACGATCGCAGCCGAACGCGCTAACCACTTGCGCCATCGAGCTCCTCTATAATAATAATAATAACATTTATTTCAGATTATTCATCCATAATGGTTAGTAACAATAGGGTATTTGAAAAGTTTTAGGAAACGATCTCACGTTATTGACTAATGTTTATGGAGTCCGTAAAAAGGATAGGAAAGGATATTCATCATTCTGTTGTGTATTTCAGTAAAAATAACCAAATTAAAAACTCAATTTTCAAATTGGCGCGAAAACGTTTCTCTGGACAATATGGCGTCTTACTAGTGTGTGACGTCACACGACTGTTATTAAAACGTCAAACGATACAATGTAATGTCACTTGAACCGGAAGTTTACTTGCGTGTAATGTCATTTTAGGCTCTGCCAATCCTAAACGTTTTGGATCAATAGATAAGAGAACTATTATCTTTTTCGTGGGGTTTGAGTTAAATTAGTAAAAAAATAGTAAAATCCCCTGCCAATATTCATCCTAAACACAGATGCTAACAATTGGCACTTTATTTTTAATACTGTCAAATACCCTATTATGCTTACAATTCTAGTGTTAGTAAATTGAATTCATAAAATTAAATGAAATACAAAACAAAAAGAAACATACTTATTAATAATAAATAAAAACAAAATTAATGACTAAGGACTCACCACCGCTATATGCAGATGGATCTAGCGCATAAGCAGAGGTGAATCCCAGCGTTCGGTTCAGAGCGCGCACAATACACAATACAATAACGTGATGTGAAACATGTTAAACCAAAAAGTTGCTTTTGTAAAAAACAAAAAAGGAACTAACATAAAGAAAAGTACATTTTGATGTGAAACATCTTTTGGCGCACTTAAAACCGATTTCTGGCGTGGCGACGCTCGCCCGTCAAATGCAATATATACCAGTGCTCAACTACTCGCCGATCAGTACGCAGTGTTTCCACAATGAGGGGAAATTCCCCTTTTAAGGGGAAATTAGGGCCCAGAGGGGAAGAAAAAGGGGAAAGACATGAAAAGAAATTGCGGGAAATTATGGGTAAAGCATAGCCTAAAATAATGCGGCACGGAACAATTTTTTTATGGACTATAACGTGGACTAGAGTGTTGCCGTATAAAAGAAACTGTGGCAACACGTGCAGATTTTATATATTTTATTTATCTGTTTTAGAATAAGATAGTATAAGACCTTTTTTTAGTTACTACACTAGTGCCAAATCTAAAAACTACAGCAGAATAATTTTTGAGGGGAAAAATGTCCTAAGAAGGGGAAATCTGAATTGAGGCATGGGGAAAGGAAATCTTTAAAGTGGAAACACTGTCAGTACGGCGCCAGCGCCCTTCGAGACAGGACCTATGTCATTTTTTACCGCAAGCGAGCAATTCTCCGAGTGTATTTATCGTAAACCGGCTAGTGTTTCACATCTGCCAGGCGTCCCGTGACGGCTCACATTTTTTATTTATTTTTAATTAAAAAATTGGAAATAATACATAATTATTTTACTTATATTTAAAGTGCCAACCGAAGCAGTGAACGGCAACGCAGAATTTACAGACATCCATAGCGCCAATGAGCGATGGTTAAAATATTCCCTTAGTTCAAAGCTTCTGGGCGTTTCGGACGTACAATACTTGAGACTTAAGTTTTTTTTAACTAAGGAGTTCTTGATCTGCGACAGATCTCCTCAGATTTTTATCAAATTAACTTGTGTCCATTCCGCGATTAAAACAAAAAAAAATCATCAGATTCGGCACTCAAATTCGCACACAGAAAAAAAACGCCACAATAGTGATTTTACAGTGGCCTTCTGTATGGTCACTTCCCCAGACGGGTTTCTAAGATTCGAGGGGAAATCCGCTATAGGGCTAGTATAACCTGCCTTAATATATACGTATGTTAATTCCTCGGATCTTGGGCTCCACAGTCGTATGGCTGTCTCGATGCCGCTTGTCGCTAACATCACGACGTTGGGATGCATCTGTACGCAGTTCACTATGGACTCGTCAATATATGTATGTATCGAGATTTATATATCTACAATTATACCAGATCTAGGGCTCCACAGCACTCGCACGATGTTCTCGATGCCGCTTGTGGCCAACATCATATATATTATTTGACATTTATGTATCTAATAGCTGTCCCAGTGATCTTCGTACTGCCATAAAAAAATAGGAGTTGGTGGTAGCAGGGTGAAATTTTTTGTATGATGTATCATAAAAAAAAAAACAAAAAATTATGTCCAAAGAAAAAAATTAAGGATGGACCCACCCTTAACAATTAGGTGAATAGAAAATAGATGTTGTCCGATTCTCAGACCTACAAAATATGCATATGAAATTTCATGAAAATCGGTTGAGCCGTTTCGGAGTACTTCAATTACGCACACCATGACAAGAGAATTTTATATATTAGATAATTTATACCTCAGATCTAGGGCTCTACAGTCGCACGCGTACGCAGTTCACCATAGACTCGTCCATATATACATATTAACATTTATATATCTACTAGCAAACCAGTGAACCAAATGTTCACTAAAACCTGATTTAAAAAAAAATGTATTTAATTAATTGAGAACTTCGGAGATTTTGTGTGGTTTCGTTTGAAATTCGTGATTTCTCGAAAACCGGAAGTGCTACTTTACTCAAATCCGGTTTGTAGTCTTATCAGACTATTCTTAACTTATAACTTAAACATTCTCTTTATCTAAATATCTGAAATAATCTGAAACAGCACCACAGGCAGACGGACTAATAGATAAGAGATATTCATAGCTCAAATCTAGGGCTCCACAGTCACACGACGGTCTCGATGCCGCTTGTGGCCAACATCATGACGTTGGGATGCATCTGCACGCATTTCACCATGGACTCGTCGATATATACATATTAACATTTATATAACTATATTTTCATCCCACCACCTCGGAAAGTGTAATTTTGCGCTTCGAAATCTGGCTGGAAAATTCTATTTTATTCGCTTGAGCGGCAAAGTAGATTTGAATTTAGAACATCACATATAATGAGTACTCAATATAATTGTAAATTCAAAACGTCATTAAACCTATTTAATGTAACCTCTATGGTGCCAAATTTATGATTAGAACTTTTTAAATTGTGAAAAAATTTAAATTTGGAACCTTCTTGGTTTCTTTGTTTTATTTGCGTGCTTCGCGCCATTCTAGTTTTTCACGTTTTATTGCTTAAATATTTTGTCATTATAAATTGTTTTCTTTTTCATTTTGTCATTTCCTCGCTGAGGTGGGATGAAAAGTTACGTATTGCACTCGAGTGGAAAGATTTTTCACCTTGTGCTCGTTTGTTTCCCTCGCTGACGCTCAGGATTCTAATTTAGAATCACTCGCTGCGCTCGTGATTCAACTTTAGAATCCTTCGCTTGCTCGGTCATCCAAATCGAGCACGCGGTTAAAAAGGAACTTTCCACTCTTGTATAATAAATAACTATTATACCTCAGATCTAGGGCTCCAGAGTCGCACGACGGTCTCGATGCCGCTTGTGGCCAACATCATGACGTTGGGATGCATCTGTACGCAGTTCACTATGGACTCGTCGATATATACATATTAACATTTATATATCTATATTTATACCTCAGATCTAGGGCTCCAGAGTCGCACGACGGTCTCGATGCCGCTTGTGGCCAACATCATGACGTTGGGATGCATCTGTACGCAGTTCACTATGGACTCGTCGGCTCGCAAACAACGCACTATGTTGCCTGACTTCCGACACCAGATGAATAGGCTGCCGTCGTCTGAACTGTTGACAAGCAACGAATTAAAGCGAACGCGAGATGAGAGACATTTGAGAAATAGGTATTTGAAAAAACTATTGTTGTCGCGCATTGGCAAAAAATTGTGGTTTTTTTTTGGCATTTTTAAGGGCTTTTAGTTTCTTCGAAAGACAAGTTATCGAAAAAAGGAAGACATAGGAGCATAGAATGAGTAAAATTAAATTTTATGCATGAAAATCAATTCTTTAGTGATAAAAATCACGTTGATATGCGGCATCCGGGCTCAAGAAGCTGGCCCCCTTGATATATATAGTAGAGTTGCAGCGGGCCCAGGAAGGAATGATAGATAATAAATAATAAATATTTCCGACACTCACACCAATTAGCCTAGCCCCAAAGTAAGCACTATAAGGCTTGTGTTGTGGGATGCTAGGGTAACGGATAGAATACATATACTGTACATATATAAGTATATTTATATAAATACATATTAAACATCCATGACTGGAGTACAAATGCTCGTATTCATCACACAAACATCTGCCCCCACCGGGATTCGAACCCGGGACCTCTCGAGTCGGCGACAGCCATGAAACCCGGCGTACAAACCACTCGGCCACGGAGGTCGTCGTCGAGATAGATGAAGGTTAGCACAGGAGTAGTCCCAGGTCAGAATGATGGGTGTTTTGGCCCAGCTGTGGCCCCAGTTGGGGATGCTGGGAGATGGAGCATGGTCACAGTGCGTAATGCAAGGTGTAAAACAAACCCAGCTCCAGGACGGAATGGTGGGTGATGAATTGTGGTCGCAATTCGAAAGATAGGTGATAAAGCTTAGTCGGGAGAAGGTCCCAAATGCGGAATAAAAGGCGATGAAACGTGGACCTAATGCAGAATGATATGATACAACTCACCCTGCCGCTATGTATGCCGCATCCGGCCCCAAGAAGCTGGCCTCCTTGATATCCGTGGTAGTATTGCAGTGTCCCAGAAACCTCTGGGCGAAGTCTAGGGCGGAATGATGGATAACAAAGCTGAACCCATAGTGTGGTCCAAATGCAGTATAAAAGCCGATGAAACGTGGACCTAATGCGGAATGATATGACAAAACTAGCATCCGGCCCCAAGAACCTGGCCTCCTTGATATCCGTGGTAGTATTGCAGTGTCACAGAAACCGCTGGGCGTAGTCCAGGGCAGAATAATGGATAATAAAGCTTAACCCAGTGTTTTGACGTGACAACGTCTTAAATTAGGTTGCGGCTGGGAGTCACTTATGAAAAAGTGTAACGCTCGGTAACGTTACGATGAGTCTCTCGTGTTAAGTTTAAGTTTACATGTACAATGTTTTAGTAAACAAAATATATTTCTATAGTTAAAATTTGTGCAATTCTTATTTTCATTCAATTCCTTGTTCCTATTGTGCAATTTAATTATATTCATATCAATAAATATTCTACCGAGAAAAAGACGTTGTCACGTAAAATCTTCGCCCGTAAAACCGACTTTACAGGCAACCATTTTTTTTTTATCAGGTAATAGGTAAGCGCTTGACCATAATTCGCCTGATGGAAAGCAATATTATGGTCTACGATGGAGCGCGCTTACCTAATAAAAACCGGTTCACTCTTGCTTTGAAGACCGCTAGATTGTAGTGCTCCAAATTGTATGGTCCAAATGCAGTATAAAAGGCGATGAAACTTGGACCTAATGCGGAATGATATGATAAAACTCACCCTGCCGCTATGTACGCCGCATCCCGCCCCAAGAATTTGGACGCCTTGATATCCGTAGTAGTATTGCAGTGCCCCAGGAACCTCTGCCCTTATTCCAGGGCAGACTAATGGATAAAAATTACTTGGCGATGATATTTACTATTTACTTAGAAGCTGGCCTCCTTGATATATCTAGTAAAGTTGCAGCGGGCCCAGGAAGGAATGAATGATAAAGATTAGAATGATGAATGATGGGTGTTTTGGCCCAGCAGTTTATTATTTGATGACCCTGAGTAAGTTCTCCGTTTCATCATATGAAAGGGAATGCAACCACTGCCTAGCGACCGTCTTACACTTATAAAGGGTAAGTGGATATATGTCAATGATTTTGCTGACCCGGTTATATAACAAAGGAGCAATGTTTGAAAGGTGGCGACGAGACAATGATATGATAAAACTCACCCTGCCGCTATATATGCCGCATCCGGCCCCAAGAAGCTGGCCTCCTTGATATCCGTGGTAGTATTGCAGTGCCCCAGGAACCTCTGGCCGTAGTCCAGTGCTGCAGCGCGCAGCTGCCTCTCCAGCACGCTGGTGGGTTGTGGCTCTTCGCTGTCTGAACCCTGAGCTTTAACTTCCGGGACTGATCCCATAATAGGTACAACGAGATTCATACACACACGCCTCGGATACACCTAGGGTGTATTCCGTAATATATACCAGTTTACTGGATAGCGCTAATGACGTCATGAAACGACGAAATATTAAAAATAGTGCGAATAAAGAAATGTTTTTATTTACCTCATCAATTAAAAGGAATTCTTTTTGTTCGGATGCCATTATTGCTCTTTATATAAAAGAGATCGATATACTGGGGAATTGTTCCGAAATATACTGGCTAGTAAGTACACTGACGTCATAAATCGACGAAATATTAAAAATAGTGCGAACAAAAAAGATTTTTTATTCACCTCATCAATTAAAAGGAATTCTTTTTGTTCGGATGCCGTTATTGATCTTTAAATGAAAGAGAAATAAAATTCGAATGAATCTAACGCACGCTCGGTGATACATCATATTACAGTACAATATGGCGTCGGAATCGTGACGTCATTACCATTGGCCAGTATACTGATTCATATATAGGAATATACACCCCTAATCCGTTATCGCCCAAACTTTTTTATTATAGCTAGGTAGGCAAATGACTCTACTGAGGAGCTCGATGGCGCAACTGGTTAGCGCGTTCGGCTGCGATCGTTGAAATTAAGCAACTTTCGCAGCGGTCGGTCACTGGATGGGTGACCAAAAATTTACTATCTCGAGCTCCTCCGTGCTTCGGAAGGCACGTTAAGCCGTTGGTCCCGGCTGCATCTGCAGTCGTTAGCACCCACCAATCCGCACTGGGCCCGTGTGGTGGGTCACGGCCCAATCTCCCTGTTCCATCCATAGGGAAGGCCAGTGCCCCAGCAGTGGGGACATTAATATGCTGATGATGAGGCAAATGACTATACCCCCACTACTAGCCCCACCCTACCCCCACCTGATGTTAGTCATAAACTAAACAAAGAGGGGTATTTACGCTATCGTGGGAATGCAATTGGGATTTCAGTTAATAGGCTATTTGACAGTATTAAAAATAATGTACTAATAGTTGGCGTCTGCATTTAAAATGAATATTAGCAGCGATTTTACTTTTCTGACAGAACAGATAATTTATAACTTTTCTATGAAATCATTAAATAGAAATGTTTTTTTGCTCCATGTTCACGTGACCGAAAGCGCTAGGGATTGGCCAAGACTAAAATGACGTCACACACTAGTAAACTTCCGGTCAAAGTGATATTAAATTGTATCGTTTGACGTTTTAATGACAGTCGTGTGACGTCACACACTAGTGAGACGAAATAATGTCCAGAGAAAGGTTTTCGCGGCAACTTGAAAATAAAATTTTACATTTAGTTATTTTCACTGAGTTACCCAACAGAATTAAAAATATCCTTTTTTATGGACTCCATATACATTAGTTAATAACGTGCAATCGTTTCTAAAACTTGTCAAATACCCTATTGTCACCGATTAACTGACATTCGATATGGCGTAGAAAACCCAAACAAAGACCATTCTAAAGCTTCAATTAGACGGCTCATTTTTACTTTCATTATTATCGACGCTTAGTCGATGAAAAAACCGTAAGCTAAATGTTTAAATTGACGTTCATCGTAATGTACCTTGCGATGAAAGCTTCCGCACCCTTAGCACGAACCAATATCGTATTCGAATAGTTTGCGAATGCGAAATGTTATTGTCAAATTTTGTAAGGAAACTTGAACAGCAGCGCCACAACGGACGTAACGAGAACTAAACATCTCACTAAATCTAATTCAACTATTCAAATACGATATTGGTTAGTGCTAAGGGTACTCTTCTAATCATAGCGTAGTCAAACGCCTGCAAGTGTAATATACAGTAGACTAGCTGACTCGGCGAACTTCGTACCGCCCAAAAGTAATAATTTGCAATAAATTAAAATTGCGACTATAATTTGAGATTTAAACTATCCTATCTCTCAAGTTGGATCGAACTGCACATGGTGTGCGAATTTTATTATAATCGGTTCAGTGGTTTAGGAGTCCATTGAGGACAAACATTGTGACACGAGATTTATATATATTAAGATTAGACTTAGGTATTCGGCCTTTTCGGCTGCTTTTATTATATTGATTATATAACAGAAATGAAAATATGAATATATACATAATCAATCGATTTTAATTTTTCATTTTACCAATTAATTCTCTATGACAAAATATATTATTTCAGTATTCGGTATTCGGCCGAATAATATGTAGATATTCGGTATTCGGCCGAATACCGAATACTGAAATAATATATTTTGTCATAGAGAATTAATTGGTAAAATGAAAAATTAAAATCGATTGATTATGTATATATTCATATTTTCATTTCTGTTATATAATAATTTAAGTAGTCATTGGTACATAACGCAGGTGCATAATCATCTTCTGAATTGGAAAAATGGAGGATTCTATGTATTTGAATTATTGTGGTAATCAAAATTTAGAAGGGTAAGGTTCTCATTTCTTTTATAATCATTTATTAAGTAGTCATTGGTACATGAAACCGGTACATAATTAATTCATTTTCTGTATTAAACGAGTTAACAGTTTTTAATTCATTCAATCATGTGATGAATGGTTACATAATAGCAATAATTTAAAGTTTACGCGCCGTTTTTGGCCATATCTCAAAAGTTGGTTTGGCATTTAGCTGCATTTTGTCAGCTTGAGGACGGCAGATTAGAACAAAACAAAGGAGCGCGAAACAATCACGTCTGTACAAGTTTTTGGCGCTAAAATCCAGCCGAATACTTTTGCCTAATATTTGGCTATTCGGTCATGGTCCTCGCCGAATATTCGGTATTCGGTATACTGCCGAATATACTATTCGTTGCAAGTCTACAGTAGATATTTTATTACATTGCTTTTTTGCGAATGCCAATGGAATTCGGGTACACGACTCAGTGTAAATGAACGGAGTCGAGTTTGCGTAATCTTATTCGGGTAGTGAGGAGCTCGACAGCGCAGGTGGTTAGCGCGTTCGGCTGCGATCGTTGAAGTTAAGCAACTTTCGCAGTGGTCAGTCATTGGATGGGTGACCAAAAATTTACTATCTCGAGCTCCTCCGTGCTTCGGAAGGCACGTTAAGCCGTTGGTCCCGGCTGCATCTGCAGTCGTTAGCACCCACCAATCCGCACTGGGCCCTCGTGGTGGGTAGATCTATAATAGTTAATATAGTTCACCCGTGCGAAACCGGGAGGGGTCACTAGTTTAATATCTAAATATTTAGTTAATTTACTATTATTTACCTTCGTCCGGTTGTGGTTGCTCCATGCCTTCTAATGCAATATTGATATCTTTCTGTAGAAGGAATACCGCGTGACTGGTCGCATGTCGAGGGAATTTGTCCTGCAAACAATAACAATTATAATTATGTTCCTTCTTTACAATATTTTGTTTAAACCCTTTTCTCCGCGCTATCTCAAAGGACTTTTTGAGTTTCAACAAAATTACCTATCGCTTAGTTAGGTCATCAGAAAATCTGATCCTCTCAATGCCGCTATCACTCTATTCACCGCCCCTTTGCTGGACAAGCTGTTCATTCGGCTTTGGAACCCGTTGCCTACTAATATCAGAAGCGCTCAGTCTTTGAATATATTAAAGACCACCTCAAACACATTTATCTTTCGCACTGAATCTGATATGTATATGTATGTGTGTGTATGTGTATATATGTCATTAAATGTATTTTTGACTTAGAATACTTAGGTTTGGGTTAAAGTTGTATGTACAGACGTAAATATTTACTCCAAGCCATATAACACCCCAACCTACAGTCTCTGTAATTTTTTTTATACTTACGGTTGTCTGGAAAAAATCTCTCTTAGTGATAAGACCGCCAATTATAATGCTTTTGTTAAGTTTATTGTTTTGGTGTTATAATAAAGTGTTAATCTATCTATCTATGTTCCATATTCATAAGGTCGCTATCTCTATCGCTACAATTGGCTTGATTGTGGCGCCACTGTGACTTGGTCTTTTGTATGACATTTTTGGCGCGAACTAATCGAACGAGCATTTCAATTGATCCATAGACTATGAGAACATATGCGATTTGACGGATTACTCATACGTCAAATCGCCTCAGTGCTGCCACCTGTATCAATTATTCAATACCTAATATATATAATATAGGTATTGATATAAAAACGGTCCTTACCTTAAAATATAGAAGACATTCATGCGCCTCTCTCGCTCGTCCCAAATCCATAAGTCCTTTGGCCAGTCTGAAGTGGGATTTGACGTGATCTGGATCTAACTTTATCGCCCGATAGCAATCGCGTATCGCCGCGTAGGTATCGCCTGACCTAGAGAATCAGTCGTTTTACTTTAATATAATATTGTCATATAAAAAAAGCAAAGGATACAACGTTTTATACATATTAAGGGGACATTAAAAAAGTGCATCCTATTGTTATAAAAACTTTGATACAATGACACAAACAAGGCAATTATTGCAAACATAATTTCTTTTTAATCAGGTCGGGGTCATATCGTGAGTTGTCAATTGCGGATGTTGGCAGACAATTAAATTATTTAAAAATATTTTTTTTTTGCCTAATTTTTTTCAAGATTTTTTTGTTATTTAATGTCTCAGTCCTAAAAATTAACACAGTAAACAAACGAATTATTCGATTTTGCGAAGTCGTTCGAAAGTTATTCGCGTAAATACATTCCGATTCAATTTAACCGACTTCGAAAAGGAGGAGTTCTCAATTCAGTCGGTATGTTTTTTTTTTCTTATGTTGATTACTCCGACATTTCTAATACGATTTAAGTGATTCTTTGTATTTATTTTTTATTAGCAAATGACAAAGCCAGCATACAAGTCCATAAAGCCGAATACATAGTACACATACAAACTTAAGATGCGTCAAACAGATTACTGAAAACTTAAATTTGACACTGACATTGACAGTAGATAGAAAGAAAAGAAAGTAAACAAAGGTATAAAAAATATTTGTTGTATGCGGAATAGATGCCATTTGAGCCCATAAAAATTAAATCCAGTTTGGTCCAGTAGTTTTAATTTTATAAGCATTTTTGTTTCTGGGACGATGTTACTTTCGTAATACCTTGTTCATATGTACACCGATTACTTGAAAGATTTCCTATGCGATTTGAGTGATTCTATTTTTTTCGATGAGAGACGCTTGCCATTTAGCACCATAAAAAAATATTTAGTTTGACCCAGTCGTTTTTATTTTATGAGCATTTTTGATTACTTGGACAATGTAATTTTCAAAATTGATGAAATAAACATTTTTAAACAAAAAATAAAGCAGACTTCGAAATCCAAAATGACACTAAAAAGTAGGTCTGGTCTTTGAGCCAAAAGGTAAATAAACTATAAAAAGGTCTTTCTATAAGGTCATTTTATACACATAAAAAATCATAATAAAAAAAGATACATAAAAAAGACCTAAAACTGCACCTATTCCCAAACTTTAAACGCATTTTATTACTACGAAATTGAAAAGTAGTGATAAAAAAGCGTGTTTGCGTCTCGGGACGCACGACAGAAGTGATAAGTTAACCTAATCTAAGCGGCGCTGTGGGTTACAGTGAGAGAAGAGCCTGCCTACTGCTGCCGTTGTGTAAGAGGAAGGGAAGCCAGACAGACTGTCGCCGTAACGCGTTACGAAACAAAGCAGTTTAAACTCCCATAAGAAGTTATCATTTCAAAAAAAATACGAGCGAGCCTTACAGTGGTCGCGTATGATTTGAACATTTGAAACCTCACCTTATATTAGTAAAAAGAGAAATAAAACCTATTACAAAAGGAATAAGCCATTTGAACATTATGTTCTAAAATCAAATCAAATAGCGCGCGCTTCCCAAACTTCCTGTTACACACTTCCGTCCCACTACACGTAATCACTCCCACAAATTGCACGAAAGCGAGAAGAAATATGTTACACATCAAAAAATCAGTCCTTCCACTGGCCATCTTTACTCTCGATAAAAAAAGTTTTGGAAACATTGATTACACAAGTCTGCAAAAAAATAATAATTGAAAGCTGTTTTGGTTTTTTTGCGTAATTCTTATGTTTCTGGGTGTGCTGAATGCGAAAATGATTTTCATTCATTTTGTCGTAGAACGTCACGTTTTCTGACAATATAGGATTTACTTTAAACAAGTTATCATCTTTAAATAAAATTTAAAGGACTATATATTTTTTTATTTTAATAGGGAAGATGCATATATAATATTTATGAAAATTTTATCATTAAAATGTTAAAAAAATATAAAAGAAATGCCAATGCAACGTTTTTATTTTACATAATGTTGTTTTTTAACAATTATTACGAATTAAAAATACTTGAAACGGAACGTATTTTAAAACACCAATCAGCGTTTAGTGACGTCACTTCTGTTATGACAACTTCTTTGAGGTTATGGTTGTTATAGTAAATATTATTTTATGGGAATATTTATTGCGTTTTTTTACATTTAATAAAAATAAAAGTTGCGTTTATCAAAGCAGACTCCAGAATTTACCAAGAGTTAGCGTTGACATGGTTATAACTTTTTTTGTCCAAAGTGCAGAGTTTTTAAGTGTAGAAATGAAAGGGAACAAATTACTACGGTATGTAAAAATCGTAAATGTTAAACTTCGTATTTTATTCAGCGGCTTCTACAAATTTTACGGCGATAATGCAATCGGCTATGTCCAAATTAAAAGAGATGGAAAATTATGTACAGTAAAAGGTCGAGTTCTCCGGAGCATAAAGTACGTAAAGATGGTTATCGTGTTACAGTTATTTTAAATGAAACGCAAAGCTTGGTTCAGTCCTGCCAATGTGAATATTGTGCCACACATTTTAAACTTTATCTAATTTTCGACGTCATTCTCCAACTATAAAATTAAAAATATACAGGTACAAATAGACAGGTTTTGTAAGTATTAGGTAGGTTTACGTACAAGCAGATTAATTAAGCATATAACAAGTATATTCGCCGACTTACGTCAAAGTGATCTTCTCAACATCGAATAATGGTCTTTGGAGAATAATTGTCATTCTCTTCGCAGCTTGAAACCACTTTTTTTTCAGTTTTGGGTCAGAAGTTCCAGTCAAAAACAATTTATTTGGGAACTTTGTTGAAGTAGATTGGCACAAAACATGAGTCAACACGGCTTTTTTTCGGAATATTAGTGGTATTGTTATGATCACATGATGTCGATGGATAGTCCATTTTAAATTTTTCAAAAAAATATTTCGAAAGTCGAAAAAATATGCAAAAGTAAGTATGAAAATTTAAAGCCAGCAACGAACAATTACGACCAGTGACAGACAGGAGTGACGTCATCGCAACCATAGGTTCGTTTTCGCGCGAAAATTTAAATTGTCAATTTAAAACCGCATTTTTTCCGATAAATCACAATGTTTCAATTTTTTAATATATCTGTGGTTTATTCTACATGGAATTCTTTAAAATGAAAACAAAAATAAAAATATTGCATCTTCCCTATTACCTACATAAGTAAATTGATTTTTTTATCTAAACTACATTCATTAGTAAGCACTAAACACATTTCTTTTTCCCAGGGAGACTCTTGTTTGGTACATTTTTGCTTGTAGGAAGCATCTGGAAGGTCTCTCTGAAGCGTTTAACAGCAATCTGCTATCATTGCAGACGCTCCATCAGACCTGGTATCCATTTTTCTCCTTAACATCTCGGTGAAATGGTTCACCTTGTCCTTCACTTACATTTCCTACATTTTCTGGAAACTATTCGAGGTGGGAATGAAAAGAAAATATTCTTTAAAACTTATTATGCAGCATAAAGTTTAAAATGTTTTTAATATTTTTTGGACGATTACTTGTATTAGTTGGGGTCTTTTTTACTGTCGAATAATGTCTCTATGGCCTCTTTAAAATCAATCCACCCTTCTCTTTAGGATCCTTCATGGTTGTGATGATTTGTGGATCAGCCATAAGCCATCTAATATCTTATCCAACGAAATCACCCTTTTCAACTTTGCCCCTTAGAAGTCTGAAAATTTTGGTATTAAGTTTATCAAAAATATAACAGAAACTGTCACATGAATTCACAAACTTCCGTACAGAAGACATTGTACTAGTATATTGAACCAATATCTATATAACAATCTACCCAGTAACTTTCTATACTATTGGAGCGCGCACTTTCAGGTTACAACATAAAATATATGAGTTATGTTAGTTTAACTCACACAGAGCGTTCCTTATTTAGAAAGTAGTGTTAGTAATGGCCAGTGTACATTAAAAAAATGGTCAAAATAATTTTTAGCTTCTCTTTTTAATCCTTTTAGTTAAGCCCAAAATACTATTTTTATAGTATTTTTTTTTGCGTTTTGCAAAATAACCTGACGTTCTGGATTTTTTTTAGTATTTTTTTAGTCTTCAGAACACCTAAATACATATAAATCAGTTGAAAAGATCCAGACAGCATTTTTGTTGCAGACCTGTGTTATTGGTTTACCTTTTCGCTCAAAGGAAGTTGAATAGATAGTTACATTTTCTTTAGAACTATAAGGTCTATATTCGCTTACCAATCGCGTCGCATGAGGGCTGCAGCTCGGTTAGAATATAGAAGGGCACAGTCTGGACATGCGGCTATCGCCTCGTTATATAGAAGTATAGCTTCGGCGTATTTATGTCTGTTCACGTGGTCGTTAGCCTGTTACAAATGTTAAAAAAAAATGTTAAGAGATTACAGTGGTTTAGTAAAGTACTTTTTGAAAAGGTGTAAATCTCGATTTATTAAGTTTTATAACTAGTCTAGATGTTATGGAAATAATAACGGATAGCGTTTTTTACTTATTCAAAAAATGTTTTATGAGAAAACGATAAATAAATACATTTTAATTTATTTATTTTATTTTATTTATTTATCATCAACAAGTTTCAACAGCGTTTTACACAATATAATCTAATATAAAATTTTAAACGGTACTTTTGCCAATTACAGAAACTCACTTTGTATTCAATTTAAAAATTAAAATGATGACGTAGGGTAGAAATTACAAATTAACAATAATATAAAAGAAATACCAACAAAGATTCAAATTAATTTTGCGATAAATATAAATACCTATATAAATCACAATTATAAAAGGAGCATGATAACTAACTTTGTGTAGCGGCAATATTAAGTGTGTATGTTCAGGAAACCAGAAATTAATAATTGATTTAATAAATGCAACATGTCAATGAAATAATGAGTCTGTAACAGTAATGTCATTTCAATAATCACCAGAATAATAAATAGATTGAATTGATAAATAATAATATTGTACTAATTACTTAACTAAACGAAAAATTATATTAATAATCACTAGAATTATTGCATTAAAACATTGCATTGAATAGTCAAATAGAAAATAATAAAATAAAAAGATTAGTAATTGATTATTCAATTGTTATAGTGGACATGTTGACAGATTAATAATAAGTTCAATGGAGGGTTTTTAAATTATTTACTAATAATCTACACAAAGCAACCTTAAACGCATTTCTGGATAAATGGAAGATGTCGATTTCAGAAAAGTGTTTATTATAAGTTCTAGGCAGTCTTACGGTCATGTCATTAGCTTCGTAATTTGTTCGCACCAGCGGCACGTGAAACAATTGAGTGTGTCGCGTTCTTTTTACGGGGGCACTAAGTGTGATAATCCGGTTAACTAGCTCTATGCAATCCAGTTTTCCTGAATAAATGTCATACAGAACCATCGTGTCCCGCATGCGACGCCTGTCACTAAGCGGTATAAGATCGAATATAATTATGAATATTCTCGGTTCTCGGATGTGGTATTACACTTTTTTAATAATTTTACTCATTTGTCGCAAAACTCTTGCATCTACGGAGCCAGTTAAGAAACCGAAATTAAAGAAAAATAAAATCTAGAAGTGTTTTACTTATACCAAATAATAAACTTCATATTATTCTATGAATAGCAAAGACTTTTATTTTGTAGATATCCTTTTATGCGGAGTACCCTGAGCTGGGGTTAAACATTCTGGTGACAGACCGACGCAAGAAGTTATATTTTTTCTACGAATTACACAAAGTAGCTTTCTAGGACAAGATTTTGATTCAAGATTGGTGAATCTGCGTTTTTTAAGATATTTCACTGGAAAAAACGTGAGTTATTTTTTCATCATGAGCGAAACAAATGAAATTCTTTCTTCTCGGCGAAAATAAGCAGTATGTCGTACACAGAGCACACATACGAAATTCAGTCACAGGTTTTTTAAATTTTTAGGTCCCTATTTAAACAATCGAATTAATAAACGGTTGAATATTTACCCATTACCCAGGTTAGTATGTAAAGAAGTTATCTATAAGTGGCTTCAAGCATGTCTTATGGATAAACCGAAAATATTATAAATATACTAACTTGAATAATTCAAACTGATACATACACGTATGCTACAAATACTAATAGCTAAATACATCCGCACTTAAACACATATACACAAATACACACACACACACATACACCCACACATTATTTCATACATTACATATTAATTTAAATATTATACTCATAGATGTTTTAAAATGAATTGCTACCAATTGATCTTTTCATTTATGAGATATGTATTTAGTCTAGTTTAGTATTCTCATGTCTGTGGGGGATTATGGCGCTAAATGCTGAAATACAGGCATTGCCTAGATCAGCAGCCGAGGCTAATAAATTATACTTTCTGTATAACTTGTGCTAAGTTTGTTACGTAATCTTACTGTACTGATTTTTTTTGGTCAATAAATCTTATTATTATTATCAGCTAAAGAAAAAATGGGTGCGTGTACTTATGTAGGCGCGTGAGAGGTTATCCTTCTTTGGCATCGTTTAAAATTAGTTTTTAATTGCATGCAAATAATTAATTACAATAAATTAATAAAAAGTCTGGAAAAGGACACAGTCAATAAAGTTCAGTTTTAATTTAAAAAAATAAATAAATAATCAAAATATTCAATTAAAATCACTACTGAATATAATTTATTAGAACATATGTGATTTGCACTTGTATGAAACTCAAACACGTATTCCGAATATACAAACTAGAAACATGTGGATAAATATTATAAATATGAATACCTATAACTGTTACTTTATTACAAAAAAGAAAGATTTGGTTTATGCTTCTACTACACCAATGGTCAAGAGATGGCGCTGTAGTCTCCTGAATCGCGCTTTGGTTCCGTTGTTCCAGATTAATAAATACTTTTGATAGGCCTTCACAATGCAGTCGTTAGCACCCACTAAATAGAGATTCTATTTCTATTTTGTTGGTAGATTTTCCTAATGTGCGGTAAACACAAAAGTAACAGCATGAAGTTGGTCGCTTTAGCGACCAACTTCATGCTGTTAATATTTTGTGTTACAGTGATGCGCGCGCATCTTAAAATTTCACTCTCATCATTTTTTCATAACGCGCCTAAAGAAGTATAACTTCAAAAAGAGGAAGTTTTGCGTGTAGCTGTACCACAACCGCTTTCACCCAAAACCGTTTTGTAGTTTTTGCGTGGCTGATTAAAATATATATTAATAAAATGACACATGAATTATATTCGACGATAGTTAGACGAGGAGCTCGATGGCGCAAGTGGTTAGCGCGTTCGGCTGCGATCGTTGAAATTTAGTAACATTCGCAGTGGTCGGTCATTGGATGGGTGACCAAAAATTACTATCTCGAGCTCCTCCGTGCTTCGGAAGGCACGATAAGCCGTTGGTCCCGGCTGCAACTGCAGTCGTTAGCACCCACCAATCCGCACTGGGCCCGCGTGGTGGGTCATGGCCCAATCTCCCTGTTCCATCCATAGGGAAGGCCTGTGCCCCAGCAGTGGGGACATTAATAGGCTGATGATGATTAATTATATTAAGGATACATATTAATTTTTTAGATCTGTAGAATAAAAAAACAAAAATCATCTGTATAAAATGCCTTATACCTAGGTTTACCATCCGTCCGGATTCGTCCGGACATGTCCGGACTTTTAGAATATAGACCGGACTTTGTACCGATCTTTAAATTGTCGGATTTTCTAAATTACATTTAATAGGAATAATAAAAGTGCATATTGATTTAAATACCATACCATTGTAACTTAGTGAGTAATGGTACCGTTTTGTGACTAAATAGTCCGGACTTCTCTCGAAATGTGAGGACTTTTGAAATAGGATATTTGACAGTATTAAAAATAAAGTGCCAATTGTTAGCATCTGTATTTAGATTGAATATTGGCAGGAGTTTTTACTATTTTTACAGAAAAAATATTCATAATTTTACTAAAAACCCACGATAAAGATAATAGTTTTCTTGTCTTTTGTCACGTGACGCAAAACGCTTGGGATTGGTGGAGCCTAAATTGACGTCACACGCAAGTAAACTTCCGGTTAAAGTGAGTGGTTTGACGTTTAATAACAGTCGCATGACGTCACACACCAGTGAGACGCCATATTGTCCAGAGATACGTTTATCGCGACAACTTGAAAATCGAATTTTTGATTTAGTTTTTTTACCGAAATACACAACATAATGATGAATATCCACTTATTATGGACTCTATAAACATTAGTAAATAACATGAGATCGTTTTCTAAAACTTCTCAAATACCCTATTGATAAATGGTAACCCTACTTACACCACTTACAAAACTATGGAATATATTGTCGCCAGCAGTGTTTCCGGACCAATACGACCCAAAAATGTTCAAAAAAAAGAGCGTACTCCTTCCTTAAAGGCCGGCATCGCATTTGTGATACTCCTGGTGTTGCAAGTGTCCATGGGCGACGGCGATCACTTACCATCAGATGAGCCGTCTGCTCGTATGCCCCCTATAACATATATAAAAAATATGGATGCGTGTACTTATGTACGCGCGTGAGAAGTTATGCTTCTTTGGCATTAATTGCATGCAAATAATTAATTACAATAAAATAATAAAAGGACTGGTAAAGGATAGTCAACACAGTCAATAAAGTTCAGAAAAATTAAATAAAAATATCTAAATATTCAATTTAAATCACCACTGAATATAATTTATAAGCACACATATATATATATATATATTTATATATATATATAATTCGCACTTGTATGAAACTAAAACACCTGTTTTGAATATAGAAACTAGAAACATTAATATTATAATATGAATACAGTGATAAGAGGCGACGAGCGTGCCAACAGGCGCCAGGCGCGACGAATAGATATTCTATTTCTATTTTGTTGGTAGCTTTTTTTCGAAACTTAATGTGCGGCTTAGCGGCGAACTTCATGGTGTTACTTTTGCGTTACAGACATGCACGCGCATCTGAAAATTTCACTCTCATATTTTTTTCTTAACGCGCCTAAAGAAGTATAACTTCAAAAAAAAACTTACCGCTTCCTTCAGCCTTTGCACTCTCTCCGGCAACACTTGCACATCTCCCGCAGGCGGAGTGGCCGGCGAACGATCAGAACGGGCAGGGTTGCTGGTTCCGTTACTGGTTCCATTCCTGGGCCGTTGCTGCTTGTCCTCCGAGCGACTGCCGTGGTTGTGCTGGATAATGTAACTCTCCACGAGGACGGGGCGACGGGCGCCAGTTATGTCGAATAGATATACCTAAACAGAAAAAATTAACTTATTCAAAAAGTGTCAGAATCTCCATTAAAAAGTGTCAGTGTAAAGTAAGGTGCGTCGTGGGCAGCATCATAAAAACAGTTTTATGGAATAAATTAAATTTATTCGTGGAGACACGTTAAACACAAAACCGCCATTACACGTGAGAGTGAGAGAGAGAGAGAGAGAGAGAGAGGGAGAATATAGTAACAAGGACAAAAAAAAACTTGTTGGTGTTGCCAACAAAAAGAAATTGTATTTTTTTTAATTTTTAGCGGTTTTGTTTTTATGAAATGAAAATCCGTAATTGGCATTAAGATAACCTTTGTTGTAACACCTGTATTATATTAAGAAAATGCTGTGGATTTTGGTCTAGAATTAAATAAACAAATATTTAGACACGTAATTTAGAAAACCACAGCTCATTACAATACACCCTACAATGCACAAACCGGCGAGACCACGGGCCCTTGATCTAAAAAAATGTTTTTTTAACACACCAATTAGCCTAGCCCCAAATAAAGCTATTTACACGCCATACCAGCAACAAATAGCGTTTTAATCTCAACAACAACAACAACAGCACTAGGGATACGAGGACTAAAGTTCATCACTTTCATCATCATCTTCATCACCTTGGTCCTTCGAGCCGGATCCATCGCGAACACCAAAAACGCCTTCGGCCCAACAGTGGGAACATAAATAGGCTAATGATGATAAAGTAAAGAGGAGCGCAAGCCAAGCAACTTTCGCAGTGGACGGTCATTGGATGGATAACCAAAAACAATTTCGAGCATCTCCATGTTTTGGAATGCACGTTAAACTGTTGGTCCCGGCCGCACTGGGCTTGACTGAAGGCTTCTGCCCCAGCAGTAGGAACATTATTAGACTGATGTTGAAGAAGTACCTACCTGTTCAGAGCCCAAGTTGACCAGTAGTTCGTTGCCGTCGTGGCTGAACGTCACGTAGGTGGTGACCTTCTTTGGAAACGTCTGTTGATTGGGCTCTATGGAAAGGTGTCCTGTGCACACATAATCATTAAAGAAAATAGGTTATTTGAAAAGTTTAAGAAAAAGCTCTCACCTTAGTTTAGTTACTAATGTTTATGGAGTGTATGGATATTAGGTTGGGGAAAAAGTTGTTCGCATCATTTTATATGAAAATTCCAAACCTTTTTTTAATAAAATTTATTTACATTTAAATAAAGTTTGTAGATGCCATTTTGTAGCTTTTTGCCATCCTGTAGGTAGGGACATGATCCCATTGCTATATAAATTTTAGGGCTTATCCTCTATCTATCTCACTTAAAAAGAAAATTTGAGCACTTAGGTCTATAATTCAGGCCAGGAGCGAGGATTTAAAGAAAAACTCCAAAAAAGTTGAAAAAAAAATTATTTTTTTTGATGGTTCTGTTGGTTCTTTTAATAAACTAAAAAAAATAGTACCCATTAAATTTCTGAATCAGGTTTAACTGGTATTTTACTAAGCAAATATTACTTAGGCTGTATAAGTCGCAGATGCGTAAATCTTGAAACTTAGGTCGCCAGTGCTATTACAAATATTGCGATTCCAAGTTTTTCGGGAAATTAGGAAAATCCGTAGTAGTTAAGAGGATAAAAACCAGTTTTCTCCCATCGTCCGGCGCAAGTGGTTAGCGTGTTGAGTATGAGAACGCGACAGTTAAGCCACGGTAATATTATCTATACAGTATTGTGACTCGGCCCTGTCCTTGAAATAACTGCCTACGGCCGAGCGGGGCGTATCCACGCGGTAGGGCTGCCCGCCTACAGTATTTTAATTTCATCTTCAAAATTGAGTTTCTTTCTAGTTTTGTGATTGTAAATATTTTATTTCATATGTAAAAATAATGTTGTGAATGAATTAGGAAGTGTTACATAAAATACATGTTATTTCAGTGTAATTAATATTTAAGTTATAATTTTTTTTTCTTTAAGCATGTAACTGCTTGATTTTTAAATCTAAAGAAAATATAACTAGAAAACTTTTCTTTAGATTTAAACATCAAGCAGTTACATGCTTAAAAAAATATAACTATAATTGCTATTTCTTCTTTCAAATGTTTAATACTTGTAAAAGTGTTCATTTGACATTGTGGGTTACCTACAATGCGAAGAGATGGTTGCCTTGCAGATTAAGAATGGCTAGAAGAATTTCGACGGGCCGCGGTAGCATAATTGGTCAGTGCATTCGCCCGGATTGCGAAGGGTGCGGGTTCGAGTCCCGTCTGCTGCCTGGTCCGCGTGGAATTTTTTCTAGTTATATTTTCTTTAGATGTAATATTTAATAAAAAAAAATATAGATTAAAGACAGAAAAATATTTACGCCTCGACTGAGACGTACGAAAAGCTTTATTATACAAATTTAACATTCTATTAAATACGCATTCGTATAAAAAGTTTAATTATTGAAGAGTTCAAGCAACCAAAAACAGCACAATACCGACTATTGCTCTTTGCCATATTAAATTATGTAGGTATCTACTTAATTCAATCAAATATTCACAATACAAACGTTAAAGCACGGCTAACTGCTTAAAAATCAATTCACACCGTTTGGTCGCCGCTGCGGCGCATTCGCGACTGGATGCCCACCGGGTGCCGCGCGAACTCGAGTGGCGTATGTATGACACGCTTTCCGACCGTTTGTATGAAGATAGAATACTGTATAGATAATATTAAAGTGGTTAAGCGACTGAGTGCTTAGGAAGGCACGTTAAACCGTTGTTATGAACAAAAGGGAGGTGCGAGTAAAAACACTCGATTGCGTACCCATCGGGCTGTCCGTCTTAAGTTAGCGAATGAATCGGTTCAGTGACAAAGTGCACAATTTGTCCGTCCCAGCCGCGTGGGCAATAGAATAGTATAATAGCATCAGGTGTTCCTTAGTAGCCTATTAGGGCCCCCTGTGTCGTATGTGGTTTTTGAGTGGTAGTGAGTTTAAGTGTCCCCAAAACCCTGGATATTTCAAACACATTCGCTTGGCTTAGGCCGGCGGGTTCTGCATGAGGAGCGCTCCTACCCTCGCCGTTGTACTGAAGCCGCTGATGGGACACTAGTCTGTAAGTCCTGAGATTTTATATTTGGTTAGGGTTAGGCATATTTAACGTGCCTTCCAACGAGCCGTATATCGCGGAACTAAGTACGCCCCGGCGTTTTGGTTCGAAGTTAGGGCAACGTGGTTTCTGCCCTACCGACGACCGGCTGCGTACTGAACAACCGTTGTTCGCGGCTGCATCTGCAGATGCTAGCATTAGCACCCACCAATCCGGCTTGGGTTCTCAATCACGGCGCAATCTCCCTATTCTTATAATTATTAGGTAAACGTATAAAATAAACACACATATACACATACACACACACGCACACACGTAACTTAAACACACATAATAAACAGGAAACATTATTTAATTTTTTTCTTTGTAGTCAAATTGTTAAAATATATTAGTTTACACATGCATAGGGATGAAACGATACGAGTATATACGAGTAACTACTCGATACTTTTCTTTCGATACCAAGTACTTTTGGCATCGATACTTTAGAACTGAGAAACAAGTAATATCGTGAAGGAAGTACTTGTATCGGTACTCGTTCGGTCACTTACTGAGAAGTATCAAAAAAACTTATAGGCAGATTATTTACTCTATGGTGAGGTGTCTAGTTGGAATTTATATTTCGCGAATGTACCTGTTCTACTGCTCAATTGCGAGTCTTGCGAGTCTTGCGTATGATTTATATTTTTTTCCAATTTATTCAATCAGTCCTACATTTATCGCGTGGCGTGAGGCGTTGTTTTGTTTTCATTAAATTAAAACTGTGACTGAATTTTTAATTGTAATATCGTTCGTCAAAATTTTATCGATATAAGTATCGATACTTTTCATTCGATACCGAGTAGGCATCGATACTTTATCACCGATACAGTATCGAGGAAAGGTATCAATACCTAGATGGTATCGTTTCATCCCTACACACGCATCAGTCTAGATTAAGTATGGTATTGTTAAGGAAGAGAGAGGCCACCTGATACAAATATCTTAATATACTTACTATAGTCTGTCCATTATATTATTATCATTTTGACAGATCGATCGAAGTAAAAATAGTGACACCCTATCACATAACTCGTTCGATTTAAAGCTATAATCGATTTTATGCTATACTATTATTATAGTTATCAAAAATACTGGTGTTTAATAAATTATTACAAAATCTCATTAGATTTATTATTTCACCTAGTACAAATATTTGTGTGATGAGCACGAGTATTTGTTCTGTGTCTGGGTGTGATTTATCTATATTATGTATATATATACAACAAAAAAAGAAGTACACTTTTTATGTGTTTGTTTATCTAATACTAATACTCTGTACAATTAGATTTATTGATTATAATTAATAATTTCATTTTAAAAAAGGTTTATAAAAAACTAATTCTTTGACTTTTTTTTCCTTACAATTTGGTTGTACTCATTTATTTCTAACGATTATTTATAAAATCTGTGGCACAATCTTAGTAATCATTATGTGTGGCACATCACTAAGTGGGCGGTACCCGTCCATGAAGTACAATATTATTTCTATGACAGTTTAACGTAAACAATACAAAATTTCATGGGCGTCGATCTGTCAAAAAGATAATAATAGAACGGACAGACTATAGGTTGGTCTCCATTTCTGTTACTTTTTTGATTTTTTGATTCCATCTGTAAGGAAGTCGTTTGGCATTACTTTATCCATGCCTCTCCTTGCTTTATACGGCAGCTTAAGCCGTTGGCACCGGCTCCATACGCAGTCACACAGGGCTCGAGTGTTGGGTCATATCCCAATCTCCCTACTCCGTCCGTAGCGAAGGCCTGTGCAGCAGTGGGGACATTAAACCTGATGATGAGTATAGAATACAGTACTCGCCTGGCGCGAAGTAATGTACCGCGTTTCTGGGCACATTGTTCTCCGGGTCGCCGGCGCCGGCGCGAGAGCAACGCACGTTTTGCCGCTCCCACATCATGCGAGACGACATTGAGCTCACCTGCTGGCGGAAACTAAACCTTAAACCTCACGACTTAGAGCTCATACTACCTATACTTGTCTAAATAACTAAATAATACTGTCACAAACGCTCTCGAAACGTAACCGCGAAAGTGGCAGAGATCGAATCTGCCAGATCACCGAGGGTCGCGATAGAGGTCGAGTAATGCGGCTCATTCTAAAATGAGCCTTATGCAGTGCGGCGTAAGGGTGAAAGTGCAACGACATCTGCACTTGTTTACAAGTTATGCGTGTTACCTGCGTAGGTATAAGTACCTTCGTACTCGCGGGTGCTTGGCGCCGGGCAGGGACAGTTGAGTTTCAACAGCGATTTCGGAGCGAATCCAAAGGTGATCAAAGTGCAACAAAAGTATTCCAGTGCAATAGTTTAGTGACTTGTATAGTGAAATACAGTGTTTTGTAATTAACATTGTGTGTTAATTGTGTGAACTGAGTGGTGAATAAAGAACTGTCAAGCGTGAACTGGCATATAATTTCGAACCCCATCCCGACACGTAACAATACGTATCCAAGGAGAAGTTTTGTCGCTTCCACATCATGCGAGAAGACATCGAGCTCACTTGTTGGCGGAAACTAAACCTTGAACCTCACGACTTAGAGCTCATACTATCTATACTTGTCTAAAATACTAAATAGAAAGTATGCAGAAGGACGAATTACTCTCGGTGTCGCTGGCGAAGGTTCAGGAGCTCTATTTTTGAATCACTCGTCTGACATAGTATCGTCGAATGCGACATAAGTCACCTTCGACTTTCAAGTCGCATAATACTGATTTTCCGTATTTTTGAATCATTCTTCACCAGTGTTACCTGTTTGATACAAAATACGAAATTTTACTTATTTCACGCAAAAAAAAAATAAAAACCGAACAAAAAATTCTCGTTGTTGTTTCGTTTAAAGCATGACAATGATAGATTTATCATCATCTAATAGCACAAATAATTTGACTATTATTCTATCATTCGCCTCCACCGTTCGCCATGCAGCGAGTGGTCTCACCCATGTTTTGCGTTGCACTCGAGCGATTCAAAAAAAATACGGAATTAATTATGTCGAATGAAATTTAGTAGAAATCGAGCGTTCGACGCAAGACGAGTGATTCAAAAATAGAGCTCCTGCCCTCCCACATCACGCGAGACGACATCGAGCTCACCTGCTAGAGGAAACTAAACCTTAAACCTCACGACTTAGAGTTCATACTATCCATTCTTGTCTAAAGTACTAAATAAAACGTATCCAGAAAGACAAATTACTCTTGGTGTCGCCGTCGATCGTTCTGCCGCTCCTACTACTACTACCTAGGCTTGGCACAAGCAGGTATCTCGGTATCTCAGTCTCTCAGTGGGGAAACCTTATACCCATAGCATAGAGCTCACGTTTACTAAAAACTCTAATCTAATCTTAAACACCAAATATAGAAAGTAGCCAGAAGAACGGCTACCGTACAAATTTACAGCAGTTAGTATTTAGTCCGTCGGCGTACTTTCTGCCGCTGCTGCCTGCTGACGGAAACTAAACCTTAAACCCCACACGTAAGCATTCACATTGTAACGTTGTGGCATAGCCGCAAGCAAACCGCCTGATTGACCGTCGAACCTAACACCACCACCATCTAACCAACGTGACATGAAAAATCGTCACTTTTAAACTTGCTGTTCTCTCATTTCACAATTGGTTCAGGAACGCAGAGTTCATTCTTAATGTTCTACGGTTCTACGGGCTCGCTGATAGAAGTCGTCGCTATGACAATGGCGATACCAAGAATATCATTGGCCCAGTTACCCTGGGGGCCATTCGCCTAACGGAAATGTTATGGAAAACGCTAACGCTTTCGATTTTATTTTGTTATTTCTGACCGCCGAAGGTTTGCAAATACCTTACGCTATTTTTTTTAATATTGTTATTACCAACGCAAAAGAAAAAAAAAGGAGCGCGAGGCATTTGAAAACCTCAGGCGGCTAGAAATAACAAAATGAAATAGTAAGCGTTAGCATTTTTCAAAGCATTTCCGTTAGGCGAATGGCCACCTGTTCTGAGCCGACTGACTGATTTAGCGGTTACATTTCTTAGTGTCTTTAGTCAGAGCCACTGCGTACCGTGGGATAGTCCAGTTATAAAATTTATTAAGAACAGACATAGAGATGGGAGCCTCTTTTCTGGTGGTGATGGTGAGATCCTAATGAGTTAGCCCCAAATATTTCGTGATTTGAAAACGACTGGTTCTACGCTGAGTTTTACTAACAAATTCACGTGACATTCGAAGAGAAAAAAATTACACTTATTTATAATAATAATATTCTTTATTGTATAACACCACAAAGGACATAACAGTAAGATTACACTGACAGAGAGACATTACACAATGAGCGGCCTTATTGCTTAATAGCAATCTCTTCCAGGCAACCCATGACGGAAAATTAAATAAGTATAAAGAACAAAAAAAGGGGGAAGGGTGTAAGAGCAATATTATAAAATAAAATAAAAACGGTAATAATAATATAGATGCATATTTATATGAAAAAAAAAAGTAAATAAATAAAGGAAAGAGGTATTTTCAAAGTAAAGATAGGAAATGACGCTTAACTTGCTCACGGAACGAGTCCAAAGTGCGAGCCCTTCGTATGGATTCCGGTAATGAATTCCACAAGCGAACAGAATGCACAGAGTAGGAGTAAGAAAGGAAATCAGTTGAATGGCAAGGTATTTCTAGAGTGAGATTAGAAGAGGAGCGTAGAATGCATTGTGAAGAGGATGATCGAAAAGAGAAGCATTGTTTTAGATAAGGTGGAGAAGTGGTAGGAAAAGTACAGAATAAAGAAGCGTAAGAGTATGTAAGTCCCTGCGCCGGCAAATAGGGAGCCAGTTGAGTTTCGAGCGGAAATGTGACACATGGTCAAATTTACGGAGATTATATATAAATCTTATAATTTGCTATCAACAATAGGGATGATAACTAATTTTTTTTTCTTCGTTTATCAGGTAGATTATCAAAAGGTATTGGTCACGTATTTTTTCTTTTTTCACATAATATAAACATTGCAGAGATATATTGATTTCAAAAGTCGCATGACGTCACGTTTGAGTACACTTATAAGTGAAAATTCACTCAAAAGTGACGTCACGAGCCCCTACTCCCAAACTTTGACGCGCTATAACTTTGTCATTTTTTGGTTGATTGCCCAAAGAAAAAATACGTGGCCATTATTTTTTGATCATCTAACTGACGGACTAAATAGAATTTCGTTTACTGTACCCCGTCATCATCGCTATTATCCTTTTATTGTTAGAAGAAAACTAGCTCCGAGTGTTACCATAGAGAATACTAACCTGCAGTCTAGCCAGCTTGATCATTCTCGTATCATACAGCCTCACGTAGAAATCGTTAGCGCCCACGGCCAGCTGGTAGGGCCGGCGAGGGTTGACGGCCACACATTTGGCCTCCGCGTACCGCCCCATGTGGTTGAGCAGATTCACCAGAACATTGGTCGCCTCCGCGTTACAGCGGTGCGGGGAACGCATGTCGTGTTGCCTGAGTCAAGAAGCATTAGCTTAGCACGAGGGACAAGGGGTCATGGGGACCCCCCCCCCCCTGGGTTGGGTACAGATGGCCAAACCCAGGGGGATTTTATTTAAGTACTTTCAATATTTAATATACCACGACTATATGACCCCCCCTGGCGCCAAAGCTGGCTATATGACCCCCCCGCCCCTGGCGCCAAAGCTGGCTATATGACCCCCCCCCCTGGCGCCAAAGCTGAATCCGCCCTTAACGAGGGATCGTTTGAAGCAATATGTCTTTCTTCTTCCTTGTCCTGAGATTTCTTGGTTACTTATACCATTGATGGGACATTTGTTGAAAAGCTAGTGTCCTTAGAGAAACTTGATGGCGTGGGTGGTTAGGGCCTTCGGCTGCAATCGTTGAAGTTAAGCAACTTTCGCAGTGGTCGGACATTGGATGGGTGATCAAAAATCTTCTATCTCGATTTCCTCCGTGCTGCGGAAAGCACGTTAAGCCGTTGGTCCCGGCTGCATCAGTCGATAGCACCCACCAATGCGCACTGGGCCCGCGTGGTGGGTCATGGCCCATTCTCCCTATTCCATCCATAGGGAAGGCCTGTGCCCCAGCAGTGGGGACATTAATAGGCTGATGATGGTTATAATAATTACTAAATTTATTTTAATCAATAATGACATTTTTTTTTATTTTTTAAGCATGTAACTATATATGCTTGATGTTTAAATCTAAAGAAAATATAACAAGAAAATAACAGTTACATGCTTAAAAAATTAAAATTATAACCATAATTGCTATTTCTTCTTTCAAATGTCTAATACTTGCAAAAGTATTAATTTTGACATTGTGGGTTACCTAAAATGCGAAGAGATGGCGCTGCCTTGCAGCTTAAGAATGGCTAGAGGAATTTCGACGCGGCCATCAGGGCTGCGGTATTTTTTCTAGTTATATTTTCAATAATGTCATTTAATTACTTTTTTTCAATTAGGTGTTTGTACTGTTAATTATTATAACTGTTGTAAATTATATTGCTAAATGGCTGAAATAAATGAATGTAATTAATTATTCGAATTAAGACAATACTCACAGTATAACCCCGTCTTCGCCGGCGGACCATATGAGATTGCGGTCATCAGGCGCAGTGGCCAACCTCTTCACTCGTCCACAGTGGCACGAACATTCTAATAGGTTAGCGCCCGTAGACACACTGCGCACGCGCACCATACCGTCCGCAGCGCACGTCGCTATCGCATCCGGCGTCATGAACTACAAACAATCATAGCGCGAATTAAAAGGAGACCCGGCACTTTTCATAGAAAAAATGCTAAACTTGTATACAGTTGGATTTGGTCAATTCAATTCAATTTATTGCACTCATGTGGTTACATCGATGGTTACAAAATGCTTATAGTACCTAACATGAACCCTGTCAGGGTATCGCAATATACAGTACAGTTAAAGATAAAAATTACAAAAGAATTTAATTAATAAATTTCTCAAAATAAAGCCAAAATTATTTGCTACATAAAACTACTTTTGCCTTATTTTTAGTGAATCGTGGAAAGAAGTTATATCATGATTAATATTTTTTTGATATGGAAACCCTAAATCTTCAAGGAACAGAATTTTACTTCAAAATATTACTCAAGTGACTGTAAAAACCATGATTCCTTTGCTTTTTCTAAATAAAAAACCAAATGTCAATTTGACAATCCTAAAATACAAACAAAAAAATCATTCGCATTTGTTGTTGTTCTCTGCTGTGATTGCCTTTTTATCCGTTATTTCTCTTGACGACCCGGCTACATATAGAGGTTATATTGACAAACCTACGTATTTCACATTGACAGCTAGCTGCTAATGACAAATATTGCCAGACTACGTTACCCAATTATGCAACACAGATAAAAAAATTAAAAAAGTATACAACTTTGGCACAAAATGCCGGGTGTCCTTTCATGACGGTTGTGAAGTTAACAGCGAGTGCGGTGCAACTATAGATGTAAGGCCGATTTAAAACCAATTAAACCAAAAAAAACGAAACGATTTTTTTCAATTTAAAACGTTTGCTGTTGATGACTATGTTTTTCTTAATTATAACTACATTGTCTTGATTTTACCGAGGTAGGAATATAACTGAGTACCTATAAACTATATAAAGATTTTTTAAATGTGTGATATACTTACTGATATTGATATACTTAGCGAGTTTAGTTCTAGTTGGTCCATCCGCAACCAAGCGTTGGTATTACCTACCTAAGTTATAAAAACTCTTATCATAAGTTAAAAACTCTGTGTTGGTAAATAAAAAAAATCATTGTTGAACATGGACTTATAAAAAAAAGGCTTATAAACCTTTTTTTATACGTCCATGTTGTTGAAGTGTAAAAACCATAGTTCTTTTATTTTTGTATGCCACTTTTCAACCATTTAAAACGATTTATTTGGGGTTTAAAACGGCAACATTTTGTTTAAAACGTTTTAAATGGGTTGTTTTACATCTATAGGTGCAACTAGACACAGTTTAACGACATCCTGCGCACACTTAAATTATCCTCCATTCCACCCACGAGCAGCGAGGGGCGGCGGAATCCGTATAAAGATATAAGTAGGTTATTTATGGGCGCCAGATTATAAAATATGCTCCTGCTTGCATTTCTTCCTTAGCGGGATTCGAACCCAGCACCTCAGGTCAGGTCAGGTCAACAGGTGCACAAATCACTCCACCACAGATTTCATCCAATAGAAAGGGATCATCAAATAGGAATAATACCCTCGAACAGTAACTAAAAATATGTTTTACTAAGACTAATTAGGAGAAAATTGTAAACATGTTTTTGTTAAGAAAATTTTGATACTTATGTAGCTATGATAAGTAATTAGTTGAAAATAATGCATGACTAAATACAAAATTTAATTAAATTACTTACAGAAAATCTACATAAAAATCTAAAATAAAAAGCTACAATATTAAAAATTCTTCTTTCTTCCATAATGGCTCAGTTATATCAAATGATTTGCCTACACTATTATAATAAAGCTAAAGAGTATGTTTGTATGTTTGATACACCAATAAGAGCAGAGAACCAATGACAAATATTCCAAAAACAGTGAAAAAAAAACAGTCGTTTGTGTACTCTGCGTAAAGGGTAAAAGTTACACAAAAATCTTTAATGATAGAATTTTTGTCCTTGACATATGTCTATCTAAAACTAGTTTTTACTTTGTTTTATTTTGTTTAAATAAAAGTTTGATTCTGATGACGTAGCCTGTAAAGGCTACGAAACGTCAATAAATAAATAAAGTTTTGTGCATTAAAAACCCGTAAAAACTAGTTTTATTTAATAAGTGATGTGCGTGAAAACCTAAGAAACAAATATATGTCTATCTCTTAAGAGTGACCCACTATAACCTTTTACCTCAAAATAATGTAGGTCAAACCGCACAGCATCTCTATCCTCTTATAAATAAACAAGGAATAAACTTAGACTAGTTATGCTGCGTTTTGTTCCTTTCACTCAAATGCAATTTGTCATTCAATGAAGAGAGACAAAACATACAGTAACTAATCCAAGCTTATTCTTCGTTTATTAATAACGCTAGTGTTTAGATGAAGGTGAATTTAAACGTCAAAAACTAAACTTTCATAAACAGGATAGTTTACAGTCAACGTTACGCTATCTTTTCCTAGTACTCGCAACATGTTGTTACAGTGGCATCACAATAACAACATAAATAATCCTGCTTGTGTTTACACTAGATTTAGTAATACAGCAAATGAAGAACATATTGATTATTATTTTGTGATAAGAATGTGAACCTAAAATGACTCCCCAGGTTAAGCATACAAAATACTTAGTCATCAGTATGATATACATATCATAATGACAATGATCATTAATTTGTTACTCTCACTCTTACACTATTATATGGCTTTAGAGGTTGACATTGAATATACAAAATATTAAAACACTTACTAAGAGGTTACTCAGAATTATTAGCATAAAACCTAAATTGTTTCTAATCACAATATGATCAGAATTAATCAGAAATCCTAAATAAAATAGTACTGAGAGGTAACACCCAGCAACCCAACATTGAAAAACTCAAAATAATAAGAATCATCTCTAAATACATAAACAAATAATATAATGGTTCATATTTCTTATTTCTATACTAAAATATTGGTCTGGAGTTCTCTACTCTATTTGGTTATGCAGTTTCTTTTTCTGTTGACTGACTGTATGACATTATTAGGCCCATATTAAAGAAAAATTCTCAGTAATTAATCTAGTCTTGAGCATAGTCAGAAAGGGATGTCGCTATATATAGCACATAGCGACTTCCTAACTGTACTCAAGTAAAGAAGCCTTGGTCATGTATAATTTTTGTAAATAAAAATAGCAGTAATTGTGTCTACTACTTCATTTAATAAAATATAAGGATACCTTGAATAAATAAATAAAAAGGTTTTAGTAGATGTAAAAGAAAAATCAATATGCAACAATCGAACAAGAAATTCTGTTATTTTACCTTTACTGAGAAAATATTCCCTGTGTGTGCTGTACTCATTCTGTGCAGTGTCTTGTAGCGATATGGATCCCACAGGATTACATGAAGGTCATCAGATGCAGAGGCCAAAACACTAAAAACAAAATTCTGTCTGTAACATACAGTTGACCTTAGATAAGAAAGAACTTATCTAGAAATAGACTTACGATCCATCCGTATTCCATTCCAGACAGTTGACACATCCCATATGTCCGTGGAGAGTGTTCTCCAGGCCCAACCTTTCGATGTTCTCTCTAGTTACCATCAATCGGTTCTGGAACTGCCTCTGTATATCCCCACGCTCTCTGGCCATTGTCAGGCCTACCGTACCTTTGGTCCAGGCTGGATCCTCTCGCCGACCCATTTTTGTTGAGCTCCTTCACAATATGGCTAATCAACAATCAAAATCACACAAAATAACGAACCAACTACGGCTGGTACTATTTATAGAGCGCAAAATTTCATTGGTTTGTGTAACTTTGCACGCTTTTTATAGTAATATTAGCACTAATAACACAGTTCAGCTTGAATTTAGAAATAATCGTACCTAAATACGAGTAACAATAAGCTTTTTGCTGAGTAAATAAAGATGAAGAAGTGAAGATTTTTCTTTCTTACGACTCGAAAGGGAGATGTCTATCTATCTGTCGCTGTCAAACAAATACAAAGGTATTCATTCAAATAACCAGGTGTCAGATAATCGAGTAAATACTACTATTCGATTGAAATAAAGGTGCGTACAGACTATGCAATAGTATATGACTGCACTACGTGCCGTAAGGCGCCGCTCGGCCAGGATCGTAAAGGCGTAGCTTCCGTTACGCAGCATGGCTGACCAGCCGACTACAACGCCGCCACCACTGCAGTGCCTCACCCCGATTACGGACAAGAAGCTGGCCAGCGTTTTTGCCCTATCGATCGCAGTAACATCGCCGCGCGTCAAAATATTTATTTGACGCCACGATAGTATTTCGGCTTGTCGAGTCCGGCATGCTGTCGGACAGGCTGAACCCCTGGCTGTACTCCTACGCCCGTCTGTTGGAGTTTGAGGCCGGCGAAACACCCGCCCTCTGCACAGCCGAAAATATGGCCATGGAGGCATTGCAGGCACTTAGCGGCTCGCCGCTCGTGCTTCCGCCTCCCGCCTTACTTCACCCTCGCAACACCACGCTACCCCCGAATACAGAGTATATGCGTGACCCATTTACCGGTCACTAAGCAGCGGCGACCACCCTATACCCCAGTTGCAATGGCCTGTACAACCATCACCAAGTCAGGTACAGGCTCTCGTACCGCATCGGGACCACCAGCCCAGGCGTGTAATCACCCCCGCTGCCACCAGAGAAGAACACCAGACTGCTATACCGACACCTACGCGCAGGCAGCGAAAAATTTCGCGCCTACCCACAACTCTGCCGAAAAATTACCGTCTACCACCGCAGCGCCGCACATGCAACCAGTCCCCGGCACTGCTCCCACAACTCAATGAGTACAGAAATACCCGCCGCTATTGGTGGAGCGGACTGGCCCACGCACATGCGTGCCCTACACGACGCCCTCGGCCGCATACTCAACGCTTTTGTACGGGCGTCCGCTTCATGCCAGTAGACGGCTATGTGTACCGCCTCATCCAAGCTACCTCTTCAAACTGGAGGGGCAGAGTGGGCTGAGCTGGTATTCAAACGCCCTCCCAGAAAACCTCAGCATTAAGGTGGCCATAAGAGGGTTGACTTATAACATAGAGCCGCCACACATCCACCACAGGCCCGCTCACATGTGAGGATCACAGTGGAAACATGGAGAGACAAGAAGACCCTTGCGCAGTGTCACCGCTGCCAAGGCTTCCGACACTCGTCCAAGGGCTGTCACCGCGCGCTTGCCTGCGTGCGCTGCGGAGACCCACATGCTGCCGCCGACTGCCCCCACCCGTTAGCACAATCCGCAACTTGCATTAACTGCAAGGGCCCGCATCCTGCCAATCAGCCAATCACAGTTCGTGCCCCATGCCCCATCCAGCGCGAGGCACGAAACAAGAAGACCTCGACAGTGGCCCGAAAAAGCCACACGCCCGCCGAGCTACAGAATAGCTATTCTAGAGTGGCTTGTCGGTGTAGTAAATTTTCACCAAAATTATTAAAATAAGAATCGATAATCTACTCAGCACCAGATTTAGAGGTGCGGAGGCTGACATTTATTTTTTTATCTCTGTTGTGGGGGCCCATTGTCTTGTGAGTTGTGACTTTATCAGTCCTCAGTCGATAACAAAAACAAATAATCGACTTACATTGTTGTTAACAACTTTTATCTCCTATAATCATAATTTAACTAATTCAATTAGTTTTAGTATTACTCAACATCACTAGCACATCCCTGACAGCTTGTCTGACAGTGACAGTGAGTGACAGCCGCGAGGACAGGACCAGTGATGCCAGATTGGGGCATTAATCCGTTATTTTAGCGGAAAATTTTGGTCTTGGCGAGATTTTGGCGGAATAGCTGGTGTCTGGAACCGAACAATGGCTTTCATAATACGGCATTACCTAGCGTGAAATTCAGGGGTCAAATAACAAATAATGCTCATCTATGTAGTTTATTTAAGGTTCCATGAATGAAATGAAGTGAAAATATACTTTGTTGAATATTAATTAGACAGTTCTTTAGAATTGTTCAATAACTTTTATCAAAATGTTATTTATTACTATGTTTATAATAACAATTATTCAAAAAGGATTCTTTTTATTTTCCTTCATTTTCTTTGTCTGGAAAGGTATCATTTTAGCGTAAAATAATTATTTTCAATCTGTCGTAAATTAGAAAATCACTTCTAGCAGCTCTGGACAAGACAGCTGATCTGATTGACACATTGTGTTGTGTGCTTTACAAGTTACGTGCGTAAAATAAATAAAGCCGCATTTAATGAAAATATCAGCTTAGGATTTAGTAAATAAGTGATTAGTAAGTATTGGAACACTTTCAATTTCATTGTGTTTAAATCAACACTGTATGAAATAACCAAAACTCAATAAATAACATTAGATATTTACACGTTAAATTTAAGAGCTCATCTCTTATTTTCAGGTTAAACACATAAAATGGGAGAACGAAAGGGTCAAAACCTATATTACCCCCCCGACTACGACCCCAAGGTCGGGGGGCTGAACAAATTCCTTGGCACCCATGCGTTGAGGGAAAGGGCCAGGAAGCTTCATATGGGCATACTGATAATACGCTTCGAAATGCCATACAACATCTGGTGCGACGGCTGCAACAACCATATAGGAATGGGAGTTCGGTATAATGCGGAGAAAACAAAAATCGGCATGTATTATACTACACCGGTGTATCAGTTCCGAATGAAATGTCATTTATGCGACAACCACTTTGAAATAAAAACTGATCCTGGAGTAAGTTTATGCAGTTTCCTATTCTTGTTCAATTCAATGCAAGAGTAATCATTTTACAGAATTAGCCAAATAAAAAGTATACTGCAATACTCTTGCTTATTGTCAACCTCTATGGCTGAGTGGTTTATACGCCGGGTTTCATGGTGTCGCCAACTCGAGAGGTCCCGGGTTCGAATCCCGGTGGGGGCGGATGTTTGTGTGGTGAATACGAGCATTTGTACTCCAGTCATGGATGTTAAATATGTATTTCTATATAAATATACTTATATATGTACAGTATATGTATTGTAACCATTACCCTAGCTTCCCATTACACAAACCTTACAGTGCTTACTTTGGGGTTAGGCTAATTGGTGTGAGTGTTGGAAATATTTATTAATTTATTATTTTTTCTTATGAATAGAACATCTATGCAATCTGCGATATCAAAGTAGGCAAATAACTACTACAAATGTATTGCATATATAAGTCACTGTCAAAGTGTATAGGGTACATTGTTTTGTATGTGATCACAGCTCAACTAATGTAGAAAACTTCTTTTTGTACCCAACCTAAAATGGGAGATGGTAAAGTCATGTCTCAATCTCTACTAGTACATTTGGATATGCCATTTTTTAATATTTGCCAATCCAGTTTTGTCAAAACAACATAGACAGCCTAAAGCTGTCAAATTTCTTTGACTGATTTTAAGCCTTATTTTGCTTCAATATATAATACTTTTAACAGCAGAAGTAGTAAAATAATAAAAAAAAACAGAAACACTAGACGATATTTACTCAATTCTTATCCTTTGTATTACAATTACTAATTAATTATTAGAAAAATTACGCTATTTACAATTACTAATTAATTATTAGAACAATTACGCTATTTCCACTTATTTAATCACAAAACACTTTTTAAATTGTGCACTTCACCATAATCACTATTGAATTAATAGAAATATCGACTTATAAGAATAACACTAGCAACCGACAGAGATTCGATCAGAGGTCCGTCCGCTTCGCGCGCCAAGAAGTTAATGTGTCATACGCGCGCGCCGCTCGCCTTTTATACAGAATGCCGGTGGTTTGACGGTAGTTTGCTTACACGGCCTCTCCTGACCGTGTGTCGTCCTCGACGCTGGCTCTGGGAGTGGGACCACTCGTTTCGGGGTCCACACTTTCTTCATCTAATAGGGGCATAGATGGTGCGGCTGTTGTGTTTGATGAGGTAGACGGTGCATTGCAGGGATCATCCTCATCTTCATCTGAAAACACAGTGAATTAAGAGCATACTTTGAAAAGAACAATATTACCCTCGTCCAACCGCTCATGCTATCCATCTCTCTTTCCATCAACATTTACTTAATTCACACTTCAACTATTAACCTTCAAAACACCACAAACCTTATGAATATATCACTTAGTTTCACATCACATGAAACAGCAACAGGTTAACCATTAAGGTTTACCCGTGCAGCAACTTGGGGCCCACCAAGCGCTTATGGCGACGAACGCCAGGGTGTAGCGACGAACGCTCGGGTTGCATAGCTTCCCCACCCAACACATTTAGGCAACACACGCCACGGTACATTAAGCGACACACGCTCAGTACATTATGCGACACACGCATAGTACAATAGGCGACACACGCACAGTACAATAGGCGACACACGCACAGTACAATAGGCGACACACGCCACAGTAGCATTAGGCGTCACACGCCACAGTAGCATTCAACTCGCTCTCGAAGAACGCTGCACAAGACTCAGGGCACCACTCGCCCCTCCACGGCACCATATGTTGTGCTGCCACCTGCATCTTCTTGCCATAGCCACCGCTGAGCAGGCGAAGGGCGTAGCGACCACTCGGCAGAACTTCAGTCACCTTATAGGGATCGCGCATACGTCAAGGTTCCCTGTTGACTGAGAGAACTTATTCACATACACAAAGTCATTGACATTAAACTGGCGTGGTAAATATCTTTGTAGGTTAGCTCGTTCATCTTGTCTGCTCCGATTATATTTTAGAAGTTGGCGTGATCTGCTTCTGGTGATTTCTCTTAGCGCCTGCCTGTTAGGAGCTGAACATTCGACAGCTATGTCTCGCACATATTAACGTACAACAGTAATGGTAGTTTCCGTTCCGATGAGCAGGTTAAGTTTAATTAAATCTTACCTATAGCTGAGGAACTTGCTTCACTCCTTCTGGGGGTAATGTGTGGACTAAAGCTTCTACTTTACGAGGGCTCGGCCTAACCTGACCCCGAGTAACTAGCCTACCGAGGTACTCTACCTCGGTTACTAAGAAGGAGCACTTACCGAGGTTTATGGAAAAGCCTGACTGAGTGAGTGTATCTAATACCCTATGCAGCAACTCAATACCTTCATAGGAGGTGTTGTATGACCGCGGCAGTAATATCGTTACTTCGATTAGAGTCTAACGTTTGAGAGCAGAGGTTAACATTACGCTGATTACGAGACTCAGGTCGTGCTTTTGCAAAACAAATATCCTCGGTATGACCCTGTTTCTTACAAAAAGTGCAGGTATTGCTAGTTCCGGGCTGAATATTATTAGGAGTGATGTTTGATTTTACACGCTTACAATCACGACTTATATGACCGCAAAGACCACAGTTAAAACATTTTGGAGGTTGACGAGCACTCAAAGTTTGAGGATCAATCTTCTTAGCGTTAATTAGTTTGTCGGTTTTTACTCTATTTGTTTTAGTTTAGATTGACAGAAAAGAGACAAGACTGTCTGATGTTAGTTCGGCATTAGCGGCAGCAGCGCGTATTTGAGGACTATCTATGCCTCGTATCACGATAAGAGTTCTTAATTCGTCGCTAAGTCCTTGAACCACCCTAAGACGTAATAAAGTGCGACGCGCATATTCTGCGTACGTAGGGTATTTGTCAGAGGTGGCATTCATGGCGTCAAACAATATTTGCATAATCTAACTTAGTAGGACAAAGCGGTTTAAATTCCTTTTTGAAATTGGACCATGTTCTATCGTTCGTAACCCATTCGCTTAACCACACCCTAGCATCGCCCTTAAGACAAGAAGCTACGCGAGACAAGCACTCGTGGTCACTCCAACCATTGGCATTTTGAGCCCGATCCACCTCGTCGCACCATGCTTCGATGTTATTAATTGTTGGATCAAAGTTAGAAACATAATAATTATGCGACTTGTTCAGTTGTAAAGTCTTAATTGCTTGCATCAGAGCATGCGCGAGGGTAGATGACTCAGAATGTGGAGCAACAGATACTTCGGAAGGGTAGGCATGCAAAATATTCGAGGGTACCGGACTTGGTGTTCGCGTTACCGGTACATGTTTAGATCGAGAGTGATTAGAATCACGAATATTACTACGCGAACGCTCCCGTGAACGTATAAGAGAATGGTCTCTTTCTTTCGAATGAAAATGAGCACGAACCCTGCCACGCGAGCCGGACGAATCTCGGTTACGCGAGGTGCTTCGAAGATCGCGACGCCTCCGTTCGCTCGCCGTATGTTGTGACGCATTGCGAACACGGTCGCGGGATTCACTCCGCGAGCCACGCCTATGCATCGATCTACGTGGTCTTCGACCGCGTGACTTGTTTCCCGAATCACGCTCCCGCGCTCGCCGACCGTGGCTAGGCGATTTCGAACGCACCATATTCACAAAATTTAGCACTGAATACACAAAAGTTCAACACGATACGTGATTAAATAAGCGATTAATCTTTAAACAAAATTTCACAAAAGAAAATAAAAGTTTATACAAATGTGGGTAGTTGTTTTCTTTATCCCACTTCTGATTTTAACAGCAGAAGTAGTAAAATAATAAAAAAAAACAGAAACACTAGACGATATTTACTCAATTCTTATCCTTTGTATTACAATTACTAATTAATTATTAGAAAAATTACGCTATTTACAATTACTAATTAATAGAACAATTACGCTATTTCCACTTATTTAATCACAAAACACTTTTTAAATTGTGCACTTCACCATAATCACTATTGAATTAATAGAAATATCGACTTATAAGAATAACACTAGCAACCGACAGAGATTCGATCAGAGGTCCGTCCGCTTCGCGCGCCAAGAAGTTAATGTGTCATACGCGTTTTTTTTTTTTTTTTTTTGTTTCCTCCCAGGCGGGGGAGAGGGTGAGAAATCCTCATGGATACCCTACAGCCGGCTGTAGGGTTATGTCAGACTCCTACTGACTAAAAAACACCCTTTATTCATGCTTATGGCCAGAAGGGCCTTACAAGCTTCATCTGAAGCGGTCACCCCCCGAGAGGGGGATGATGCGATTTGTCATACGCGCGCGCCGCTCGCCTTTTATACAGAATGCCGGTGGTTTGACGGTAGTTTGCTTACAATACACATTCTATTCAAAAAATTTTAGTTTGTACACTTTGATATTTTTATTACCAACTACTCGTATAGGTATACCTAACTGTTGCCTAACACATTTATCAATGATTTTTACTAAAATCTTTTTCTTCTCACAGAACCTTGACTATGTTATCGTATCTGGAGCGAGACGGCAGGAAAACCGATGGGACCCCACAGAAAATGGACAGGTTGTACCAGAAACAAAAGAAACTCAAAAAAAGTTGTTTGATGATGCTATGTTTCGTCTAGAACACAAAACTGGTGATGAAGACACTGCTAAACAAGATAAACCGAGGCTAGGCAGGCTTGTGGGAAGAAATGAGACTGTCTGGAAAGATGACTATGATGCTAATTGCCTGTTGAGAAGAAATTTCAGGGTAAGTAATATATCTTAATCATTATCATCAGCCTCTTAATAGCCCTACTGCTGGCGCACAGGTCTTTCCGATGGAAGGACTAAAAAGACTGAGCCATGACACACCACGCTTCCGAAGCACGAAGGAATTTGAGATAGTAAATTTTTGGTCATCCATCCAATGACCAACCATTTCGAAACTTGCTTAACTTCAACGATCGTTGCCGAAAGCGCTAACCACCTGCGTCATCTAGCTCCTACATAATACATAAATACTGATTATTAAAAATTAAAAGCCAATATCTTTCACATAAAGAAAGTTATTAATTGTAATAGATTTTTCTATTAAAATTTCTAGATGGATTCAAAAATAATTGGAATATATTTCAGAACTCTTTTTCGGAATATTAATGTTGCTTGAATATAAATATTATTGATGAGTAATCTACTAAAACTATTACTTTGACTATCTGTTTAATTTCTTAAAATTGTCTAAGGAATTATGAATTTTATTCTAGAAAAGAAGAAAAGAACTCGAAGTTGCCTCGGTTAATGATAGCCTGCTCTTAGCAAAATCATCATTAAACATAGACCTTCTTCCTGAGACAGAGGAAGACAGAAATATGGCTTCCCTTTTATCATTGAGACCTTCTCGCAGCATAGAAGAGAAGGAAAGTCAGGTTAGAAATAAAATTCTTAATACTCCAGCCTTGCCAAGCTCCAGTGGACTACTGACCAGCTTTGGTGGCCTGAAAAAAGAAGAATCATTAAGCAAAACCTCAATGTTATCTAGAAACTCTTTAGGTATAACAATAAAAAAATCTAAACCAGATATAAGTACAAGTGATAATAAAACAAGCAATATAAATGAATTAAAGACTGAAAACATAAAAACAGATGCAAATATAGAACCTAGCATGATTCAAATCAAATGTGATAAAACAGAACCTGTTAGTGAAAATGTTATGGAAATCCAGGGCGGGATCAAAGGTGACAGTAACATAGATATTGCAGGAGAATCAAATAGTTTGTCTCTGGTTGGAGACTATGGTTCCAGCGGTGAAAGTTCAGATTGATATGCTATCAAAAAAGAAAGTGATCTAAACCTATCTAAAACTCAGTTTTTCCGTTTTTATGGCGTGTAATTGTCAATGAACAGCATGGTTTTATAAACAAGAGATCCACCAAAACCAATTTATGCGAGAGTCCATCGAGTCACCATGGATATGGATAAGGGTAGTCAGGTGAATGTGGTGTATACTGACTACTCCAAGGTCTGACAAAATTCAGCACCCTATTTTAATGCAGAGGATCAGTGAGGCTGGTATACATATACCGTTTACGGTGGATAAAATCTTAACTCAGAGACCTTAGTCAGGCAGTTACTGTAAAGAGGCACTGTTCAACTCTTGTCCTGGTCACATCAGGTGTGCCACAGATAAGGTCTTGTACTGAATATAACAATAGGTTCACATCAATCGATATATTTAACTGTTCTACCAATCATTGGAAAAAATATATACACGATATAACTTTTAACTTTTTTTTATTGGTAAAATAGGGAAGATGCTATATTTTGTTTTCATTTTAAAGAATTCCATGTAGAATAAACCACAGATATATTAAAATATTAAAACATTGCGATTTATCGGAAAAAATGCGGTTTTAAATTGACAATTTAAATTTTCGCGCGAAAACGAACCTATGGTTGCGATGACGTCACTCCTGTCTGTCACTGGTCGTACTTGTTCGTCGCGGGCTTTAAATTTTCATACTTTTGCATATTTTATCGACTTTCGAAATATTTTTTGAAAAAATTTAAAATGGACTATCCATCAACATCATGTGATCATAACAATACCACTAATATTCCGAAAAAAAGCGTGTTGACTCATGTTTTGTGCCAATCTACTTCAACAAAGTTTCCAAACAAATTGTTTTTGACTGGAACTTCTGACCCAAAACTGAAAAAAAAGTGGTTTGAAGCTGCGAAGAGAAATGACAATTATTCTCCAAAGACCATTATTCGATGCTGTGAAGATCACTTTGACGTAAGTCGGCGAATATACTTGTTATATGCTTAATTAATCTGCTTGTACGTAAAAACGCATTAGTAACCTACCTAATACTTACAAAACCTGTCTATAACATATTTTTAATTTTACAGTTGGAGAATGACGTCGAAAATTAGAAAACTTTAAAATATGTGGCACAATCTTCACATTGGCAGGACTGAACCAAGCTTTGCGTTTCATTTAAAATAACTGTAACACGATAACCTTCTTTACGTACTTTATGCTCCGGAGAACTCGACCTTTTACTGTACATAATTCTCCATCTCTTTTAATTTGGACATAGCCGATTGCATTATCGCCGTAAGATTTGTAGAAGCCGCTGAATAAAATACGAAGTTTAACAACTACGATTTTTTACATACCGCAGTAATTTAGTCCCTTTCATTTCTACACTTAAAAACTCTGCACTTTTACAAAAAAAGTTATAACCATGTCAACGCTAACTCTTGGTAAATTCCTGGAGTCTGCTTTGATGCGGATGTGAACGCAACTTCCATTTTTATTAAATGTAAAAAACGCAATAAATATTTCCATAAAATAATATTTACTTTAACAACCATAACCTCAAAGAAGTTGTCATAACAGGAGTGACGTCACTAAACGCTGATTGGTGTTTTAAAATACGTTCCGTTTCAAGTATTTTTAATTCGTAATAATTGTTAAAAAACAACATTATGTAAAATAAAAACGTTGTAGTGGCATTTCTTTTATATTTTTTTAACATTTTAATCATATAATTTTCATAAATACTATATATGCATCTTCCCTATTGTTAACGTTTTTTTTCTTTCTCGATTTTCACTAACTGAACTCCTTTATATGTTTTATTGAAGTTATACTTCTTTAGGCGCGTTATGAAAAAATGATGAGAGTGAAATTTTTAGATGCGCGCGCATCACTGTAACCCAAAAGTAACAGCATGAAGTTGGCCGCAGGCGCGTTATGAAAAAATCATGTGAGTGAAATTTCGAGATGCGCGCGCATCACTGTAACACAATAGTAACACCATGAAGTTGGCCGCGGGCGCGTTATGAATGTTAGTGTATAATAATGGTGGATTATTAACCACTAAGTGGTTCGAAAGGTACTTTGAACGATCCACGGAGCTCCATAAGATGATCGTGTTGTCAAAAACAATGTTGGCACGCTCGTTGCCTCTGATCACTGTTTTCATATTTATAATATTTATCCACATGTTTCTAGTTTCTATATAGACACAACGTGTTTTAGTTACTTACAAGTGCTAATTACATATGGACTAATAACTTAAATTCAGTAGTGATTTTAATTGAATATTTAGAATATTTATTTAATTTTTCAAATTAAAACTGAACTTAATTGACTGTGTTAACTATCCTTTTATTATTTTATTGTAATTATTAATTATTTGCATGCAATTAAAAAATATTTTTAATGATGCTAAAGAAGTATAACTTCTCACGCGCGTACATAAGTTACACGCATCCATTATAATATAGTGGAAACTTTATTGATGTATATTTTGTTAATTAGATCTAGGTATAAGTATTAAATTTCATTGTTTATTTGGGAAAAGAAAGATAAAATAAAAAATAAATTAAAAGCTTTTAAGATATAAATGCAATATTGTATAGAAAGCCAAGAATAGTAAAACCTTCAGGTTAATAAGTATTTATTATATCATACTTAGCACATATTCATAATAATGTATATGTTACAGTTAAAACGCATTTTTCGTTACAACTCTTTTCCCAAGTTAAAATTAGTTTTTACTTAATGCCTTTATCAAAACTAGAAATACCCAGTTAAAACTAGAATTTACCACTGATATATTTGATTTTCAGATAAAACTAGTTGTCACATTGAGCTGTAGTTAAAACTAGCACTAGAAAAACTTATTTGGGATTGAAAACAAGATATAGTTTGAAATATATTTATTGAAAAGATCTAGGACACTGAGAACCAAATAATAATCGAACACTAAAAGAAAATTTTAGGGAACATCGACATAAATTAGTTGCCAAGATGACAATATTAATTATAAGTGAATCTTTAATCTTTTGAAGAACCACTCCGACTATAATACGTAGATCTGCTTTTGCTCGGTCAATATTAGGGATTTGTATAATTAAATTATGACAGATTTCTACTGGAACGTGTATTGCATCTGATGTCAATATCATTCTCTTGGCCTGTTTTTTAAGTTTTGATGTGCAGTTTCTCTGGATCCCATTATTTGTCGATTCACATTTGTTACAATTTCGAGGTCTTTTGTCATTTGGTAGTATTATAAGAAGCTTTGCGGTCGTAGATGCTTCACCTTCAATGCTACTTATATTCACTTGTTTCTGCTACAATTGGCGATTCTCTGTTTGATTTGGACGAACTTTCTACGTCTTTTTGTTGGGCTCCAATTAAAATCAGATGCTATCCACTGCAACTATTAATATATAACTAGCTACAGGCTCAGATTCTGCATTATCTGTATTATCCGTCATATTTATATTGTTCAACGCATTTTCAAAATCATCTTCATCTCGTATATCCTTAATAACATCTCGAGGCAAAGTCGAAGTCATAAGCCCTACTCATATATAATTTCGTCTACTAAATTGTCATAGGTTTCTTTTGTCATAATATAAAAGTGGTCTTCTTTTTTTTCGTGATCACGAATCGCTAATAACTTGTTTAAAATTTACTCTTTCCATCGTATTTCATTTAAATTTGCCGTGACAATTGCACTCGCTGGAATGAATCCTATACGTGCTTATCGGAATAAAAACAAGGCGGGAATGAACGAAGCAAGCGCACAGCGCGCGGACGACGCTATTCCCGTGCATTTGTCGAATCAGGTTAGGTCTCGCGACAAATGATATAAGATACACCAACAAGAACAAAATCGTGCCCGAAACCTGTCCAAAAGGTACATTGGACGATCCACAGAGCTCCGTAAGATGATCGCGTAGTCAAAAACAATATAAGGTCATATTTAAACATTGAAAGTCACATTTAATCCTTACTGTATTAGGTTTTAATTAAAACTCATGCTTTAAAGACTTCTGACAGTTCGAAATGCAAGCTCGTAAAATTTTACGACTTATTGCGATATGCGGAAAAATATAGACCTTATTTCTTAGAATCTACGCGCAATTCTGAATGCGCTGTTAGCAATATAGCAGGTACGGACCGCGAGGAAAAGAGACAACAAACATTGATTAGATATCTGTCGAAAAAACGACACTTTTCGTACTCTATTATTTCCGATTTTTTTCACGGAGCCCTATGGCATCATGACTTTATAACAGTCCGCGCGTGACTGTGAACCAAGAAGTGCTTGAGTGGAGTTCAAGCACTTTTTGATTGCGACACATTTTGAGCGCTCGTGGTGTATCTAGGGTATTTAATATCATTGCTCGCGACCAATCTGAATAAAGTACGATGATCAGGTGCTACAGACAGTTTTAACTGACTTGCTTCGGAAAAACTTGTTTTGTCTAGTAAGAACTAGTTTTAACTGATATTTGATTTGAGCATTGGTTCATTCTAGTATTAACAAAGGCACACATTAAAGCCTAGTTTTAACTGTAACATATACGTAGTAATATCACATTTTTGTACAAGAAATGTAGTCCTAATTGTGACAATAAGGTCGATTGAAATAAAAAGAGTAATTTTTATTTATATGTTTTATTTGTTCCTTTTAAAAAACATTCATTAAATGACTAACAAATGAGGCATGGGTTAACATATTTCGTTTCGATGTAAGCATGAATCACACAGAAAACACAATCTCATGAAGCTGTTCATTTAAACATAAAACCGTTACATATTGTGTTGTATTCTTCATCAAGATATTTCACAACATACTTGTAAAATAACGGGCCTAATTATTACAATGCATTAAATTGACAGTTTCTTTCTATTGTAAAATTAGCAAAGGTACCATAAAATAAAGTTTTATAAACTACATACGTACGCAATTAATTACAGACCTTAATGGGCGCTTTGGGATGAATACTTTATGAAGCATATTGTTTTAAACTTTCATGGTCACTAACATTATAGTACCTAATATAAGTTATTTACGGGATTGTTACCATATACCTTGTTTTTAGCGCGTTTCCGATCATGGCGCTTGCAGCAGTGCCGAAATATCGGAAACTCGTTAAAAACAAGGTACATGGTAACAATCCCGTAAATAACTTATATTACTATTTATGAAGCATGTTCAAACATGGCTTTTAATTGACAATCGTTTATTTCAAATCAGCAATTTAAAAAAAACCTGAGAACTTCACAAACAAGCAGCTCGTTAAAATCAGCATGGAATTTAAGAATTTATATTTTCAGTACCTATATTATTTACCAAGTATTCCGAAATTTACAAGGTTTCGATTTTTTTATATGTATTTTAAACACCTCTGCTTCAGAAATATAATGTCTATATTATGAGAAAATATAAATTATCTTTGAATTGAGAAGCATGTACACTCGCGGAAAGACCCGCTCTGTCATCCATAATGCCATAATCGCTTGCGGTAGCGGCGTAGTAAAAATTCATTCATAGACATGTAATTATCGCTGTCTTACTTTTTCGTATAGCGCTGTCGCGATCACGATGCGGATGACGAATTGCAACTAAAACAAATGCAATTCAATTCATTATTCAATCAATGAAATGCTCTCTGTCTAGTAAGACAGAGAGCACAAAAGTATTTGTGCGGCGGCCTGGATTGGCGCGTCCGACGCGAAGGCGGGGCGTAGTAAAAACTACTGTAGAAAACCGTTCAAAGCATTTTGTTCGCCAAGTGACAGAGCGCAAAATTCCGCGATAGTACCTATTGGTATAGGTATTTCTTTTTGTTTAAATGCACAGCAATCATGGCTGAGAAACAGCATTATGTAGAATAGTAATTTAAAATGATTATTAAAGATATTTTTGTCTTGTGAATAATGTAATTAACATTTCATACAATGAAAAAATGGCTCTATGAAACTTAGGCCCGTATTATAGAAAGATTCTCAGTGATTGATCTAGTCTTGAGCATAGTTAGAAAGGGATGTCGCTATATATAGCACATAGCGATATCAATTTCTAACTGTACTCAAGTAAAGATCAACACTTAGTTGTCCTTCTGTAATACGGGCCATAGTATGTTAATAAAATTACGAAACAAAAATAATCCTGTCCTTTGTCGCTCGAATCGTTTTTTTTCCGAATCTTGCCGATTTACAGTAAACTCAATTGGTAAGATCGATTCCATATCAGGTACAGTCGAAACCACTTCCGGTGTTAATACATTTGGACCGCGTTGTTTCAACCATAGTTAAATTCTAATATAGATAATGATGTCAATTCTGGCATGATTCTCTAAAGCTAAACTTAAATTAGACAACAGTGCATCCTTGTCCTTCTCTATACAGAATGAAAAGGAGAGACTGATGTTAAATTTAAGTTTAGAGAATCATGACAGAATCGACACCAATGTCACGTCAAATAAATAGTAAATGTGTCAAGTGTTGTTTGTTGTGTGTTGTTAACAATGTCTTTTTTTTTTCAATATAAAAACGCCAATAATGATTATTTATCAAACATTTAAAAATTATGTTCATTAACTTTTAAATTATACCATCATCGATTAACAAGTAAATAGATATTACAAACTTATGTCATGTTTTGTAATAATATAATCTCTGTATTGTGATAAATTTTTAGTGGATAACGGTGTTGGTTGTGTAATGACATCAATATAGGTATATAACAGCGTTGCTGCATTACATAGTTACGGTATTGCACAATAGGGATGTAGACTTTTTTTTTCTTCGTTTATCAGGTAGATTATCAAAAAGTATTGGACACGTATTTTTTCTTTTTGACATAATATAAACATTGCAGAGATATAATGATTTGTAAAGTCGCATGACGTCACGTTTTGGTACAATTTTTACTTAAAAGTGACGTCACGAGCCCCTGCTCTCAAACTTTGACGCGCTATAACTTTGTCATTTTTTGGTTGATTGCCCAAAGAAAAAATATGTGTCCATTATTTTTTGATCATCTAACTGACGGACTTAATAGAATTTCGTTTACTGTACCCCGTCATCACCCCTATTGTTTGTGATCCTAAGACCTATGTGGGACCAACCAAGATGACCTTGGTGGGAAGTTGGTTTCGATCCGCGTTATGATTTTCGGCTACACGGATGTAATCCACGCGCCAACACGCAATCGCGAGCCGTCTTCTGGCGTGAAAACACGTATGCACTTGTATCAAGCGCGGACTGTATTTTAATTTATCTCAATTTTAAAATGTGGGCTTTGCCTTAACAGTTTTGTGTGCAATAGAAGCAGTGGCGGCGCTAGAGCACATGTGGACGTCGGCGACATCAAGTTCGCGAGGCCTATTTTACTTCGCAGTAAAAAACCGTTAAATTAAGTGAGCTAAATTATAAAATAACGTATGAGTAAACGAGTTTTATTATTGATAATCAAATGATGACAAAAAGTAACTACAAACATAGAAATTTAAATACAAAAATAGTGTTACCAGACAGACGATTCTGAATACCCGTAAAGTACTACTCGCTTCCATCACGCACGTGTTAGAAAATAATAAAAGTCATTATCATCTGCTTAGCTTTTTCCCCGAATTGTTCGGGGTCGGCTAGCTAAGCCTAAAATAGGTAACTTGTAAAAAATTTTTGCGAGGCCCCCCGTCGGCGGTGGCCGACGTCGCCGACGCCTAGCGCCGCCACTGAATAGAAGACGTTGTTATCGTTATCGTTGATATATCGTTGAAACAACGCGCCCTTACACATTTTCATTGATTTCATTAGAATATAGGAGGATAGAGCAGAGTACGTTTATGTTTTACAGTAATAGTACAAGTAGGTAAGTACTATAATTTAGTATGATTTACGTTTGTAAATATCATATACCTAACCGTCTGAAAAATTAAAAAAAAAAACAAAATTCAATATCGTTTATTCAGTCTAAGCTGTTACAAGCACTTGTGAATGTCGAAAAGCTACGCCATCGGTTCGCGAATCTACGTCACGAGACCTTGTACTCAGAAAAACCAGCAAGAAACTCAGCAAGGGCTGTTATTTTCTCCCTGTATTATATACAGGAGTCAAATTGAAAAATGACTTCACTACGAGATAACTCATGAAGTCACTTTCCATTACAAATGTAAATGATATAAAAATTATGACTATAAATACAAAAAATATAAAAACTGATTTAACAAAGTTTAGAAATGTTTAGGAATACCGTGCCCTACTGTTTAGGCATAATGATGAGACGAGGACTATAAGAGCGATAATTGTAGTAAAATTATACCAAATTCCACCCTCTTTTGTGGTCCCGATTGCACAAATGGACAAGTATTTGGTATTAATGCAATATGTATTATGCTATGAAAAAACTCTTAGCTAATAAGGGCAAAATTAATATCTCTCAATTATAAGCAGCCGATTTCAGTACTGAAGAACGTTCAACAAAAATGAGTCCTTAATATACCTAACGTAACATAGACATCAATAACATAGTAGAATAACGTGTAAGCGAATCCATTACATATGAAAATACTCTCAATATTCATTAATGCTAGCTAATGTATATCATTAAAATTTTATATGAAAGATGAGGCAATGCTAGAAAATTGCACTGTTTACTATAGTATGCACACAAACATTTAACAGTTTAAGATAAATGTAAGGAAGCTATGTTTTAATTGTGACGTTTTGAACGCTCATAACTAAAAAAAAAAACGTTTGAAAGTTACACGTTGGGCGCCAACAATTTCAAAATATAGTTTAGAATGTTTCTGTATTTTAAATAATCAGCAATGGCTTAATGTGCGTTTATTCGTATTTAATTATATTAATAAATATAATTAAAAGTACCTATGTATTGCAAAATATACTTAAAAACATTATAAAATTATAACTCTGTCGATGTTCACGCGCGGGATTAATAAATCTCTTAAAAACTATCACAAGCAGCAACATAACAACGTAATCGTAACGATGTGTAAATCCTATAAAATAATTATCTAGTCAAATGACTAGATTAGGAGATCAATAAGATGTAACACACAATGAGAGAAAAAAACATGATTTTAATGCAGGAATGGCTGATAATCAATACGCATTAATTGTTCGAACATTGTAAATATTAAACGTGAAAAATTATTACAAAGTACAAGTAAGATATTTATTGTCCACAAACAATAAAACAAATCAATTGCCGATTGATATGTCCGGGCCCGCCATGTTGTTGTTTCCCACAAGATGGACGAATTGACGAACATAAAATTGAAGATTGTTAAACACTCAATTACATTGATTACAATTAGCTACAATATTTCATTTTTCTATTTTAACATTAACAACAGCTTATTACTAAGTTTTCCTGTACGTTTTAATACGTTATCCAGACTCAAAATACTGAGAGTTATATCTTTTTTTTTATGTCCCCTTATTTCAGTTGTAGTTCTTAAATGGTGTGTTTCATCAGCTAAGCGATATAACCTAAGAATATCTTCTAAGAAGTCAAGAAAGGTTGGGACCATCAGATTTCCCATATTCTGAATTTGAGTGCCAAGCTTTGACTTCAGCATGGGATCTGAGTAGACAACGCAGGATTGATTCTCTTTGGCATCGTAAGCTTTTATAGTTTATGGTTGCCGCTTACCATAAGGTGGGTCTTATTAAGCTTGTATAAAAAGATGGCGTTGCTATTTAAAAGAAATGAGAATTTTGGCATCGTGCTCGGATTCTTGCAGATCAAGTTAGTCTACGATTTATAAGAAGATGGGTTAAGTCTTTTCGTCTATCGGTATTTGGTCTTTGTTAACAGTCACCGTGTGTTGTTATTCATTAGGGCATCGCTTGTCCTCTAATGAAAGGATTAGGGCAGTTTCTATTTTGGACTTGAGCCAGGTCAGAATTTCGGGATCTGATACTTCGATGACTTTCTCATCTGTCGAGAAATAGTTCACCATTTCGTCCTGCAAATATACCAAGGATATTATTATCTATACTTTATAATTAGTAATCTTATTTAATAATACTGGATCTGTAGTAGGAAAGAAATATAGGAGGTAGTTTTGGAAATTCGTCAGGGATATTGAGTGTTTACATATCCAATGTATCTCTTATCTATTAGACAAGTCCGTCCGTCCGTCTGTGGTGCTGTTTCAGCGGCCAAACCGTAAGAGATAGACAAAGAGAATATTTAAGTTATAAGTTAAGAATAGTCTGATAAGATTACAAACCGGATTTGAGTAACGTAGCACTTCCGGTTTTCGAGAAATCACGAATTTCAAACGAAACCACACAAAATCTCCGAAGTTCTCAATTAATGAAATACATTTTTTTTTATATCAGGTTTTGGTGAACATTTGGTTCACTGGTTTGCTAGTCATTACTAATATTATACAAGAAAGTGGGTCTGTCTGTCTGTTATTCACGCTTAAATCGCAGAAACGATTAGGATGACAATTGGTATACTTTTTAGGACACAAAAAAAAGGGTCGTGGTTACTTACTCGATCACACGCTAGTATTAAAGAAAAATGATATTGAAGTTGAGGACACTACGGTAAATTCTTGCATTGGATTAGTACAGTGCAAAACTCCATTTTTTTTAATTTTGGAAGAGAAACTTGTTTTCAGACTATGGAACGTCATGTGTGTGTATGAGATGCGTGCGCAGTTCTTCCCGACGAGCATGAAAGATGGAGAATAGCTCGGTGACGGCTGAAACACTACGAGCGTCATACTCGACAATATATATATATACATATATCATGGATCACGCATCTGAAGAGAAACTTCTTTTATTAAATAAAGCGGAATAATGGAGTTTGATACCCAGTTGTGGCAGGCGATTTTTAAAAAAACAGTGAATGCAGTTCTAGTTATTATTCAAAATAAAATCATGTCGTCTTTCGGTAAAAAAATCTATCTGCACTATTTAATATACTTTCCCTCCGTGTGAGGTAGCCGTGGGACGCCCTGTATATGAGCGATGCACGCGCTGCTCCATTCCGCTTTATTTAAGAAAAGAAGTTTCACTACAGATGCGTGATCCATGCAGCAAGGGCGGATCCAGCTTTGGCGCCAGGGGGGGGGGGTCATATAGCCAGCTTTGGCGCCAGGGAGGAGGGTCATATAGTCGTGGTATATTAAATATTGAAAGTACTTAAATAAAATCCCCCTGGGTTTGGTCCATCTGTACCCAGCCCATGGGGGGGTCATGACCCCCATGACCCCCCCCCCCCCCCTGGATCCGCCCTTGCCATGCAGACATTTTTGTTTTAGTAGATTGTTAGCAACCCCGACCTGCTTGATGTTGAGCACGAGCCGGTCACCCTGTATAGCCGGCGAGTCGATGACGTCATCGATGGTGACCGCCCACTCCGCGTGCCACGACCCGCCGCTGCCCGCGCGCACCATGAATATGTGTCTGAAGTAATAATCATAATGATAAGTTTACTAGAAAAAAAAAGCCTTGCAGCTTAAGGCTAGGAAAATTTCGACGCGGCTAATAGGGCCGTGGTAGCATAATGGTCAGTGCATTCGCCCGGATAGCGAAGGATGCGGGTTCGAGTCCCGTCCGCTGCCTGGTCCGCGTGGATTTTTTTTTGTAAACTTTTCTTTAGATTTAAAACATCTAGCAGTTAAATGCTTAAAAAATAAATAAAATCATAATCATAATGATAACACCCCCTCAAGTTCCCACTGCGAAAGTTGCAGCTTCGAAGATCGCGGCCGAAAGCGCTTATCACTGCGCCATTGAGCTCAAAAATGGTAAAGTACCTACGTGTTTTTGGTAAAAAGTGATCTCCACAAGCATGGGAAAGGACCATACTAAACAATTATCTTCCATGCCCCAAGCGTTTGTTATACCCTAATAACCGTCGAGCTAGGTGAAAGATAGGCTTATAATAGGGGCGATGACGGGGTACAGTAAACGAAATTCTATTTAGTCCGTCAGTTAGATGATCAAAAAATAATAGACACGTATTTTTTCTTTGGGCAATCAACCAAAAAATGACAAAGTTATAGCGCGTCAAAGTATGGGCTCGTAACGTCACTTTTAAGTGAAAATTGTACCAAAATGTGACGTCATGCGACTTTTCAAATCAATATATCTTTGCAATGTTTATATTATGTGAAAAAAGAAAAAATACGTGTCCAATAGGTACTTTTTGATAATCTACCTGATAAACGAAGAAAAAAAAATGTCATCATCCCCTATTATTATATTGTTTCATTGTTATCGGTTAAGTGCTAAAATATTTGGAAGGATGACAAAGATAAAGTTCATATAAAAAAAAAAAAAAAAAAAAAAAAAAAAATTCGGACAACAGCAGCCCATATCAATGATACAAATGCAAACAATAAATTAACATTAAATTTCTAACATTTCATATGCCTATTGGATTTTATAAATGCCCACGCGATGGATATCAGCGTACGTTCCCCTCAGGTTCGAGTGGTCTAGAGGCTCCAGACGGAGAGGAGACTCCCCCGTGGGGAGATGCCATCCGCCTGGAATACCTCTAGAGGCACTCGCCAATTCATGGCTTGAGGTCTCGTTAGGATCTCGCCGGCCCAAACTTGGTTGATTCTGTAAAGGTCATCTGCGACCAACAGCATACACATTAAAAAAACACATTGAAAACATTGATCCGAGTTTGTTTCGCCAATTCTTCTGAGAGCTTAGTGTGTGTGGTAGTTTACGGTAGGTAGATATTATTAAAACACGCTCTTTCGGTTAACGACTGACTTTTTATTTGACACATCAAGATTACACGAATAGATTATAGATGGCGCTACTAGTCTTACAGAAACATTTTGGTATATAATCTAACAGATATTAGGGTCAAATAAACAAAATAAAAAAAAAATTAAATAGTCATCATCGTCAGCCTATTAATATCCCCCTTGTTGGGGCACAGGCCTTCCCTACGGATGAGATAGGGATACTAGGCCAAGACCCACCGTGTTAGGTCTAGTACGGATCTGCGTTTACTTACTAGAGCAGATGCTAGTTCAATTCGTTTAGGTGGATGCTAACAATTGCTGATGCAGCCAGGAGCAACGAAGCATGGAGTAGCTCTATAACAAGTTTTAGCCACCCATCTGATGACGGACCATTGCAAAAGTTAAGTTCCACGATCGAAGACAGAACTCGTTAACTAATTGCGCCATCGAGTTTCACTTTAAACTTAGTAATAGTTACCGCCAGACCCGTCTCTCCCAGTGGGCACTTTGGGCATGTGCCCAGGGCCCCGTGATCGATAGGTGGGCACCTCAGATCACAAATACAAAGTCCCTAGTTCCTGTTAGATCACCAAACGGGGGTCATAGGGGCCCCATTATCCTAATATGCCCAAGGCCTCCAATAGGTAGACCTTGGGCAACCTATTGGAAAAAACACCTTCAAAAAAACAGCGTACTCCTTCCTTAAAGGCCGGCATCGCATTTGTGATACTCCTGGTGTTGCAAGTGTCCATGGGCGACGGTGATCACTTACCATCAGGTGAGCCGTCTGCTCGTATGCCACCTATAACATAAAAAAAAAGTCGAAGACTGCACTGGTCACCGCACAAATATAAGATCTACTCACTGTGTGGATATCAGCAGCGTGCAATTAGACTTTGGCCCCAGATGCGCGTGCGCAATATAAACGTCTGTGTCAACGTAATGTCCTCGCCCGAGTAGAGTCAAAAGCTGCAGCCCTAGCGCCGCGTGCTGAGAGTATGGAGTGACGCCCTTTAAATAAAAAAATCATTAAATATTTGAATCCCCTTGAGATTAAAATTCATAGGGTGACGCCCTCATCATCATCATCATCATCAGCCTATTAATGTCCTCACTGCTGGGACACAGGCTTTCCCTATGGATGGAATAGGGAGATTGGGCCATGACCCACCACGCGGGCCCAGTGCGGATTGGTGGGTGCTAACCATTGCAAATGCAGCCGGGACCAACGGCTTAACGTGCCTTCCGAAGCACGGAGGAGCTCGAGATCCTGTTAAATCACCAAACGAAAGTCCTGGTCCTGGCCATATTAGCATGGGGCTCCTATCCATTATCCTAATATGGCCAGGACCTCCAATAGGTCAAAGACGGCACTGAGTGTGAGTGGCATGTGCACATCGGTTCTTAAAATTATAGTCTATTCTGAAGTCCTGGGTTTGAATCATGGTGGGGCAAATGCCCCGTACCTTGGGGCCGGGACGAAGCTAGTTAGTTAATTGCTTCGCCCCGGCTCCAATGGCTTAACTTAAGTACAAATACTCGTCCTATTCATCAGACAAACGATTACAGATTAGGTAAAAAGATGATCGTATTTTAACTAATTAATTGTATAAGTATTTATTAAATTACTTACAAATTATGAATGCGTCCTTTTTTCTATTCTCTTTTTGCTGTGTCCTATTCAGGGTCTACAATGATCAAATCAATGTACCTTCTAAGATCTAAGAAAACATTGTAGAACGCAATAAAGTATTGATTGTTTGAAACTTTTGCCCCACATTTAACTTCTTAAGTGTTAGAAATATTTATAAATGATCTCTCAATGTATACCTAGGTATATAAGAAGAAGAAAACATGTTATTGTTTGCCCTACAGACGTCTGTAACATCAGAAGTAACTCACGCCCATTACCGACAATTTAAACATTTTCACACCTCTACCCCCGTAGCATGAGTAACAAAACGCGATATGATAAAGCGATTTATCGACATTATCTGTCAAACTACAATGGAGTTTGACAGTTGAGTGTCGATAAATCGCTTTATCATATCGCGTTTTGTTAGTCATGCTAGGGGGACTGGTGAAAAAAAAATCTATCTGATATTTTTTTTTGAGGGTTACCTACAGTGCGAAGAGATGCCGCTGCCTTGCAGCCTAAGAAAGGATAGAGAAAATTCGACGCGGCCATCAGGGCAACGATAGCATAATGGTCAGTGCATTCGCCCGGTTAGCGAAGTGTGAGTGTTCGAGTCCCGTCTGCAGCCTGGTTGCGGTGGAATTTTTTCTAGCAATATTTTCTTTAGATTTAAACTCTATCTTACTTTAACATACTGTTAGATAAAACTCAGTTTACTTCAGATGAAATTAATAATTAACTTTATTAAATAGTCACAACCACATCACAAGCAATCCGCTGAATGCCACGCACTCACGCATAGGGTGCGGCCAGAGTGCACTCAGATTCAGATTCAGATTCAGATTCTGAAAACAAGCGCGAGAAATAAACAGTGTAGTCTAAGCAGGTTGCCTGCTTTTTCTCGCGCTTTGTTTTCTGAGTCTGAATCAGGAGTGCACTCTGGCCGTACCCTTCGACTACACTGTTTATTTCTCGTGCTTGTTTTCGAAATCTGAATCTGAATCTGAATCTGAGTGCACTCTGGCCGCACCCATACGCGGGTAATCCCCAATCACATCTGTCAGTTCATTTTGACAACTAGTGCTGCCGAACTTAGAGCTCAACAATAGTGACGTTGCGAATCGATTAAGGTTCGGTTACTTCATCTAAGAATACGTACTTCTATCAAAGTGCAATGCCTAGGTAAGCGTTGTCGTGCCACTAGCCTTCCGCCACTTCTCTCCACGCAGGCTTTCAGGGCATTCTCAGCGTTGTTAGCGCCAAGTTGACGGGACAGAGACGCGCGCGCAGCCTCTCGACATAAATCTGTAATATTATGTGTTTTTAACGATTTGTTCACAGCTGTTTGATACAGAAAAGGTTGTAATTAGGCACGATAATTATTAAGTCATATTTTGTATGCTTTTCTCATAAGGCATCAAAAGTCCAAACTCATTTGTCCAAGAAGTCCAAGCAACATTGGCTGCTATTTTGCTTGAAAGATATCGGTTACATCTTTCTAAAATGTATTCAATATCAAGCGATATACGAGTACAAACAGAAGGAAAAAATCCGCGAAAAAAAAATGACATTAGTCTAATAATAAAATTGATTAAAAAAATGGATGCGTGTAACTTATGTACGCGCGTGAGAAGTTATACTTCTTTAGCATCATTAAAAATATTTTTTAATTGCATGCAAATAATTAATAATTATAATAAAATAATAAAAGGACTGGAAAAGAATAGTTAGCACAGTCAATTAAGTTCAGTTTTAATTTGAAAAATTAAATAAATATTCAAAATATTCAATTAAAATCACTACTGAATTTAAGTTATTAGTCCATATGTAATTAGCACTTGTAAGTAACTAAAACACGTTGTGTCTATATAGAAACTAGAAACATGTGGATAAATATTATAAATATGAAAACAGTGATCAGAGGCGACGAGCGTGCCAACATTGTTTTTGACAACGCGATCATCTTATGGAGCTCCGTGGATCGTTCAAAGTACCTTTCGAACAGATGTCTAATAATGGTGGATTATTAACCACTAAGTGGTTAATAATCCACCATTATTAGACACTAACATTCATAACGCGCCCGCGGCCAACTTCATGGTGTTACTATTGTGTTACAGTGATGCGCGCGCATCTTAAAATTTCACTCTCATAATTTTTTCATAACGCGGCTAAAGAAGTATAACTTCAAAAGGTTTTTAACGATATACCTAACGTATTGGTATAAATGTATTGAATACAAAATATTCGAGATTGTAGTAGAGTTAGGTTTTAGTATAGTTTTTGGCTTTAACTAAGGTATAGTTGTCGTAAAGGACTTGCTGTCAAATAAATTAATTAGGAAAGGTAATAAGTTAGTGAGATTTATTTTCGTTGGTTTATATACTATTATTGTTAAAAGAATAAGTCCAATAGGTAGGTAACGTTTATATTTGTAATATACATAATTACTATTTATTTTCAAAATCTATAATCTGCCTTACTATTTTTGAATAAATATTGTTATTTGCCTTTGCGGCATAAAGAAAATCTAAATGATTGAAGTCCTCTATGTAATTGGAGTCAAGAACATTTGGTAGATTGTTCTCTAATACTTTCACGTCTGTGGGATCCGCATGCCAGTCATTACCACTAAAATATAAAACAACAGGAACTGTGACATTATTCAAGTCGTAATCGGGTGGTGATTCTGTGCCATAGATTTCCATATTCTTTTCTGGTCCATGGTCAAACCTACAGAACCTACCAGATCCGACCAACTGGCCGTAATGAACGAGTTGTAGAGTCGACGAAGTAGTAGGCATATGGCTTAGTACCACCGGCATAATATCATTCATGTTTTTGCTATCATGACCTACGATCATGTATAAAAGACTATTACAAGACACTCCCAAAATACCACAAATACTCTCTGAAACGGATTCTAGGAACTCCGTACTGGACAGGTTATAATCCAACAGGAGACCTCCCAGGAAGTTAGAAGCCGGTGAGAACATCTTCACTAAAGGACTCCTTACATTCGCCATCCAAGCAACTGGTGCTAAAGCAAACATTAATTTTATTTTCTCATTGTATTCTGGCTTCATCGAATTCATGACGTAGAAACTGGTAGTGCCTTGAGAATATCCGATATAGTACAGGTTTTCCTTTTCAGTTACGTTCAGTGTATAATCAATCATGGCTGGCAGATCATATGTGCCTATTTCTTCCCAAGTGAAATCCCAAAATTCCGACTGGTTCGTGTTTAGTGAAGTGTGCCTTAAAGCGTGTTTATTGCCTCGAGCATTTCCCATCCAAACATCAAAGCCTCTATCAGCTAGGATATAAGCCAGTGCTTTATCAATGCCTTGTAGGACCCAACTATCCGAGCTGTCCACGAATCCGTGCATCAAGAATATTGTCAAGTTGTTTGTTTCATTGTTTCTACCACAAGGTATTCTATGCAGTTTTATGATGTAGCCATCTTCTGTTGTAACGCTATGCTCTTCAAACGGATATCCATATTTAGCTGTTAACTGCGTAATGTTAAGATGTGCGTCTTCAGATTGCGTATTCAAATCGATTTGTTCTTCATTTTGACTCAAAATTATACTGACAGTATCTTGGACACCAGTAAGAACGCTAGCCATTTGATTTAAGCCTTGTACTAAGCCGTCAAATATTCCAAAACGCATTAGCAAATTCACACTCTCGTAATTGTGGACGTGATGAGTATTGCATTTTGCTATCAGCACGACTGATATAAGCAAAACGCGCGTAGCGTTCATCTTGAAGCCACGTGTAATATTACAAATTGTCATATCATGTCATATATTTAAATACCGCGCACTAACGTATTACTTTATGTAGTTTCTAAAATACAATTAACACTTCAACGAACTTGACATTGATTTGAGTAATCTCTTAATAATTATGTAGTGCTCTTATTACCTAAATATTGATGGTAGCCTTATCTTTGGATTTTACCTGATGTTTGTCATCAATATTTCATTTAGCTGGCCCAGTTAAAAAACAAACAACTATGAAGTTAACTATTTCTGTTCCAGTTTAAAGTTAGCGTGCATAACAAACTTTTGTATAGGGAAACATCCATCTAACAACTAGAAAATTGCAAATTTGGGATCATGCAATCATAAATACGAAGAGTGATGAACATATAGTAGATGATTGATCTATCCTAATAACTTCTGAATGAAAGTTATGTTACTCATTTAATCTCAAATTTAATAATTTCAGATACCTAAGAAATAGTATTTCCTCTGCTCATCCCTCTTCATAAATAGGTCATGCACTAAGGATACTCACTGCGTACAAGTACATAGTCCTCGTCTATCCACACCCAGACAGATAAAAAAAATGGGAAAAACAAAATTAATGGTCACATGAAAAAAATTTTAGGTGATATATAAGCCGCTAATAATCTAAGTGTAAATCCAAGGAACCCTATATAGTTAAAAAAGTTATGGTTCGTGGATAATCCACTATGTTGATAGTAGTGTAGGTACATTACTGTATAATATTATTTACAATGGATGAAATGATGTACTTTTAATAACATTATTTTATTTAAAAGATTATTTTTTTCCATTAGTGACGTGTATTTGTCGTAAGGAATCAATTTTATAATCATGGCAACTTTAAGTATTGTAACAAAACTGAAAAAACAGATTAATAACACATTGAATTGAAACAGCATACCATTAAAAAACTAGCTAAATACCTATTCAAAATATTTTTGAAAATGAAGCATTTTAGTTTCCTTACACAATGAACAATTCTTAGCGAAATAAAACAAAGCTAAGGAAATGAATTAAATCATTATAACGATATTGACGGTGTAAAATGTAATCGTCACGTCAATAGCAACAAATCACAAGAGTCTTAATTGCCCAGAAACAACAACAGAAGTGATGAATGAAGCGATTTCCAAGACTGCTCTTGATGGGCTTTTGCTATATAAATTGCACAGAAAAAAATTGCGAACTGGTGAATTTAATAATTTTGCGTTTGTTTCTATTTCCTAGGATCTCTAGAGTTGCCAATATTTGAACTTACAAGCTGTTCAAATGCTTCATTAAAGTCTACAATTTAAAACAGTGAAATGCATTCGAGTCTCAATTAATTTCAATCCCACGAAACAAGCACAGGTGAGTATTTCATGCAAATAAAGTCTATTTGGGATGCAGCAAATTTTATGTGCGTTCTAAACAATAAGTCCAAGCAACAACATGACCTAGTCTACAACTGTAAGGCCTAAGGCCTCGTGGCCTTACCGATGGTGGGCCTGGCGATGAGACCCGTCAAGGCCAACACCACGCTCGCTGGATTCACGTTGTCTCCTTCTAATATCGACTCTGGGATGTCGTTGTCTCTCGTCTCTTCATCACCTTCAAGTTTTTGCAAATCACAAATGTTCATGTACTTTGCCTAGTTCTATTAATCTACTAACATGAAGTTATGGCAAAAGTAAAGGTATTTTTTGTTGGGGTAGGGGTCGAGGTTGTCGAGTGCAATAAAAGACCAAGTCAGAGGGTAGACATGTCCGCCAATAACATCTACCCGCAATTACTTCAGTAACTCCGTGATTATGGTGCTTGCAACGGTAACGAAATATCGGAGGCTTATAAAAAACAAGGAACATGGTAACAATCCTGCTAATAAGTATAATATTAGATACCACGAACATTTAAAACAATATGAAGGTAATTTTTCATGACTGTTTTATGTGTATATTCAAATGCAATACAATAGGGATGAGGACTATTTTTTTTCTTCGTTTATCAGGTAGTTTATAAAAAAATATTCTCTTCTCATTACCCAAATTTATCTGCTGCACCATCTTTATGGACAGAATAGGCATGATGACGGGGTAAAGTAAACGAAATTCTATTTAGTCCGTCTGTTAGATGATAAAAAAATAATGGACTCGTATTTTTTCTTTTTTCACATAATATAAACATTGCAGAGATATATTGTATTGATTTGAAAAGTCGCATGACGTCACGTTTTGGTACAATTTTCACTTAAAAGTGACGTCACGAGCCCCTACTCCCAAACTTTGACGCGCTTTATCATTGTCATTTTTTGGTTGATTGCCCAGAGAAAAAATACGTGTCCATTATTTTTTGATCATCTAACTGACGGACTAAATAGAATTTCGTTTACTTTACCCCGTCATCATGCCCATTCTGTCCATAAAGATGGTGCAGCAGATAAATTTGGGTAAGGAGAAGAAGGTTTCGAACAGTGGTTTGTGGAAATGGTTAGTTTTAATTAATTTACAAATACAACAAGTTTTTGTTGGGTAACACAGAAACTAGTCGGATATAAGTCATCTTTTACTTTAGTTTAGCTATAAAGTAAATAGACAAAACCTTCGAGAGTTGGTAAGTCAGACATTTCGCCAAATTTTGCCATCCAACATTTTCAGAAATAATCGTCAAAACTTTTATCACAATATCTTCATTAGATCAAATTCGTAATACTCTGGCTGGGTCTGTTAATGGTGACGCGCAAAGTCATTTTGCTATATTTTGACATTTTCACAAATAATCGTCAAAACTTTTTTCAGAATATTTTCGTTAGATCATATTCGTAATACTCTTACAGGGTCTGTTAATGGTGACGCGCAAAGATATTTCGCTATATTTCGATTTCCAACATTTTCATAGATCATCGGCCATTAACTATTAGTTATAAACATTGTCATCAAACCAAATGCGTGGCACACTCACCGGATCTCTTACTCGTAGTGCGCACGCGCGGCGTGGCTTGGAACAGTTGTTGCGCGCCGGCGCTCGCTTTGTGGCCCAACATGGCCGCCGCGGCTTCCCCGACCCGTCTACTGATGTCCATCGCACGGGCACCTATACCACCCTGCAGGTATGAGACAATGATTAATAAAAAAATGGTGTGGTTTTATAAAAGCGCGATGAAAGTGAAACTTTGTAGTACCTAAATTACTGCAGTGGCCAGCAAAAGAGGCATTGATGGACGAACTTGTAAACGTACGTAAGCTTAGATTAAAACAAAAAGGGAAGATTCGGTATCAATTAAAATCAATGTCGAACAACAATACTCATTCATTTGTTTTATTTTTTTCAAAAGACAGCTTTCTATTAGCAAATCAGTTCGAAATTTAACTGCTTGTGGTATGCATAACATAAGCAGTATTCATGCGGGCTATTTAAACTTTACGGCTCTAGGGATAGGTCATTTCGCCAAGTTAATCTATGGTTAAACTTCTTAATACAAAAGTAGGCTCTAACTATCACAAAAAACGGCTTATAGTCCCGTGGGTAGCGCGCCCCGATCGGGGCGTGCAGTCTTCTTTAAATAAATCTTTGATTTAAGATATAGAGATAAGAAGAGATAATGGTGTAACTTCGGGCACGATTCTCTAAACCTAAACTTAAATTTGACAACAGTGTATCCTTCTCAATTTCTATATAGAATGAAAGGGTGAGACTGATGTAAAATTTAGTTTTAAGTTTAGAGAACCATGCCAGAATCGACACCAATGTGTAAATAATTTTAACACCTAAGTAGTCTGTGGACGATCTGTAATTAACGGAGTAATTATTTGACGATTTCTTTGTTAGAGTACGCTGTAGGGGTATTCGAGGATGTTGAGCCTCAGCACCATCACGTGGAACTGCTGCACCAGCTGCGTCCGGTAGTGGTAAAGCCATGTCAGTGAGGGCCGGGATCGTGGGGTAGATTGGGTATTCTAGATAACGGATATGATTCAACCCACGAGATAAGGTTCGTAGTACTGCCTCATGCCTTTCGAGAAGTCTCCTATGACGCTGTAGTGGTTCCCGAGGATTTTGAGCTCAGCCCCAGCACGTGGAACTGCTGCACCAGCTGCGCCCAATAGTGGTGAAGCCATGACCATTAGGGTTCGAAGTCCCCCATAACTCTGTAGGGGTTTCCGAGGATGTTGAACTCAGCCCCAGCACGTGGAATTGCTTCACCAGTTGCGTCCAGTAGTGGTGAAGCCATGACCATTAGGGTCCAGGATCATGTTTATGATTGGGTATTCTAGATATCGGACGTAATTCAACTCACGAGGTAAGGTTCGTAGTACTGCCTCATGCCTTTCGAGAAGTCTCCTATGACGCTGTAAGGGTTCCCGAGGATGTTGAGCCCCAGCACCAGCACGTGGAACTGCTGCACCAACTGCGCCCAGTAATGGTGAACCCACGACCATTAGATGCCAGGATCGTGTTTATGATTGGGTATTCTAGATGTCGGATGTAATTCAACTCACGAGGTAAGGTTCGTAGTACTGCCTCATGCCTTTCGAGAAGTCTCCTATGACGCTGTAGGGGTTCCCGAGGATGTTGAGCCCCAGCACCAGCACGTGGAACTGCTGCACCAGCTGCGTCCAGTAGTGGCGCGACGCCATGTCCATTAGAGCCGGGATTGTGATTGGAGCGTTGCGTAGCTCCAGATAAGCCATTCTGGTGGATTAATTATGGATATTTGATTTCATATGATACGTTCCTGACCTTACTTTTTTGGCATTCACAGTGTGTAAATAAAGAGCAAATTGCATATCCATCGATGCTGTTCAGGACAAGTATCTTAGAGGCGTTATAATAAAGCAGTAGTGGATAAATAAATATCACTTTCATCGGTTAAAAACCGTTAGCGAATAGGCCTACTGATGTACCCCTTTACAAATAAATTACATTTAAAACATTTTAAATGTTTCTGGTAACAGGTGATATATTTAATTTGTTTTTTTTTTCAAAATACTCTTGCCAACCATAAGAGCGTCCGTCTGTATGTATTTTGCAAGGATTTCAAAAACTACTGAACGAATTTTCATATGGTGTTACCATCAGTTCGATATATAGAAAGAAAGAAAGAAAATTTATTTTGCCTGCTGTAGTACTACACTTACATACAAAATACAGCCATGACACAGAATGTCATGCCGCCGGTTTTCAGCCAGAGGCCTAGGTATATACTAATGTTGAATGTTTGTGAATAAAAAACTATAGTCTATACCGAAACGGATCTAGTGAAGATCAACATAAAAATGTTAATAGAAAGTAACTTACCTTAAAACTACATCTTTCATATCACAGAGTGAAGAACCCCAGGAATTAAACAAATACTCCAACAAATCACTGTTGAACAATTTAGGCCTATTTTCTTTTTTGTTTCCGAATCTCGATCGACTCGGGCTATTTGTTTCAGCCAAATAACCTCTCGATGATAAACTGAGCACCACTTTTATAGGGGACAGGTGTACGTATTCAAACACGACGTTCCTCTGCGCTGTCGTCTGACTCTTTATCGCTATAATAGGTAAAGGCATGTGAACTAGAGCTAAATCAGCTCGCAATCTAACCGCTGGCTTCTCTTCAATCTTCCAATGGTTTAAAATATCGAATACATGATTCACGAATCCTCTATCCAAATTTACGCAGAATTCTCTAACTAAAACTTTCACATGCTTATAAACGTCTTGGTTTAGACTAGGCCTGTGCTGTTTCAAAGCTTCGAATTCGAGGCAAGGTTTCAGTCCCCTGCTCGATCTTGCTTCAGCTGGCAACGGAGCTGGATACATCACACTCGGGAACACTGCTTCGTGTAACTGATTGTCTATTTGGAACCTCTGCACCTTCATGTGGAAGTATGAGTGTGTGTCCGATTTGCGGAACTGCAACCAAACGCCGGGATTATAAATCCTTCGCAACTCCGAGAAGAAAGGTTTGGTCATTTGCATTTTTTCCAAGTCGATGTCTATGTACTCTTTGAGTTGGCACTTCTTCTGGTCCGTTTGGTATTTGTCCTCAATCCAGGCTGTCAGATCGGGCGATAGCTGCTTCCATTTCCTACTGACGTTCACTTCCCATCGCGGCAGGGAGTCAGTTATACTCGTGTATGCCAATTCCTTTACGTTGTTATTGTTCTGCACGCAAACAGATAGACTGAGGCCTGACAGGGACATGTAAACTTCGTAATTGGTTCTCTCCGAATTGATTCTCATTCGGTATTGGTAAGCTATTCTTTCGTCTTGTGCTAAAGCGAAGACTCTTTGATAACCTTCCATGTAGGAAATCCAGTAAACGATCACTTTATCTTTCCTCATTTTCTTGGCTTTCGTGTGGCTCTCGGGTGGGTCTGAGCTGTCGGAATCGTCACTACTTGAGGAGCATGGCTCTGGAGATTTGGGTGTTAAGCGTTTGAGGGTCGAAGATAGTTTTGAGGTGACGCTGCTCGTTGCTACTAACGTGGAATGCTTCACAGACTGGAAACTGACTTTTTCTTCACCAAATCTGAAATGTATTTCGGTATGAATAAGTCATTTGCTTCACTTGGGGTAGTTAGAACACAAAACCGACCAATCGCAAGACGGACTCGCGCACAAAGTGTTCCGTACAAAGTTTAACATTTGAAATACAGCGTCTGTTAGTAAACGCTGTTTTTGGTATTGGTCCCCCTTCAATTCTGTAATTATTTTATTTTTAATATTTGTTGATTTAAATCTGAGTTGATCAATATGTATATTAAAGACGTGTTTCATAGACTATATTATATGAAAAGTTCGGTTGTTATTTTCGTTCAATATTTACACTTAAGTATTAATTCTCTTTTTTAACAATACTGTTAAATCATTATCGCTCACCCGTCTTGGGCAAAGTCAGCGACGAATCCTTTGCCCTTGTTATTGTAGATATTCCAGTACAGCATCCTCTCCTTGCCCGGGTCGTCCCAGGTATAGAGCATCGACTGGTATGGACTCAGTAGCGCAACCTGTTTTGAGTTAATTAATTGTTAATTAATGTAGCTTCGCTCTGCATCTTCTATCGCATTTATCACGGGGAGTGTTCTGAGGTATTGTTCGGATTAGTTCCGGCTGCTGCATTTCGCCATCGTACATCGCGACAAAAATTTCATCCCCATCATCTTGATGCGTGGCTATCCACAACCGTGCGTTTTTGTCGAAATTTTTTACCACGTACGACAAAACTGTGGAATATATTGTCGCCAGCAGTGTTTCCGGACCAATACGACCCAAAAACCTTAAAAAAAGAGCGTACTCCTTCCTTAAAGGCCAGCATCGCATTTGTGATACTCCTGGTGTTGCAAGTGTCCATGGGCGACGGTGATCACTTACCATCAGGTGAGCCGTCTGCTCGTATGCACCCTATAACATAAAAAAAAATTTTGGTACTCACAATCAGGGCTTGAATGTTTTTGAATAATTTCTGTGTAAAACTAACAAAGTAAAAAAATATTGACGGCATTGTTGATACAAAAATAAGCCATAACTTAAAACAAGTTGAGGTCGTGCTTAATGTAAATAAAATAAAGTTGTAAGTAAAAACACTTCCGGACGCATCTATCGGCGCCATTAAGTTTCAACGATCTGTAGCAAAAATATATGTTAAGTTGAGCATTAGTAAAAGTAGTTTTTATAAACATACGAAAAAAATGGTTTAGCGATCAGCTACCGAACTACGTAAAAGTTTATTTTTATTTATTTTTAGCCAGGGACCGTCATATCAAAATTTAAAATGCAAGGTGGCCTGATTGATGAGTCTGGAAGTATATTAACGCTTATTTAAGTGCAAAGTAAGTTTCATGCATCCTTCTTATTAGCTAACTGAAATACCATCAGTATGATATAATTAACATCATTGATCTTGAAGCGCAAACTTCCAATACTTTAACGTTCCAAACAGACGGATAGTGCAAGAATCCTAAAAATATGTAAGTAAATGGAAAAAGAAAGTGACCTGTCCCGAGTCGGCCTGATGCAGCTTAAGGAACAAGTCGTCGCACAGGTTGTCGATGCGTACGGGCGCGTCCCCCGCCGCGTACGGCTTGAAAGTGATCGTGAATGGCCGGTCCGTACCCCCTGTCACCTCCACGCAGATCGCCGACTGTAACCAAACCAATACATTTGAAAATTGGTGGTTTACAATGAAAAAAGGCACGCCTTATAGGCGTTAAAGGCTTTAATTTTCATTATTTATGAAAATTAAAGGTCTCAAAAAATATTTACTAAACATGCGTTCTCTTCTAGATTTTACCAATTTCAAGGTCCATTTTTGTACAACCGTTTGAATTTAAAACTGAATGTTTATCCGCTGAATATTAAAATTAAAACCACCAAAGAAATCCTACAAAAAACCCTCCAAATATTGCCATATGAAGATACAGAGAACTTGATGACCTTTTTAAAATAAAATATGATTAAATTTGCATATCATATTTATTAAAACGTTTAAATTCAATTAAGTATATTTTGTTTTTTGTTATTGTTTTTTTTTTGATTGTGCTATTAATTATTTAAAGTAGATTTATATTAAGATCTTTTTGCCTGAAACACAGGACAATCCTAGTTCAGGATGTGTAGTTTTATCTCGATTTGTATTTTTTAGATTTAAGTCATTTACATGTAATAATTGATATTGAATAAAGATTTATTATATTATTATTATTTATCTCAATTCAAACACAAAATTTTGTGAACATTTCAATTGTCTACCTGTTCACAGTGAAGATATGATATAAATTGCTTACATATTATGGGACAATAGGTAATAGCCCAGCCCAAGCCCAACTAACATACTAAACGGTCGATGTAAGTAAATAAGTTACCGTTATCAACCTTTAGCAATAGAATCCTAAAAGTTATAAAAAATAATGACATCTATAAAGAGCAGTGTTAATTCACATCTTAATGCCTATTAATAAAACTCACATCATAATGGATATTAATAAACATAACGGTTACATACTTAACACGTGACACTTACCCATTATGTCCCATATTACATCAGCCGACGTCATATTTGCTCATGTCCGACATTCCGGCTCTAACACAATTAACACCGCTTTCAACTCAGGTATTATAAGACTGCCGCGACAATTTCACTTCCTCTCAGTTTTTAGACGACGCGAAGGCTAAACTAACAGGAAATGTTTACGGTAACAGCCCTTACGGTTTTAGTCTTTTGTGCTGTGACGTATGTTACTAGTGACGAGAGCTATAGAGATGGAGATTATAGAATGCAGGAGCACGTAAGGATGAAGAGAGCGAAGTATTACTCTAATCCCCCAATGAGATTCTACAGACGGCCCCCGATACCACACCCTGTGAAAGGCATATTCTCCTACACTCCACCGCCGAATTTCAAGGACGACGACTCCCCACATCCCGGGAGTTTCAGACCAAATAAGGTTAGTAAACGCCCTCCACAACAAAACGATGGTTTAGGCGACGAAGATATTCACAATCTCGTCCAAAATCTTTCCAAAAAGGACTTAGATAAAATCATAAATGTAGCTGGAGAAAAATATAGGGACTTTCCATTCGAGAAATACAGTAGCCCACAAAATAACCTTTTTAGAGAAACAGATGATGTAAATATTAACAAACCAGCTGTACATGAATTTGATACAAGCAACAGATTTTCATCGAATAGACCTGGCGGTGACACTGGTTCAATACAATATGGTGACAGTAGCCAAAATTTCGGGCCAGCAAAAGTGGAATATGGGCCGACTAAATATAGTAACCCTTACAATTCTGGAAATAGTGGGTCTCAAACAAATGAACAACAAAATAACCCATTCCAAATATACACAAGTAAGCCTAAACCATTCAAAGATGATGTCCAAGATATATCCAATTCACTTCTTCAGTCGCAAGAATCTGTTACAAATAATCATAAATTTTCATTCGTCGAGTCCTATATTCGACAGGAATTAAATAATATCCCAACAAATGAAGACGAAAGAAATAATGTTGATAACATTAAAGTCACTCAAGAAGAACGCTTGCCAAAACCGGAGAATCTAAGAGAGGATAATGACTTCGAAGTGTCGAATACAGATAACGTACCAAGAATTGCGCCAACAAGCAATTATAAATTGGAGAACTTTGGGAATCTTCCGTTAATGGAGTATAGTTCAAAATTACATACTGTTAGTTCATACCACGTGCCTCATTACAGTGTAAGTATTTGTGGGGATAACCGTTAAAAATAAACCTAATTATGTAACTTTGAAGCAAAAATTAAATTAAATCATCACGTCTTGGGAAATGATATGACGACTTACTTATCATCATCATCAGCCTATTAATGTCCCCACTGCTGGGGCACAGGCCTTCCCTATGGATGGAATAGGGAGATTGGGCCATGACCCAACACGCGGGCCCAGTGCGGATTTGTGGGTGCTAACGGCTGCAGATGCAGCTGCACCCGGGACCAACGGCTTAACGTGCCTTCCGAAGCACGGAGGAGCTCGAGATAGTAATTTTTGGTCACCCATCCAATGACCGACCACAGCGAAAGTTGCTTAAGTTCAACGATAGCAGCCAAACCCGCTAACCTATTGCGCCATCGAGCTCCTCATGACTTACTTAACAACTATGTATTCTGTTAATTCTTACTAAATTTTAAACATTGTAAAAAACTATGGACTTTTTTAAAGAATAGTGGGTTATATAGTCCCTTATGACGTTATTATTTGAAAAGGGACAAAACAAAAATAAAATGGAAAATGTTGATATCACAAGTTTGTTTGCAAGCGAATTGTTTTAAACGTATGGTACCAATCCGTAGATAACATAAATTACTATAAAATACAAGCTAAATATATTTCTGTCACAGGTTGTTTCTCCTCAATCCCAGCAACCGCCAAAGTCATCTCAACTTCTACCATCACCGTCGGCGCAGCACATCAAAGTACCAAAGATTGAGCCAGCACCTCATCACTCAGCTGCCAAGGAGCAAAGTGATGCTCATCTAAAAGCTATCAAGATATGGACACATCAGTCAGAAGGAACCGCGTACACCCTGCACGATGACGGAACTCTGTCGTTAGAAAAGGAGAGACGTCAGCAAAGAGAAACGCTCAGACAATAAGGGTGAGGGTGGCTGGTGTGGCAGGTAGAACTGCTGTATCAGCTATCTTCGCGTTTGGACTTCACCGTCACTTAACATCAGGTGGGGTGGAATCATTTGTCGGACCTATCTATAAATAAAAAGCTATAGATTAGCGAATGGTGCGGGCTCCAGTCCCTTCTGCTGCCGGGTCCGCGTGAAATTTATTCTAGTAACATATTCTTTAGATTTAAACGTCGAATTACATGCTTTAAAATGAAAATTATAACTATAATTGCTATTTCTTCTTTCAAATGTCCAATACTTGTAAAAGTATTCATTTGACATTGTGGGTTACCTACAATGCGAAGAGATGGCGCTGCCTTGCAGCTTAAGAAAGGCTAGGAAGATTTCGACACCGCGATAGCATAATTGGTCAGTGCATTCGCCCGGATAGCGGAGGGTGCGGGTTCGAGACCCGTCTGCTGCCTGGACCGCGTGGATTTTTTTCCAGTAATATTTTCTTTAGATTTAAACATCGAGCAGTTTCATGCTAAAAAAATAAATTATAAGCTACAGGTTACCAAAAAAGATGTACCTTACCTTTATTACTTTATAAAATAATTGCAAAAACTCGATTTTTTTGTTAGATTAGAAATAGCTTCGTTGTGAGAGCTAACACTTTATTATTTAAGTATTTAATTAATTTAAATTTTTATTAAGATTATTAATGATATTATTGTTAAGTTGACCCTGTAAATACAATTGATTAATATAAAATAAAATACCTACTTATACCGTAGAACTATATAAATTGTACTTTATTTTGCCGCACCCTATTATTTAGTTTAATTAAAATTCCGTGTCATTTGAAATTAATTCAAATAATCCACAGATTTAATCATTCGATAGACATGTAATCTAAAAAAATGAACGATCTTTCAACATTTAATTGACAAAAAGAACTTGCAATGTATGATTATAGAGTGGAGCCAGGTCCAAGCAGATTGGTTGATCCATGCGCATTCATCAGAAAATGATAGAGCAAGTCTGTGATACTCTGGAATATTCATAAAATATCATCATCATCATCAGCCTATTAATGTCCCCACTGCTGGGGCACAGGCCTTCCCTATGGATGGAATAGGGAGATTGGGCAATGACCCACCACGCGGGCCCAGTGCGGATTGGTGGTTGGTAACGACTGCAGATGCAGCCGGGACCAACGGCTTAACGTGCCTCCCGAAGCACGGAGGAACTCGAGATAGTAAATTTTTGGTCACCCATACAATGACCGACCACTGCGAAAGTTGCTTAACTTTAACGATCGCAGCTGATCGCGCTAACCACTTGCGCCATCGAGCTCCTCATAAAATAAAATCCTCCTTATTTCTGAAGAATGCCATTGTTTCTTGTTGTTCATCCATCACTCTTTCTCTCATTGCTGATTGTAGGAAAGACGTCTATAGATAAACAAAATTAGTCAGAACTCACCCCTTTATGAGGATAAAGAGGAGGAGCAGAGGAGGCTCTGCTAAGAGAGATGCAGTGCAAGTATCGACATGATTATTACTGAACAACACTACTCAGTGTCGCTACTGTCTGTACGAAATAATTCTTAAGCTGAAGTTGAACAGAACTCAACCCTTATCCATCCCAGGTCCATCCACAGCTCGGCTGCTTTATACTCCTTCAAAAGAAGATGATAGTGCAATTCTTTCTTGTTCTTGATTATACATACCAGCGGCCATGTGCAGAACATTTCTGTGATAGTATCGTCCTTATCGTAACTTTTCGTTGCTCAACCAACAAACTTTGCTATTTTTATCGTTGCTGACTATGGGAAGGACGTCTACAGATTGAAGCAATAGGGATGATGACTAATTTTTTTTTCTTCGTTTATCGGGTAGATTATCAAAAAGTATTGGACACGTATTTTTTCTTTTTTCACATAATATAAGCATTGCAGAGATATATTGATTTGAAAAGTCACATGACGTCACGTTTGAGTACACTTATAGGGGAAAATTCACTCAAAAGTGACGTCACGAGCCCCTACTCCCAAACTTTGACGCGCTATAACTTTGTCATTTTTTGGTTGATTGCCCAAAAAAAAAATACGTGTCCATTATTTTTTGATCATCTAACTGACGGACTAAATAGAATTTCGTTTACTGTACCCCGTCATCACCCCTATTGGTCAGAACTCACCCCTTTATCCATTCTGAGTACGGTGAAGTGGCTCTTTGTGATGGGGAAGTGCTGCGACACGACAGTGGAGTCCCGGAACTTGCAGTGCATCATCATGGAGTCGGTCTGCGGCCAGAAGGGGGCGCACTGCTGCGGGGCCAGGTCCATCCAAAGGTCAGCCGCTTCGTTCTCCTCCATGAAGCGGAGGTGGCGACGGGTGTCATTGTATACGAGGAAGTATGGGAGGAGAGTCACGATCTTGGTCAGTTGAGGGCAAAGTTCGGAAAGGGTCACCTGTAGAAGTATAGTTGCATTAGTTTGGCACTCTGGGCTTTTTCGTACTGTTCCTAAACGATTTAGATTTTTGAAGTTATACTTCTTTAGGCGCGTTATGAAAAAATTATGAGAGTGAAATTTTAAGATGCGCGCGCATCACTGTAACACAAAATTTTAACAGCATGAAGTTGGTTGGACCAACTTCATGCTGTTACTTTTGTGTTTACCGCACATTAAGAAAATCTACCAACACAATAGAAATAGAATCTCTATTTAGTGGGTGCTAACGACTGCATTGTGAAGGCCTATCAAAAGTATTTATTAATCTGGAACAACGGAACCAAAGCGCGATTCAGGAGACTACAGCGCCATCTCTTGACCATTGGTGTAGTAGAACCAAAAACCACATCTTTATTTTTTGTAATAAAGTAACAGTTATAGGTATTCATATTTATAATATTTATCCACATGTTTCTAGTTTGTATATTCGGAATACGTGTTTGAGTTTCATACAAGTGCAAATCACATATGTTCTAATAAATTATATTCAGTAGCGATTTTAATTGAATATTTTGATTATTTATTTATTTTTTCAAATTAAAACTGAACTTTATTGACTGTGTCCTTTTCCAGACTTTTTATTAATTTATTGTAATTAATTATTTGCATGCAATTAAAAACTAATTTTTAACGATGCCAAAGAAGGATAACTTCTCACGCGCCTACATAAGTACACGCACCCATTTTTTTTTATGCAAATTAGGCAATGCGTTTGACCACAATGACGCGCGCGACCAGGACGAGTGATGCGCTCTCACTCGCACGCGCGCCTCCCTCCCCGCCAGCGTATTAACTCACATTGAGCAGCATCCGGTAATGCGTGCGTCGCTCCGTATGCGCGCACACCAACAACCCAGGCGCGGCAGCAGCGAGCGGGGCCGCACGCGACCAGGACGAGTGATGCGCTCTCACTCGCACGCGCGCCTCCCTCCCCGCGGCGCCCGCGCCCCCGCCGCCGCGACGCCCCGCCGCGCGCCATAGCAACGGCTCGTCCGTCACCTCGTGCCATACGTCCGTGTGTTGACCCTAACACATAAAAAAACCTCTCCTAAACCGAAAGAAAATGCCACTGAAATCAGAACCCGAAGTTTTGGAACGGAAGACATGAGTAAATCTTGTACCAACCAGTCGCCAAAAATCAAGTCTTTTCTCTACCTGATTACATTAAAAACCTTATAAAATATTTATTATAACTAAAACCTCCTCCCAACAACCGATGCCACACCAAATATTTAAACTCCAGGATATCGACTTAACAATGTCACAGTAATCGGCATCGTATATGGGTCTAACACAATTGTGACAGGTCACTTATCTTATACAGACGGTTATAGAATGAGTGACTAAAACTAGTGTCATATTATATCAAGCTCCTTTATACTTTGAAAGACTGTATTTCTAAATAATATAATGTAATATAAAGTATAACTTATGATTTCATGTTGTTATTTCTGACCGAACTTACATTTGGTTTTCTCTCACCAAAAAACCAAATGTAATCATAAGTTATAGCTATAGCAATAGCCAAGGCAATCCCGATGGGCGGTAGGCTCCCGGTACCCCATCAATAGAGGCACAAATAAGTTAATGATAACGATCTGTGTAATGGCAAACCCATTCTTAAGAATCCTTCCTAAATCCTGAAATTCTGATAATCTTATTTATTTATTTTCATTTGGGAAACATACAGTTTTACACAATTCCATTAAGTAACACTTATTACTTTTTCATAAACCAGTTAAGTTTCCACAGACTGAAACATTCATACACTTACATAATTTACTTAAGATTACGTACAATATTTAGAGTTATGTGAATAGAATAAACATGATAATCAAAATTTATGGTAAGAAAATACTTACTAAGTGTTAGGGTAAAACGACCTTATAGCATTCATTTCTAAATTGATTGTAAGAAAGGCAAATCTTACCTTAAGCTGCAACGGCAGCCCCGTCTTGTTGATGAACCAGTGCTGTGCGTGGATGTGCAGCTGCCAGCACTCGTGCCGCTCCACCTTGAGGCACACGAGCAACTGCCGCCTGTTGCTGTCCCTGTCGCACTCGCTCGACATATTTATGTTTTTCTCGTTCACGTCTGCGGAGAGGACTATTGTGTTAAAGGAATGGGCTACAAGTCGAAGGATTTATGGGCGGCTAATGCGCATCTCTCGGGTGCGTTAGATATCTTCGCAATAGGGTATCTGACAGTATTAAAAATAAAGTGCCAATTGTTAGCATCTGTGTTTAGAATGCGTATTGGCAGGGGGTTTTACTATTTTTACAAAAAAAATATTTATAATTTTACTAAAAACCCACGAAAAAGATAATAGTTTTCTTATCTATTGTCACGTGAGCCAAAACGCTTGGGATTGGCGGAGCCTAAAGTGACGTCACACGCAAGTAAACTTCCGGTTTAAAGTGACATTACATTCTATCGTTTGACGTTTTAATTACAGTCGTGTGACGTCACACACTAGTAAGACGCCATATTGTACAGAAAAACGTTTTCGCGGCAACTTGAAAATGGAGTTTTTGATTTGGTTATTTTTACTGAAATACACAACAGAATGATGAATAACCACTTTTCACGGACTCCATACATTAGTCAATAACGTGAGATCGTTTTCTAAAACTTTTCAAATACCCTATTGGACTTTCTCTCAACATCAAGGGAATCTTATCGAGGTTGTAGTTATTTAATTTATGGGCATACTTATGTACTTCAATCTCAGTTAAATCTAGAGAATTTCACAAATGAACTTTCAGAATAGAGTCTAGCTAAAGGATTTTGTTAAGACTGACGGGTTTTTATAAAAGTACACATTAATAATTCTCTATTCTTTATAAGTTACTAAACCTGAAAAGAATTCAGTATAATTGAAGTGAAAAATTATGGTGGGAAGAAGTCCTCAAGATCAGTCGCTGGTTATCTGGTGAAAGCGTTAAGCTTCCAGTCCACGGTATACCCATGTAGTGAATGTCTAACATAAGACGATGGGGTGTAGTCAATTGTTGCATATAGTTGTGAGAAGTGCCGTCTTTGACCTATAGGAGGCCCCGGGCATATTAGGATAATGAGGCCCCTATGACTTCCGTTTGGTGATTTAACAGGAACAAGGGATTTTGTATTTGATCTGTGGGGGCCCCCTACCGATCGCGGGGCCCTTGGCACTTGCCCAAAGTGCCCACTGGGAAAGACGGGTCTGGTTGTGAGTCCTTTCTCCGGCTTCTACTCTCACTTGCCAGTCATACTCTGTGCAGGAGAGTTCTTACGCGTACGGGATATATAAGTCACCTACCTGGGGAAAGATTGAAGCTGCCAGTCAAGGTAGACCCATGTAGTGAATGTCTAATTGTAGCGTTTAGTTGAGAGTTCTTTCTCCGACTTCTACGCGCAATCGCGTAGTAATACAGTACAAGAAGACATATTTCAAACGCTTATTTCAATACTCTCTCACTGTGAGTACCAGTTTTCATCAAATTATGAGCTGTGTACTCATAACTCCTTATATTGACGACCTCCGTGGCCGAGTGGTTTGTACGCCGGGTTTCATAGTGTCGCCGACTCGAGAGGTCCCGGGTTCGAATCCCGGTGGGGGCAGATGTTTGTGTGATGAATACGAGCATTTGTACTCCAGTCATGGATGTTTAATATGTATTTCTATATAAATATACTTTTTTAAGTACAGTATATGTATTCTATCCGTAACCCTAGCATCCCATAACACAAGCCTTACAGTGCTTACTTTGTTGCTAGGCTAATTGGTGTGTGTTAAAAAAAAACTAGACCACGGGGTAAAAAAGTTTCAAGGCGTAACGGAAATGTTTGTTTATAGCTAAGGCCGGTAAGCTACCAGTGGGCCAATCGCCTAACCAGATTGCTTTGGATAACGCTATCGCTTACGATTTCATTTTGTTATTTCTAACCGCCGAAATACCTCACGCTCATTTTCTTTAACATTGTTATTACCAATGCAAAAGAATAAAAAGAGCGCGAGGCATTTGAAAACCTCAGGGGGCTAGAAATAACAAAATGAAATCGTAAGCGATAGCGTTTTCCAAAGCAATCCAGTTAGGCGATTGGCCCCCTGGAGAAAATGAAGCTGCCAGTCCACGGTAGACCCATGTAGTGAATGTCTTACGTGAGTTGATGAGGTGTAGTCATCTGTACCATGTGGTTGTGAGCTGTTTCTCCAGATTCTACTCGTACACGCCAGTCTAACGCAGGCCAGGAGAATTCTAACGATATAGAAGTTGCTCACCTGGTGAAAGCGTGAAACTCCCAGTCCACGGTAAACCCATGTAGTGAATGTCGAGGGTAAGGCGATGGGGTGTGGTCAATTGTAGCGTATAGTTGTGAGTCCTTTCTCCAGCTTCGACTCTCACTCGCCAGTCTAACGCAGGACAGGACAGTTCCAAAGCGTATGGGAGACGGTTGTATATCGCCAGCGGCGGTAACACGCGGATCAGATAGTTGGGGATAGCTCGCGTCACTTTGTGAGACTGGCATCCTGGGAAAAGGTAAGATTTGATTCCAGGGCTTATTTACAGGTTAATTTTCAAACCTAAATCAGTGTCAAGTACATTAGGAGCGTTTTATTTAGGTTTGGCTCTACCTTAACCTTAAAAAACCGGTTTTCCTAAAGAGCGAAATCAAATAGGTGTTGAATAAATTTAGCGGTTTTTAAAGGGTTTCATTTCGCTCTTTCTGACGGCATCGATAATAAATGAACAACTTGACTCACTAGATGCTAGCAATCGTGTCAATAAATGCATCAATCTCTGAGCATTTACAAGTTGTGACTTGATTAGTTCAAACTAAACAAACTTTAAGCGATGCCGACGCGTGCATTTTTTGCAAGGTTTTAGGTACCGCTTTAATTTGCGACGCGCTCCAAACGAAACCTTTACTAAAAACCGGTATTAAGCTTTATTTACCGGTATTTTCGAAACCGGTTTCAAGCCCTGTTTGATTCATTTCGTTAAGAAACAAGTATACAGTCGCATTTAGATTTAGATCGAGGTTTATGTTCCAGTAAGTTTGAGTTCGAGGTTAATGTTCCAGTGGAATTTAGAGTTTGAGGTTAATGTTCCAGTTTATCACTTACCAAGGTAGCTAAAAACCAAGCAATTTTTTGAGTTGGTTATTTTTATCAGAGAAGTAATTTATTTCCAACAATCAATTTACCTATTGAGCTTCATTTATGTACACAAACAGTGAATTCTGTGAAACTTAAGAAGGAAATTTCGAAAAAACAATAATTTCAAACTATAGCGTGATGATCTTGAAGTAACAATTAATAGGGTATTTGACAGTGTTAAAAATAAAGTGCCAATTGTTAGCAACTGTGTTTAGAATGAATATTGGCAGGGTTTTTTTTAATATTTTTACAAAAAAATATTCATGATTTTACTAAAAACTAACGAAAAAGATAATAGTTTTCTTATCTATTGTCACGTGACCCAAAACGATTGGGATTGGTGGAGCCTAAAATGACGTCACACGCAAGTAAACTTCCGGTAAAAGTGACATTAGATTGTATGGTTTGACGTTTTCATAACAGTCGTGTGACGTCACACACTAGTAAAACGCCATATTGTCCAGAGAAACGTTTTCACGGCAACTTGAAAATGGAGTTTTTGATTTGGTTATTTTTACTGAAATACACAACAGAATGATGAATATCAACTTCTTACGGACTCCATAAATATTAGTCAATAACGTGAGATCGTTTTCTAATACTTGTCAAATACCCTATTGAAAGTTCAAAGCCTAAGAATTAGAAACTTTATTTAACAAGCTTTGTATACCTTCTACTGTTAGTATCCTCATAGCGAATATCCTGTTGTCCTCTCCGTCCTTAGCGGGGCAGATCATATCTCGTGGGGTTCCCAAGTCGTTTGCCAGCTCCATCCACCAGATACCTTGCGTCGCAGTCTGGTAAGACCTTGGGAGAAGCGAGTCGTAAATCAATAATATAATTATATGTTTTTTTTATAGTATAAGATTTTAAGTTAATAATAAACTAGTAATCTTTAAAATTACTTATAAAGAATTCTTTTTTAAGTCTTATAACAGTTATTAAACCTTAAATAATGGAAAGAATTAGTTAAATTAATAACATAAATATGTCAAATTTAAATTATTATAAATATAGTATCCTCAAATAATACCTATTCATTGAATAATTTCTTTTTTATCCATTTAGAAACTAAACATTATTTATCGTGAACAATAATTTAAATATCCAGTGCAATAGGGTATTTGACAGTATTAAAAATAAAGTGCCAATTGTTAGCATCTGTGTTTAGAATGAATATTGGCAGGGGTTTTTACTATTTTTACAAAAAAATATTCATAATTTTACTAAAAACCTACGAAAAAGGTAATAGTTTTCATATCTATTGTCACGTGACCCAAAACGCTTGGGATTGGCGGAGCCTAAAATAACGTCACACGCAAGTAAACTTCCGGTTAAAGTGACATTACATTGTATCGTTTGACGTTTTAATAACAGTCGTGTAACGTCACATACTAGTAAGACGCCATATTGTCCAGAAAAACGTTTTCGCGGCAACTTGAAATGAAGTTTTTGATTTGGTTATTTTTACTGAAATAAACAACAGAATGATGAATATCCACTTTTTGCGGACTCCATAAACATTAGTCAATAACGTGAGATCGTTTTCTAAAACTTGTCAAATACCCTATTTTCAATCTAGTCGTAAGTAAAATTTTCGTTTGTAACATGTGGAAATTTTCTTAGCAACATGACACTGAATTAGCTTGAAATTGTGATTTTTTAATAAGAGTCCCGTCAATGTCCGATTATCCACCTATAATGGATATCCTCAATTTCGCAAGCGGTTATAAGTTACGGTGTCCTGTTATCATCAGAACATGTGTTAGACAATTAAATTATAAATTCATCCCCTATTCCTAAATTACAGTTATATCCCATTAAACGAAATCATTTAATGTGAAAAAACTTTTCTTCGTCACCGTATCCGCTAATGGAATACTTTGCCCGCTAAATTTTTCCGTCCTCCTAAAACCTTTTCCTTTCCTTGAAAGAGGCGTGAACGAAGCAACTTGCGGCTGGCAAGATGAGAATGGCTGGTGTGGCGAGTAATAGCTAGCTTTCCTCGCGTCTGGACTCCAGCGTCACATACATCAGATGGTTGGACCTTGATAATCTATACTTATAATAAATCTGTAGAGAGGTCAATTCTGTACATGAAATATATTTTCAAAATAACTATCAGGGGGTGATAAGTGATCGATACTGATGCCAAAAATGCAATCAGTAAAATTTTTGTCTGTCTGTCTGTCTGTGTGTATGTTCTTTATAGAAACAAAAACTACTCAACGGATTTTAACGAAACTTGGTACAATTATTCTTCATACTCCTGGGCAGGTTATAGTATACTTTTCATCACGCTACAATCAATAGCAGCAGAGTAGTGAAGGAAAATGTTGGGAAAACGGGAGAAGTTACTCCATTTTTTAAGCTTCCGTCGCGGGTGCAGCTTTTAATGGTTAAAGTTACATAGAAATCATGTATGACGGAAATATTCTACATAAATTTGTCTAAAAAATATCCCGCAACAGCATATATCTATCTTTTATGGTTGACTCACAATAACACGTGTAATTATATAAATAAAGTCATTCTTTATAGCACAAGCCTGAGAACAAAAACTATAGTTTACACTACAGCTCTACACCGAAGCGAAGCGATGGCGGGCCACTAGTTATAAATAAAAGCGATAGGCAATGTACAAGGGCACGTTGTAAATGTCTGCTAAGAATTTACATTGATTTTATACACACCCTACTAGCAGGAGTGTATTTTAAAAGTTGGTACACCGGGTTTTTAAGATATGGCGCCACAAAAAGTTCTGAAAAAAAAGTGTTTTCCTTCCGCCTCCTCTCGTAAACTGCTGCCACGGGCCGTGGTCCTTTTTGTCCTAGGGTTAATACCTGCTGACTAGGTTCATAATGTTTCTACAATGATAGAAATAAAGACAGCACAAGACAACAATAAACTATAGAGAGAGAAACTCACTCAAAGTTAGACGGCAGCAGGAAGAGTTTGCAGTGGTATGCGATGTACAGGGGCACGTTGTAGGTGTCCTGGGGCGCGATGACTGCCAGTCGCATCTTGTCGTCGAAAGGGTTGGTGAGGGAGCCAATCAGGTCCGCCCCGATGGCTTGCAGGTCAGTCTTCTTGTAGAACAACTCGAGGGCGTATGATGTCTCGTTCCGTATCTATTGACGTGATTTACGGAAATCTTATAAGTGTCCTTTTGTAAGTACATATATGATTCGAAGATACGAAAATTTGATTCTGATCACTCAAATAATCAAATTCCACATTTTTGTGTGATAGTGATTATCGAACATTGTGTATACTTTACATAAACATATTGCTCAGATGTTATTTGAGTGACATAGTTCTCGGTTCGATCTTCTTGGCCGACCTTTCCCTGCTTCCAATTTTATTTGATTCAAAAGTCTGTATTTCATATTACTCGATCAGACGTTATCTACACTGTCCATTACACAATAGGGTATTTGACAAGTTTTAGAAAACGATCTCACGTTATTGACTTATGTTTATGGAGTCCGTAAAAAGTGGATATTCATCATTCTGTTGTGTATTTCAGTAAAAATAACCAAATCAAAAACTCCATTTTCAAGTTGCCGTCAAAACGTTTCTCTGGACAATATGGCGTCTTACTAGTGTGTGACGTCACACGGCTGTTATTAAAACGTCAAACGATACAATGTAATGTCACCTTAACCGGAAGTTTACTTGCGTGTGACGTCATTTTAGGCTCCGCCAATCCCTAGCGTTTTGGGTCACGTGACAATTGATAGGAAAACTTATCTATTTCGTGGGTTATTAGTAAAATAATGATTTTTTTTTATAACGATAGTAAAAACCCCTGCCAATATTCATTCTAAACACAGATGCTAATAATTGGCACTTTATTTTTAATACTGTCAAATACCCTATTACACATATCATCAATTTTGTTTAAATATAGGATCGCCTATGGTTAAAAATGTAGATAAAAGAAAACCTGTTTTTTTAGTATTGTCATATCTTTAGAAATTTACTTCGACAACGTCAAGAGTTAAACTTATCAAAAGTCTTTAAGGATTGATGTCGAAAATTAATGCAATTCTAGATCCTATATCGAAACGGCAAACTCTTCAAAATATCCTGTGATTGAAACTGACCTGCAGCGGAGACCTGACGACAATCTTTTTGTTGTTGTACCTGGACGTTCTCTCCACGACGATGTAGTAGCGGGTATTGTTCTTGCTCGGGTGGAGTACGTGCAACTTAGAGATGTTGCGTTGCGGACAAAGTATCTGAACAAATTGGAAAAATTGTACAGAAAATTAGACCCTGAAATTTCTTGCTCCATGAGAAGGAGCAAGAAATTCCAGTTGAAGTTGCGGGCAAAGTATCTGACCAAATTGGAAAATTGTATAGAAAATTAGACACCGGAATTTCTTGCTCCATGAGATGGAGCAAGAAATTCCAGTTGAAGTTGCTGGCAAAGTATCTGACCAAATTGAAAAATTGTACAGAAAATTAGACACCGGAATTTCTTGGTCCATGAGATGGAGCAAGAAATTCCAGTTGAAGTTGCGGGCAAAGTATCTGACTAAATTGGAAAATTGTACAGAAAATTAGACACCGGAATTTCTTGCTCCATGAGATGGAGCAAGAAATTCCAGTTGAAGTTGCGAGCAAAGTATCTGACTAAATTGGAAAATTGTACAGAAAATTAGACACTGGGATTTCTTGCTCCATGAGATGGTATCAACTTCTGATTTTTAATACCGTTATATATAAAACAGATTTAACTTAGTACAAGTTATTCTTGTTTAAGTTTAAAATCTTTGTACAAGTCTAGTGTTAAAAGTTTCAAATTATTCTAAAAAATATTAGTGTCGCCGCACACGGGTCACACGCCACAGCCACAAACGCCGCCACGAGAAGCTAGAAGCTAGAAGCGGCTACTAAAGTGGCTGAAGCGCGCGACAGCGGCCGACTAAGGCAAGGGAGAGGGGTGGGAAATCGCGCGAGGGTCGTGTGGCGGCGTTTTGTATCGGCGCATTAAGTGGCCGGTGCGGGTCACAAGAAGCAAGCAACGACGATTTGTAGCGTGTGGCGGCCACCGGCGTACCGTGTGTGGCGAGTCCATATAAAATGTATGAAAACTACAACAAATATGCCGGTGGCGGCATTTTGTGGTTGTGGCTTGTGTGCAGCGACACTTACGGTTTTTCTTCATTATTTTCATGATATCATTTCAATCGTCTCGGCCGTTTTCGATACCATTTTATGAAACTCCAGTTTCGAGAAATAGGTATGAGCAACTGAATCCACTCCACTTCACGTTACGAATAAGTTTAGGTCAAGTCCATTACCCGCGAATGTTGTTTTAGTTTTTACAGTATCCTGACGTCATTGAAAAGCTGACCTTGAAATGTTCCCAGTTCCATTGGGGCCGTTCAAGTATTACGTAAGCGCTAAAGGGGGCAGGGGGGGTCTTTGCTTTGTTTATTTTTGATGACATGGGGGGGTGGGGGTGGAAATAGTGATTACGTCAGCATCATGGATTCGGGTGTCATGGACTGAAGATTGGAAATAATATATATACAAAAAAAATCAAAAGAATTTCGTAATAGTACTTACAATAATAAGATTATAATATTTTTACATTACTCTATGTTGAATAATGTGTCAAAAAAGTTTGTTTAAATGAATATTATGTGAGTTAAAATCCTCTATCCTAAGCCTATTTAAGTACTGCTGGTCATAAAGCTCATGAAAGCTCATGAATCAATAAAAAAAAACAGATTTATTAAGGAAAAATGCATATAGGTACCAATGTTTGCGGAAGTATGGGAGGGAGGGGAGGGAAGAGCTTTGCTTACTTTTTGCTGACAAGGGGGAGGAGGGGGTAAATAATTGTCATCATCATCATCATCAGCAAATTAATGTCCCCACTGCTGGGGCACAGGCCTTCCCTACGGATGGAATAGGGAGATTGGGCCATGACCCACCACGCGGACCCAGTGCGGATTAGCGGGTGCTAACGACTGCAGATGCAGCCGGGACCAACGGCTTAACGTGCCTTCCGAAGCACTAAATAATTGTAATAAATCTAAATAAAACTAGTTTTTTACGGGTTAATGCACGAAACTTTATTTATTTATTGACGTTTCGTAGCCTTTACAAACGTCAATAAATAAATAAAGTTTCATGCATTAACCCGTAAAAAACTAGTTTTATTTAATGAGTGATGTGCGTGAAAGCCTAAGAAACAAATATGTAATAAATCTGCTTACGTAATACTTGAACGGCCCCATTGCAGCTACGGCACATGCTTTGTTTTTGGTGAGTTCTAACGATATTTTATTTATTTATTGAAAATAAATAAAGTTTCGTGCATTAACCCGTAAAAACTAGTTTTATTCAATGAGTTCTAACGAGTTCGGCTAACTTTGGCTATCATTGAATCAATTACCAAAATCCTGTAAAAATGCATACCGTCAATTGCTGTAATTCGTGCAATCTAATGGAGAGCGTGAGCTCGGTGAGGCGGCGCAGCAGGCGCGCGGGCTCGGGCGCCGCCGCCGCCGGAGACATGCCGCTCGCCGGGAACCCCCCCTCGAACACGCTGCGTGTAAGTATTCATAATCATAATCAAAATCATTTATTCAGTTTAGGCTGTTAAAAGCACATATGAATGTCTAGAAGCTACGCCATCGGTTCGTAAATCTATGGCGGGAGACCTTGTACTGAGAAGAACCGGCAAGAAACTCAGCAAGGGCTGTTTTTTTCTCCCTGTTTTATCATTTACAGAGTCGTCAAGTTGAAAAATGACTTCAGAGATGATTCATGAAATCACCCTTCGTTACATAATGTGAAATTATACATTAATTGTTCACCTGCATTTTGATTGCTGTGTCACACAGTATAAATACAAACAGAGTTATTTATAATAGGTGTAATTAAACATTTACATCTTAAATATCAAAGTAGTTAGGGCAAAGTATTATAAAGTTAATGATTATCTAAATGATCGTAATGCATGGACATAGTGTTCCTTGTCAGGGCCGGATTTAGAGGTCCAGAGGCCTCGGGGCAACAGAGGAGCGGAGGCCCCCTCACCCCAAATTATTTTCCAAATAAAGTAAACGTTTTTTTTTCAGTCGAGTCTTTCAATAAATAATTTATGATGAACCAAGTAGATTCCCTTAGTTTTGAACAAACACATAACGGAAACAAGAATTATCTGAAATTAAATCTTAGAGTTAACAAACGGAACCTTTCGAGCTTCTTTTGCCGAAAAATCGTAGATGATTTCGTTGAAATCGAGTTCTCGGAGTAAAAGTAAAAGAGCAAAAAAAATATCAAAGGAAAAGATGTTTACTAGTGTTTACTAGTTGGAATTTGAAAGATTTTTTTTTCCGAAGTCTCTATTGTGGGGGCCCCCCGTTTGTGGAGGCCCCGGGGCTTTCGCCCCGGTTGCCCTCCCCTAAATCCGGCAGTGTTTCTTGTAATTTATTATTTGATGGGTATGAGTCAGTTTTTGTAACAGTAATATGGTACATAACTAATGCCGCTTCTTAAATACTAAATATAAAATTTATTGTAACTATATATCTATATCCTAAATAATGTAATGGAAGGTGACTTCAGAAGTATCTCTGAAGTCATTTTTCAACTTGACGACTCTGTATATATCAATACAGGGAGTAAAAAGCAGCCCTTGCTGAGTTTCTTGCCGGTTCTTCTCAGTACAAGGTCTCCCGCCGTAGTTTTGCGAACCGATGGCGTAGCTTCTTGACCTTCACAAGTTCTTGTAACAACCTAGACTGAATAAATGACTTTTCATTTCATTTCACTTCATTAAGACGGTGAAAGAAAAACATCTGAGATAACGACCCTTTGTGAAGTGAAAACTTCTTTAGTGGCGTTGTATGGGTAAAAAATGTTATACTCGCGTCATGACACGTGGGCTGTACCCCTAGCACGAACCAATATCGAATTCGTATCGTTTGCGAGTCCTAAATGTCATTGTCAAACGTGTACAGATTTTTAGTTCTCGTTACGTACTTTGTGCCGCTGCTGTTCAAGTTTCCATACAAAATTTGACATTGACATTTCGGTTTGCAAACTATTCGAATTCGATAATGGTTCGTGCTAGGGGTACGATCGCATCACAGGCCACGTGTCCTGATCGTAAGACGAAAACAATAAAATTGGAAAGGTTGTTGACTTTCAATATATTGGACGAAACATAGTAATATTTTATTTTATCGTATTAGCTTTATTGCGAAGAAAATGCATATTTTTTGCAATAGATGTCGCTAGGTGCGCTTAAATGAGAAATTCTAAGAGATAAACTTATTAATGTAATAAAAATTGTCATGTTTGTGTACGATAGCGCAATAAAGAAATGTTGTATTCTACCACATAAATGATAGTACTTTTATATTGATAATTAAAGAAATTCGTGCAAAATTATTTCCTAACTATTCCAAAATATCAAAAATTCACAACGTAAATATTCAGGTTTTCACTTCTGCCGGCACTCCCGGAGTGCAACCCGTCGTTTTTTTTGTGACGCAGGCAAAACCTCTGTTTGCAGAAGACAGTGCCTTTAAAAGGCACACCGCCGGACGGACCCCACACCAGCACTCGCAAGCGTCACAGGCACGATGGGGCTAACCCCCAAAGTAACCCGCGTCATTTAAGAGCACGCTTAACGGCGTACTATCCGCTAAAAAACCCTGCGAATACCCTCTAAGCTGCTTAGTGCGAAGTCGCGGGATCCCCTTTTGGGGATTCTTCTGCGTTTCCGCACCTAGCAGACTCCCGGCCTAGCCCCTCCACGGCAGTCATATACAGGGTGTTACAGAATTCCGAAATAAATTTGTAGGTATGTATTCCGAAATAAAAATTTGTAGGTATCTGAGTGGGGCGCAGGGGCGCCTGGGGGAGAGAGGGGGGTCTGTTTAGGTAGTAGTAATTGTATGCATCTATGGGGTTCTCATATGCAGGTGCATAACGATATTTTTATTAATTTAATTAGAAAATAAAAGTGGACTGAAAGGCGTCAAACTTTCGTAGGTAATTCTATATAAGGAACACAACCAAACCCTAAAGTTTTATTTCGGACTTTTGTCACACCCTGTATACCACATAGTATATATATATTATTATATAATATTTGAGATTACTTACCAATCCCAATCTTCACCGACGTCTGCCACTTCAGGTTTGGACTCTTTCGCAGCATCTTCTAAAAGATCAGCTCCCGATGTGTCGCATCCTGAAGTTAGATTTTGTGACATCAAGCCCATTTGGACTTTTTCAAGAATTAGTGTCGCCGTACACGGGTCACACGCCACAGCCACAAACGCCGCCACGAGAAGCGAGAAGCGGCTACTAAAGTGGCAGAAGCGCGCGACAGCGACCGACTAAGGTAAGGGAGAGAGGGGTGGGGAATCGCGCGAGTGACGTGTGGCGGCGTTTTGTATCGGCGCATTAAGTGGCCGGTGCGGGCCACAAGAAGCGAGCAACGACGATTTGTAGCGTGTGGCGGCCACCGGCGTACCGTGTGTGGCGAGTCCACAGAACACAGAAAGGGCGAGTCCATATAAATGAAGTGGGTATGAAAACTACAAGAAATATGCCGGTGGCGGCGTTTTGTAGTTGTGGTCGTTGGCCCGTGTGCGGCGACACTTAGGTTGCTTTTCCACCAGAAATATGCAAGTAGAGAGAGGATGTGTAGCGAAGCTGTACAACGGTGCGCAGATGAGTGGTACGGGGATGTATAGCGGTCTCTTTCTCACACATCCCTCGCTTGTTTTGTATGTACAAAAACCTCGCATTTGGTACATTTTAGACCGAAGAATATTCGGCCGAACATTCGTATTCTGTTGAAACTACATTCGGCGCATTTTTATTAATAATAATACAATAATGTTCAATCACAGAAAGTTAATCAATTTACCCACTATTCCGGCATCTCACGGGTAATCTCATTGCAAGAGCATAAGCATAAGATTTTAATACAAAAACACATCATCACAGTTACACAGATCAATCTATGTTAGTAACAATTGGCACCTACTTAATCTGTTTGTCAACGTCACTCATGTAAATGTTTTAATTTTATTTATAACTAAAAACCTTAATAATACCTAAAATACATTATTAAAAGGAGTCCCTTTAGTCAAGGTCCCGAATATACTGGCTGCGTTCCCCCTTTGAATAGCTAGTCTAATTCTTTGTCCGAGGTAGCTGCCAGCTCTACGGTCTCCTGTGATGTCGACTACTGAGCTTTTTGCTATTTCCATAAAAAGCCTTACAGCGCTAGGACCCCACGGACCAAGAGTCTCGACACATGAGCGGTGCGAGAATATGTAGCGGTCTCTTTCTCACACATCCCTCGCTTGTTTTGTATGTACAAAAGCTCGTATTACTAAGCCATTCCCACCAGAGCTGTGCTGACCGAGTCGAGGTAAATAAATAGATATTCTATTGATCCTTTACAAACACATTCATCGCTACACATCTTCCTTCTTGGTGGTAACTCAGTCTTACTTTTAGTTGAGATATCCTTACCGGGTGTACTGGGTCTGCTTGTATCAACGTCGTAGTCGGCAATAGCTATCACTCGATCGTTTCCCGCCAAGTCAGTTTCAGTGGAAGTGCGAAGATGTACCGTAGAACCAGGACCTAAAACAGATTTAAAAAAATGGATGCGTGTAACTTATGTACGCGCGTGAGAAGTTATACTTCTTTAGCATCATTAAAAATATTTTTTAATTGCATGCAAATAATTAATAATTACAATAAAATAATAAAAGGACTGGAAAAGGATAGTTAACACAGTCAATTAAGTTCAGTTTTAATTTGAAAAATTAAATAAATATTCAAAATATTCAATTAAAATCACTACTGAATTTAAGTTATTAGTCCATGTGTAATTAGCACTTGTAAGTAACTAAAACACGTTGTGTCTATATAGAAACTAGAAACATGTGGATAAATATTATAAATATGAAAACAGTGATCAGAGGCGACGAGCGAGCGTGCCAACATTGTTTTTGACAACGCGATAATCTTATGGAGCTCCGTGGATCGTTCAAAGTACCTTTCGAACAGATGTCTAATAATGGTGGATATTAGACACTAACATTCATAACGCGCCCGCGGCCAACTTCATGGTGTTTACAGTGATGCGCGCGCATCTCGAAATTTCACTCACATGATTTTTTCATAACGCGCCTAAAGAAGTATAACTTCAATAATTAGAGATGAGCCGAATATTCGGCCGAATATTCGAATTCGATACATTCGGAATATTTTTTCATGTTCATATTCGTTTGAATCGGTTGATTTGCCAAATTATTGTTATTAATTAAAATATAGAAGATTTTTTTAAACAGTAAGGTTAACTAATTACTGTTTAAAAATTTCGTCAGGTTTATTTCGAAAATTGTTTTTTACGAATGAAAGAAACACTACTTTCTGTACCAATTATTTATCAATTATAATAAAAAAACTTATAACGAACAATTCAAATAAAATTATAATCAAATAAACTTTGTTTTTTTATAAGAAATGGTAACAGACACTGCTTTTAGTAACAACTTTTTTCAAAAAAACATTTTTTTAGAATATATTATACCTAATAACTACTATCTTTAGGAACCAATACAAGTATTAAAATAAGTATATAATCAAATTAAGTAATTGAAATATATTTCTATTTACGCTAAATAAAATTTATGAAATCAACATTAGAAAAAAACCCCTAAGTAAAAATTAATTTGCAACATAAAAACTAGGAATTTGTCATAACTATTTGTAGTTTTTATCCAATAATGTTGTTTTAAGTAGGTAAATCTTTATATATATAATTCTTCTGTGAGTGTGTATGTCACTGAACTTCTCTTAAACGACTGGACCGATTTTGATGAAATTTTTTGTGTGTGTTCAAGGGGATCTGAGAATGGTTTAGATTCACAATTTTGTCCGCTGGACAACCCCTATTTTTTTAGGGCGGTACGAAGTTCGCTGGGTCAGCTAGTGTCAAATAAAATTCTGTGCACTATGAAATGTACAAACATGTTTACCGCGCAGAATTGGACCGAATGATATATATTCCGAATATTCAGTTCGGTACATTTTAGACCGAATATTCGGTTGAAACTACATTCGACGCATCTTTATTAATAATAATACAATAATGTTCAATCTCAGAAAGTTAATCAATTTACCCACTATTCCGGCATCTCACGGGTAATCTCATTGCAAATATAATAAAAAACGAAAGTGTCAAAATTTTAATACAAAAACACATCATCTCAGTTACACGGATCAATCTGTGTTAGTAACAATTGGCACCTACTAAATATGTTAGTCAACGTCACTCAAATAAATGTTGTAATTTTATTTATAATTCGCAGCTTCATTCTTTGCGATTTATGCTTACATGTTGTAGTGGCGCCCCCAAGCGTCACCCTTGCACGGACGTTTAAAGATTTTCCTTTTATTTTTCTCTATGGTATCATTAAAAAATAAAAGGAAACTAAACGTCAAATTTACCCGGCAACTCTCGAGACCGTTGCTAGCTCATAACGTGTTTCCGTGCCGAACCCTTCGCACGTCTGCAGGACTCGGCTTAGAACCTACCTCTATAAAAGGCTATCAACATGGGGAAGAAGAGACAAAGGGATAAAAGTGCGGAAAGGATACAGAAGAAAATTCGCAAATTAGAGTGTAAACTGAATAAATATCGGAGAGTGATCGTTTATTCGTCTGAGGATGAACCTAATAGTAAGTAAAACCTCTATTCAGCCATTTCCTTAGGCCTACGGTAAGAAAAAACAAAAATGACGGTAATTGCAAAAAACAATTTTCATTTTTCTTTCACCTTTTTATTGACTTTGTGATGCGAACAACTAATTTCGGGGTTGTATCCTTCACATTTTTTTTTGAATGCGCATTTGCCAAGGTCGGGGCTCTTGTCATTCTTTTGAAAATTTTAATGTGAATAGCTACTCATAATAAGGCTATATCCATTATCATTATTAAAAAGATATATGTCCTTGCAGGTCCTCGCCAGACCACTGCATTTGATCCTCTTTCAGAGGAAATGTACGCAATGCAACAGTCACATTCGCCACTACCAGAGGCACAGTTAATATTATCGCCTACGCCACCCATAATCACGCCGGTAATAATGTCGCCTGCGCCTTCACTACCGTCGCCGAGCAACGCGGCAGCCGCGGGCACAAGTAAGACGCCAGATATAGCTGAAGCTCACTTGGATGAGGAGATTCTTCAACTCCTCGGTGAGGCACCAGAACCGGAAACTCTATTGGGTGCTCCAGTCCATAAAGATATAGCAGCGAGGTGGCATGATGTTATAAAGAAGGGACTTAGCAAAGATTGCAAAGAGAAGATTTTTAAGGAATACTTAATTCCTTCAAATTGTGAGTTACTCATCCCTCCTTTGTTGAATCCTGAAGCAAAAGCTGCTTTAACAAGTACTTTTATAAAAAGAGATCTGTCACTTATTTCAAGGCAAAAACATTTGAGTGTCGCTATTGCTGCATTGACTTGTACCTTAGATAAAATCATTACTACGAAAGACTCTCAGAGACAAGATGTCTTAAAGTCCATAAGTGACGCCTGTCGTATTTTGTGTGACATGTATCATTATGAAACAGAAACTCGGAAGAAATTTGTAGTATCTTCTATCAACACTGGATTACAAGGCGCATTAACTAATGCCATAACCGATAAATTTCTTTTTGGCGAAAATATGTCCGAAAGATTGAAGACTGCGAAAACAGTTCAAAAATCGGGCGAAGAACTCAAAACTGTTCAAAGAACACAAAATCCCAAATATTCATTTAATAAAAACCAGGGAAACTACAACACCCTGCACCAGAAGAGGCCGGTGGCAGGGAGAGTACCAGCGGGCCCGCGTCAACATTGGTCGTACCAACGCGGCCGCACAAACAGTCGCACAATGCACGCGCAGGTACCACCGCAGCCGCCACCAACGAGGCCGACGCCCCTGCCAGCGCCACCGCTCCCACCGCCACCACGTCGTGCGGGCCGCCGTTAGACGAGGTAACTTATGCAGGCCGTCTAAGTCATTTCTATGATAAGTGGACCGAAATCACGAAAGACAAAATTATTTTGTCTTGGATTAAGGGTTACTCTATACCATTTAAAGCACCACCATCGCAAAATTATTACCCCTCGACGTATCCAAAAAGAAATAACGAGTGCACAGAATACGAAGAAGCAATTAAAAATTAAATTAAGTCTCAATCTATACGTAAATGTGAAAATACTAAAAATCAATTCATTTCATCAATATTCTTGATTCCTAAGTCGAACGTTGAAAATAGATTCATTCTAAATTTAAAGAAATTAAATAATTTCATTATCACTGAACATTTTAAAATGGAGGACTATAGGACTGCCTCGAAACTAATTAGTAAAGATTGTTTCATGGCCTCAGTGGATTTAAAGGATGCATATTTTTTCGTTAATGTCAATGAATCTTAACGTAAATACTTAAGATTTAAATATTGTGATTCCATTTATGAATTTACATGCCTTCCGTTTGGGTTATGTACAGCCCCATATGTTTTCACGAAGTTGTTAAAACCTGTCGTAGAATTTCTTAGAAACAAATATAATATATTATGTGTTATTTATTTAGACGATGTGCTTACGTTTGGGAAAACATACAATGAATGTGCTAACAATGTAAAGATTATTGTTGACTTATTTCAATATTTGGGTTTTATTATAAACAAAGCAAAAAGTTGTTTAATACCGGCCACAAGTTGTAGATTTTTAGGTTTTCATTTTAATTCGACCAAAATGATTTTAGAACTACCCCCAGACAAAAAAGAGAAAATTAAAAATTATTTACAACATTTTATTTCCAGTAAGTATATACATTTATTACATAATCCTAACTATAATCAATCTATTATATTAACGAAGGAAATCATATCAGATATGACTTGGTGGTTTAATAATTTAGACAAAGGTTTTTGTAAAATCAAATTTAATGAATTCAAGTTAGAAATATATACCGATGCGTCTCTTACAGGGTGGGGGGCTTTTTGTAACGGAAAGAAGACGCATGGTTTTTGGACCGAATATGAAAAAAACTTGCATATTAACGAGTTAGAACTTAAAGCCGCTTATTTCGGTTTAAAATTTTTTGCTGAGAAATTGTTTGATTGTGAAGTTTTACTGCGTGTAGATAATACTACTGCTATATCATGCATCAATAGAATGGGAAGTGTACAATATCCACATTTAAACGAGACTTCGAGAAAAATATGGCAATGGTGTGAAAGCAAGAAAATACATATTTTTGCCTCGTATATAAATACAAAAGATAATTTTGAAGCGGATATTCTATCACGAAAACAGTTTTCAGATACAGAATGGGAACTGGGCATTTACGCATTTAATGAAATAAACACACAATTTGGAGTTTTTGATATTGATTTATTCGCCAGTCGTTCTAACGCAAAATGCAAGAAATATGTAACTTGGCTAAGTGATCCCAACGCCTTAGCAACTGATGCTTTTACCATATCCTGGAAAAACTTGAATTTTTATGCTTTTCCACCATTCTCATTAATCTTAAAAATGTTAAGAAAAATAATAACAGACGAGGCAGAAGGTGTAGTCGTTGTTCCTTACTGGCCGACGCAACCCTGGTTTCCACTTTTTAAAAAACTAATTAACTCTCGGTGTATAACATTTGACCCTAACATTGATTTATTGATATCACCTTTCAGATGCTCACATCATCTTCACCGGACACTGCGCCTAATTGCCGCGAAATTGTCAGGGAAACTTTTTTGAACATGGCACTGTCTGATAGGTCTGTAGAAATTATGTTAAATTCTCTTTCAAAAAATACTTATAAGCAGTACGATAGCGCCCTAAGGTGTTGGATCACGTTTTGTAGTAACCACGGTTACGATTGCCACAAAGCTTCCATACCTCTAATAATAGAATTTCTCACCGACAGATTTTGTGACGGCGCAAAGTATGGTACATTAAATTCATACAAATCTGCACTAAGTCTATTGTTTAATGATATATCAAATGATTATAGAATAAAGAAATTCATGAAAGGAGTTTACAGGATGAGGCCTTCTCAGCCTAAATATAATATCAGCTGGGATCCTAATATAGTATTATCTTATCTTTCTTGTCAATGGCCCAACGAAGATCTCAACCTGGAAATTCTGTCAAAAAAGACAGCGACGTTGTTGGCTCTTGTCACCGCACACAGGGTCCAAACACTGGCATTGATAAAATTGCCCAATATTCATATACAAAACTCCGATGAAATTATTATTCTTATACCAGATATCATTAAAACTTCAAAACCAAACTCTTATCAACCTGTACTCAAAATTCCCTACTATACAGAAAATCCAAGTATTTGTCCAGCTACATGCATAAAAGACTATATAAATAAAACAAATTTGTTACGGGGCACCGAAATCCATCTCTTTATAAGTATCAAGAAACCATATCGCAAAATAGGTACACAGTCTTTGAGTTCTTGGATTAAAGATACACTCCACAAAAGTGGCGTTGATACTTCTGTCTTTGGTGCACATAGTACCCGTCATGCGGCCACGACAACTGCCAACAAGATAGGAGTGAATATAGATGTTATAAGAAGGACCGCAGGTTGGAGTAAAACCTCGGGAACCTTTGCAAAATTCTATAATAAAGAGACTGTCGATTGTAATTTTGCTCGATCCTTGTTATCAAATCATACGTTATCTGATTCTTAAAGTTTTGTAGCATCAAGCATTTTTATTTTTAAAGGATTGTTGATTCTCTTACAAATAAATGATTATGATTATAAAATGTATTTTATATTTGAGCTCTCTGAACATCCTACAACATGTAAGCATAAATCGCAAAGAATGAAGCTGCGAATTATAATTAAGGATCAAACGAACTTACCTGAAGTGAAGTTCGATCCAAATTATATGAGCAGCTTCATTCGACGCGATTTATAACATCCCACCCTATATAATACTCCCTAACCCTATGTATAAATACCCTTATCTCAATCGGTTATTCTCAAATATAAAATACGAAGAGTGGTTACAGGTTCAGCTATAAACAATATGAGCTAGCAACGGTCTCGAGAGTTGCCGGGTAAATTTGACGTTTAGTTTCTTTTATTTTTTAATGATACCATAGAGAAAAATAAAAGGAAAATCTTTAAACGTCCGTGCAAGGGTGACGCTTGGGGGCGCCACTACAACATGTAAGCATAAATCGCGTCGAATGAAGCTGCTCATATAATTTGGATCGAACTTCACTTCAGGTAAGTTCGTTTGATCCTTAAATATACCTCCACCCTTAAGACTAATACCGTGCAGACAGACTTTTAAAACACATCTGAAATCATTTTTATTAGAATAACAGAAAATTGGAATATCCAGGAATTAGTTGCTTGGGTGCGGAGTTGGTATTGTGTGCTTTAATTTTAATTTTATTTTCACTGTAACTATTTTCTTTGGATTTAAACATCAAGCAGTTACATGCTTAAAAAATAAAAATTATAAATATTTTCTCACTGATCAATTTATCAATTTTGTTTTCTTTGTTTTTATGTTTATGTAAAAGTACCATAACAATTATATGTCCAATGAATGTTTAATTATTTTTTGTATTTAATTTAATTTTAATTTTGTTTATTGTAATGTGAATTTTAATCTGACATTTAATTGCGTGACCTCATCTATATGGGTTAGAACTGAAAATCAGCGATTTACTCTCGGAGTAAATGTTACGCTGAGTTTTCGCCCATTCGCATCGCTGCTGCACACGAAAATATCAGTATAGTTATATAAATGTAATTTGTTGTATGTTTTAAAGGATTTATTTAATTGTAAAATTTGTCTTCAATTTTGTATGTGTGCATGTTGGTGTGAATAAAGTTTTATCTATCTATCTATCTAGATAGATAGATATCTATATAACTAAAAATCTTAAAATATATATATAAATATAATAACTAAAATACATTATTAAAAGGAGTCCCTTTAGGCAAGGTTCCGAAGATACTGACAGCGTTCCCCCTTTGAATAGCTAGTCAAATTCTTTGTCCGAGGTAACTGCCAGCTCTTCGGTCTCCTATGATGTCGACTAACCTTTTTGCTATTTCCTTAAAAAGCCTTACAGCGCTAGAACCCCACGGACCAAGAGTCTCGACACCGAATGCGACAAAATCATATTCGGAGCCTAGACCCCTGTATGTTCATGCCTTAGCTTTTTAAGCCGCTTCGCAAGCCGCACCAACTCTGTTGTAAATCTATAGAAATATATAAAAACTCGAAGGTGACTGACTGACATAGTGATCTATCAACGCACAGCTCAAACCACTGGATGGATCGGGCTGAAATTTGGCATGAAGGTAGATGTTATGACGTAGGCATCCGCTAAGAAAGGATTTTGATCAATTCTACCCCCCAAGGGGATAAAATAGGGAATAAAAGTTTGTATGAAACTTTGTCAATTTTAAACCGATCGGGCTGAAACTTTGCATGCAGGTATAAGAAGAATCATAGATGAATGTCATTGTATATAATACAAGCCTGAGAACAAAAACTGTAGTCTACACTTCAGCTCTACACTGAGGCGAAGCGAGGGCGGGCCGCTAGTACTCATATAAATACTTGTATAGCACTGACCGATGTCGTTGACGAGCGTGAGGGGGGTGACGGCGGTGACGATGGCGGTGACGGCGGCGGTGCGGTCGCTGCAGGCGGTGCTCAATGTGATCAGAGCGCGGGCCCCGGCCGGAGTGATCGTCACGTTGAGCGCTTGCTTCGCCTCCAAGATCAGGTAGGTGCACAAACGCTCTTGGAAGCTTTCCGTCTCCAAGCCAGAGTCGACGCTGTCCTCGCGGATCGGTTCCTGATCAAAAGGACAAAATATCTGCATTGAATACGACGACGTTTCCGGGTTTCGTGGCGTCGCCTACTCAGAGGTCCCGGATTGAAGTCCCGGTGAGGGCAAATGTTAATATACCTAATAGGGACAAATGTTAGCCTAAATTACTTCTTAGGTAATAACAGCCAGAACAACGTAAACACAATTACAAGGTTTCCCAGCAAAAAAAAGGAATACGCGAATTAAACATCCACCCGAACAGACAACGAAAGTAAACAATTTTACCCCGAAACCAACGATATTAAATCCGAAACACAATAAGTTTGGAGCATTTCGTCCGAAAAAAAGAATCAAATCAAGAAGCTCAGTAAAATATGGGAGTATTTCAATATTTTAAATGTCAGTATGATGAATACGAGCATTTGTACCTTAGTCATGGATGTTTTTAATAAATTTCTGAATAAAATCTTAATATATATAAATCTCGTGTCACAATGTTTGTCCTCAATGGACTCCTAAACCACTTAACCGATTATAATAAAATTCGCACACCATGTGCAGTTCGATCCAACTTGAAAGATAGGATAGTTTAAATCTCAAATTATAGTCGCAATTTTAATTTATTGAAAATTATTACTTTTGGGCGGTACGAAGTTCGCCGAGTCAGCTAGTATACTTATATATGTATGTATCAGTATATGTATTCTATCAGTTATCCTAGCATCCCATAAAACAAGCCTTACAATACTTACTTCGGGGCTAGGCTACTTGGTGTGTGTTTAAAAAAATATGAGTAACCAACTTTTTGCCTAACTGTTACGAGATAGGAGATGTATTTACCATAATACAACAAAAAAAAATATGATAACTTCAGCTTCATATTTCCGTATATTATTACCTTTCTTTTTGCTTAACTCAGCTCACTTTAAATTCCCAATTTTAAATTCTTATTGGATTTTTTTGTTCTAATAGCTTTTCAAACATTGTGCATGTCGCATGTCTTCCGTAGAAAATCTAGGTTTTCAATTTTTTTATTTAAACAGAATATACGAAATATCTAATGATGTATGTAAATTCTATGTACGCCGCGCTTAGAGAGACAGAATTATCAAATTGCTAATACGTGCTATAACACAAACCGTCTAAAGCAGCAAATCTTTTTTTTTAATTTAGGTTACCAAACAATTGTGCAATATTGTATGTAATGTAGTTAAGCTATTGATGATTGAATATATTGATGTCATTACACAATCAACACCGTTTCCACAGAAAACATATCACAACACAGAGATTATCAATATATATATAAAACTCAAAGGTGACTGACTGACTGACATAGAGATCTATCAACGCACAGCCCAAACCACTGGACGGATCGGGCTGAAATTTGGCATGCAGGTAGATGTTATGGCGTAGGCATCCGCTAAGAAAGGATTTTGATCAATTCTACCCCCAAGGAGATAAAATAGGGAATGAAAGATGTATGAAACTTTGTCAATTTTAAACCGATCGGTCTGAGACTTTGCATGCAGGTATAAGAAGAATCATTGATGAATGTCATTGTGTATAATACAAGCCTGAGAACAGAAACTGTAGTCTACACTTCAGCTCTACACCGAAACGAAGCGAGGGCGGGCCGCTAGTATAAATATAAAACACGATAAGTTTGTAATATCTATTGTACTTGCAAATTGATGGTATAATTTAAAAGTTACAAGACACAATTTTTAAATGTTTGGCAAACAATCAGTAAAGGCATTTTCATCTTGAAAAAAGGACATTGTGAACAAGTCCATATCAAAACCAGATACATAGGTTGTCATTAAAAAAGTCCTATCTTTTACCTGTAGTGTTACCGTCTTGTGCTCCGCATCCTTCTTGATCTTATGATCTCCGTCCGTAAACGACACCGCCTTGTCATTATCCTCGTTGTCGGTCGCATCTACTTCTGTTTGCTCTGGAGCTGACGAATCTTCGTCATTGCTTTGATCATCATCACCGCTTGAATCACTGGGATGAGGAATTTGTGTATCAATAGTAACGCACAAACCAAAAAAGAATTTAAATGTACCTACAAGTCATTCAAGTCATCATCATCATCAGCCTATTAATGTCCCCACTGCTGGGGCACAGGCCTTCCCTATGGATGGAATAGGGTGATTGGGCCATGACGCGGGCCCAGTACGGATTGGCTTAACGTGCCTTCCGAAGCACGGAGGATCTCGAGATAGAAGATTTTTGGTCACTCATCCAATGACCGACCATTGCGAAAATTCATTAACTTCACCTTCACAAGCTCACCGAGATTCAAGTCAAGTCAATACAAATTTGAATACCCACAGTATTTTCATCCATCTCTTAAATCTCCTCGTACTTAACAGAATTTAAAAATCTGTAATGGGGTGCATTATTAGCACAGACTGATGTAGGTCTATGATTATTAGTACTATGCATTCTTCACAATAGTCACGAGATGTTGGTATTTGTTACGAGTTTGAAACTAGAATTCAAGTTAAATTAAGTATATCTAAAAAGAACACTGTTAGCATTATACGTGCGACAAATAGCATGATTTCTCGATAATCCACTCAACTCCATCCAAAAATTTCGTTGAAATCGCTTATCTCAGTTACATAAAGTAAATGGACGTATTTGAATGATCTTCAAAAATAATAATACATGATCAGGGTTATCAATAAGGATGATGACATTTTTTTTCTTCGTTTATCAGGTAGATTATCAAAAAGTATTCGACACGTATTTTTTCTTTTTTCACGTAATATAAAAATTGCAGAGATATATTGATTTGAAAAGTCGCATGACGTCACGTTTTGGTACAATTTCACTTAAAAGTGACGTCACGAGCCCCTACTCCCAAACTTTGACGCGCTATAACTTTGTCATTTTTTGGTTGATTGGCCAAAGAAAAAATACGTGTCCATTATTTTTTGATCATCTAACTGACGAACTTAATAGAATTTAGTTTACTGTACCCCGTCATCACCCCTATTGTATTTTTTGAGGATCAACTACCACTTTTTTGAAGATCATTCAAATATGTGTCGTAAATACTCAAGGGAGTTACCGGTAGTTAAAAAAGAACAACTTACTCGTTAAACAGATGTCCGAAAGCCGTCGCCAGCTTATCCATGAGGCCATTCTCGTTCTCAGAATCGGATTCGTCAACGTCCAGAGCTCCCAGTAGCGACATGTTCCCAGCGCTGAAGTCAACGCTATAGTGTTTGCTCTCTCTACCGTTCGGATTCCTTATAAACGTCATTTCGTTATCAGTGTCGCATTCGTCAGCTGAGGTTTCTGACTCGAATTCGTTCTTCTTTTTAGGCTTTTTCGTTTGCTCGGAGGAGGATAAGTCTTCGGCGTCTGGTTGGATGGATGTGTCGAGCTTTGATGACATGGGGTAAGCTTTTGCCTTGAAAGAAATAAGAGTTTTTTGCATTAACTATAATTTCTTTGTCTGCATATCGTGACCTTTTGTATACAAAAAAATATTGATTGGCATAGCTGCAGCCAGACCCGTCTTTCCCAGTGGGCACTTTGGGCAAGTGCCCAGGGCCTCGCGATAGATTGGGGCTCACTTCAGATCAAACACAAAGTTCCTAGTTCCTGTTAGATCACCAAACGGGGGTCATAGGGGCCCAATTATCCTAATATGCCCAGGGCCTCCAATAGGTCAAATACGGCACTGGCTGCAACAATTCTTTTTGGATAAGCACTTCATTGAGATATTTGCCTCTTACCCGTGCCTAATTAGGGCAATTATGTCACTTTCACATTTTAAGGAAATTTCCATTATTTGTTATGTCAAAATAATTGATAGAACATTCTAATATTTTGATTTATTTGTAGATGCAGCTGCAGCAGTTGAATTTGATGTTTTCACTGGATCGTTGATGCGTTTATTCAAATCTGAGAGAACGAAAAGTGTTGATAATAAACCGTCTCAAATCAATTCAAACATCACACAATCGGTCTATGTAGTATCTTGATGACTTTATAATTTATCATCATTTCCAAATAGCTGAGGAAGAGCTGGATGGCGATGGTTGGCGCGTTTAGCTGCGATCGTTGAAGTTAAGCAATTTTCGCATTGGTCAGTCATTAGATGGGACGGGTGGCCAAAAATTTACTATCTCGAGCTCCTCCGTGTTTCGGAAGTCACGTTAAGCTATTGGCTCCGGCTGCATCTGCAGTTGTCGTTAGCACCCACCAATCCGCACTAGGCTCGCGTGGTGGGTCATGGCCCGCACTCCCTATTCCATCGATAGGGAAGGCATGTGCCCCAGCAGTTGGGACATTAATGGGCCGATGATGATGAAATACCTGGAAGATAGTAGCTGTCAACTCCCAAGGTCGTTGCAAATTCTCGTTGACGACCACCGGCTCTATCAGCGGTTCCCAAACGTCGAGGCGTTCGTTGTAACAGCTCGCGACCGCAGTTAGGGAAGCGCTGCCGTGCAGCTGTCGAGACCAGTCGTGAAGCATCATCTCGCTGGAAAGCTGATGAGAAGAAGTCGACTTCAACAAGAGAAACAGTAAATACTGCAACTTTGTTTTTGTAGTTGTTTGCAGTTTCCTAAAGATAAATGACTTAAATTTTAATTATAGTATATAATAAATAAGTTGCAAATTAGTATAGGTGGTTATGAGTAGTCATGCTCTCTTAAAAATCTCTTTGGTGGTGTCGTGTGAGGCGGGTCGTTACGTCCCCTAAAATATGGTTGAGCGAAGCGATGGCTAGTTCATGCGTCATGCTCGTGAACGGGTGCTGCCAACGGGGATGAGTCTGCTCTATACTGCTGTTACATGTTATTTATTATCCCTAATATGAACACTGTTTGTATTTATACTGTATGACACAGCAATAAAAATGTGAGTAGACGTTGTATTGGTAAGTAATTTTTTGCGCCCCATTCTTCTCGTCAGCTAAATGATGTTCTGAAAATATTGGACGATTCAAAAAAGCTTTCAATAAGTCAATTAAAATCACACTAATATTATAAAAGGCGAAAGTTTGTGGGTGTGTATGTTTGTTACTTCTTCACGTCTAAAAGGCTGGAGCGATTTTAATAAAATTTTGTATGGAGTTAGCTGACATCCTGGATTGACACATAGGCTACGATTTACTGCGGGAAATATAGCATAACATATAAATATCGCACAGCGGGGCACAGCTAGTAAAGTATCATCCATCCATGAGCCTTTCTTCGTCCACTGCTGGACATAGGCCTCCATAGGCCATAGAACGCCACAATGCGCGGTCCTGCGCTATCCGCATCCAGCGGCTCCCAGCACATTTGACGATGTGGTCAGTCTACCTTGTTGGGGGCCTCCCCACGCTGCGTCGTCCGGTTGTAAAGTAAAATTTCATTTAATTTCACTTAAATAAAACTAGTTTTTACGGGTTAATGCACGAAACTTTATTTATTTATTGACGTTTCGCAGCCTTTTCAGGTCTGCATCGTCAGAATAATGATTTTTTATTTAAAATTGTCGAGCTACCTTCGAAAGACTTATATTGAGCGTTCGGTTATTTCATTGGAAGATTTTTAAAATTTTATTGTCTATGTATGAATTTATTATTTAATTTACTTAATAAAGTATTTTATTTAAAATTCTTGTTTGTCATTTTGAGTTTGTTTATTTGACCCTAACTACCGTAAACTACCACCGGTTCCATCAGATACTATTAGTTCTTTTTGTTTGCATAATTTAACATAAGAAGGAGATAGAAAGCCTCTCTTGAGTTTGTTTCGCCGGTTCTTCTCAGGAAGGTCTCCCAATTTTGGAACCGGTGGTAGTTTACGGTAGTTAGGGTCAAATAAATAAACTCAAAATTACAAACAAGAATTTTAAATAAAATACTTTATTAAGTAAATTAAATAATAAATTCATACATAGACAATAAAATTTTAAAAATCTTCCAATGAAATAACCGAACGCTCAATATAAGTCTTTCGAAGGTAGCTCGACAATTTTAAATAAAAAATCATTATTCTGACGATGCAGACCTGAAAAGGCTGCGAAACGTCAATAAATAAATAAAGTTTCGTGCATTAACCCGTAAAAACTAGTTTTATTTAATGAGTGATGTGCGTGAAAACCTAAGAAACTTAATTTCACTTCTCTTAATTTTACCACGATAACAGTGCATAGAGGATTGTACTTCTATTATATTCTTTCGTAAGTACTTTGACCATACAGTGCGCAGAGACAACGGAAATTTGGTGGTGTCATGTTTCTGTCGTAAGGTTCCAGGGCTCCAGGGATGGGGTAGGAGTTTGGATCAGGGTAGATAACGGCGCGAGGGATATTTTTGTATCGCCAGCGTTGTTTTTAAGCTATTGTATAGCTTTTATCGCGGGCTTTGAGCGCGGCGACCGAATCATGAAATTCCGTAATGAAAAAACACTATATATAGTATTATAATATAAATTTTTGGACTAAAGATGGTAAACTGTGGAGCTTGTGGAAGTTTTTGGCATCGGGCAATGCTTTTGTTTGCTGTGCTTGCCCAATAAAATATCATAAGGCCTGCCTCGCCATCTATTAATATCAAAGAAAAAAAATGCTGCATAAATATAATAAATAAGTAATTAAAATTGCATAAGTTGATAAAAAATGCTATGCAATAGCTTTACCGCGGCAGTCCCCGAGTGCCACACATTTTTTTTGTTTGTTTTTTTTAAAGTCATTAGCATATTTACCTTCATCATCAGCACCGGTACTCTTTCAGTATGCTCAATCTCCAATAAAATCCTGATACTTGGAATGGACACTAGCAGCGTCTCCGAAGGCTTCACACTAGGATACTGCGGCTGCACGTAACTGTCCTCCGTGTTCATCATTACGTATGGCGTCAGTTTCTTCGGAGACCAAAGGTCTTCGTCCTGCTTCTCCATTTTGGGATGATAGGTTGCAAAATTGAAAGGCTCTTTCTCATCTGGGATCGTTAATTCTGTTGTAATTTCTTCGATGATATCTGGTGAAGCAAAGGATATGGTAATTAATACCAGAGGAGCTTTGAATGATTACTCACATTAGTGCTTCGTTTTTCAGGATTCCGTAAATCTGACAGGGAACCTTTACAGTCTGTCTGTCTGTCCGTCCCCGGTTTTAATTGGAGACTGTTAGCTCGACGGTCAGGCAGGGCGGACGGATGGAGTCAGGTCGAACGGACCAGGCAGCAAACGGGACTCGAACCCATACCCTTCGCTGTCCAGGCGAATGCACTGACCAATTATTCTACCGCGGCCCTGATGGACGTGTCGAGTTCTTTCTAGCCTTTTTTAGCTGCAAGGCAGCACCATCTCTTCGTATTTTAGGTAACCCATAATGTCAAATGAATACCTCTACAAGCATTAAACATTTGAACAAAGAAATAGCAATTAAGTTATATATTTTTTTAAGCATGTAATTGCTGCTTGATTCTGTGTGGAAAGGGTGCGGGTTCGAGTCTCGTCTGCTGCCTGGTCCACGTGTTTTTTTTTTCTATTAATATTTTCTTTAGTTAAACATCTAGCAGTTACATGCTTAAAAAATAAAATAAAAGTTATAACTCCCTTGTATTATCATATTTTCCTTATCCTCAAAATTTATGTCTACCTACTAGCCAGCGTCTAGTCTACTCACCCATGACCGTGTGAACAGTAGTGGCAGCAACATGCACTTCCACTTCTGAAACGGTCAGCTTCACTCTCACTCCTTCCTCTACGTTCTTAAAGCTCTTGGAGAATTCCACGTCACACGGCTTCAATACCGGCTGTGGTGGTAAATTCTTCAACTTGGATTGCAGTTTCGACATCACCTGCAAGTAAATTGTTGGTGTCGTTTCCAAAAGCTCACTTCAGCCCGTAAACAAATCAAACATAACTTCTAAAACTAAATAGAAACCACTATTTAGAAATAGCATTTGAGAATTTTATAACTCGACTCGTTTCCGATAGCAGTAATTATTCTTCTGCAAGGTGGAAAGTACTTACTATTACTGGCACTTCTAATCGAGTCCTGAAAATTCTGCAAGTGATATTGTTAATGAAATTTAAATTACCTGCAGTCCAGCTAAGGAGACGACCAGGTTCTCCGAGCTGCAGTGGCTGGAGTAATCCACCATCAGCTCAGCTCGTAGCAGCAGCGCGTGACCCTCGTTCTTGCTCAGGTCCGTGAAGAACATCACCTCCGGCTGACGGAACTGGATCGATATGGACAGACCGGGAGTTTCCTCGGCTATTGATGTCGCTGGAAGAACCGACAGTAAATATAAGAAAGGTAGGGCATAGCGGCTCATCATCATCATCATAAGCCTATTAATGGCGCAGGCCTTCCCTATGGATGGAATAGGGAGTTTGGGCCATGTCCCACCACGCGGGCCCATTGCGGATTGGTGGGTGCTAACGACTGCAGATGCAACCGAAGCCAACGGCGAAAAGGGCCTTCCGAATCACGGAGTTTTTCTTTCTTCCTTGCCATCAGGCGGGCTATATGCTAATATCTGCCACTTTTTTTCATTAAAACAAATGTGTGCGTGTACTAGTGTACACACGTAAGAAGTGAAACTTCTTTATGGCCTTATTTTTCGAAAAATGATCTACATGCAACTTTCCAGAAATTGGTTAAATAAAGTTAAATTAGATAAAGTTTAAACAAAAGGATTTTATTATCATAGACATGAATACAAATTACTGCCTATGAAACTGTTAAGATTACACGGCTCAGTAATCTAAGGCACATGTTCCCCCTCCGACGATGAACGATAAGCGAGTAGAAACTAGAAATGAATTGGCAGTCCTGAGTTAAAATGCACGCGCACGGCTTTTGACAGCCAAGCCAGCTTAACCGAGCGAGTATAGCTGAGCGAGTATCGCTGAGCGAGAATCGCTGAGCGAGAATCGCTGAGCGAGTATCGCTGAGCGAGTATCGCTGAGCGAGTATCGCTGAGCGAGTATCGCTGAGCGAGTATCGCTATGCGAGTTTGGCTGAGCGAGTCTTATCTTTAATAACTATTGTCACTCAGCTACAAACGAGTAGAGAGAGTTCTCGCCGGCGACAGTGTGATCATTCAGCTATCAACTATTAATATAAAAAAAATGTGTGCGTGTACTAGTGTGAATTAGACACACATTTGAATTGGAAACAGCACATCCAAAAAATAACAAATAAACTATCATCTTTTATATACGCACTCCATCAGTTAAAACGTGCTAGCGATTTTCAGTCCGCTATTGTAGCTTATTATGCGTACGCGTATTCAATACTTTCGTATGGAATTGTATTGTGGGGAAACTCATGTAACGTTGGGAAGGTGTTTGTTTTGCAGAAAAAATTTATACGAATACTGGCTAACATTGACCAAATGGAATCCTGTAGATCTTTTTTTGTAAAGTATAATATATTAACTTTAGCTTCCATCTATATTCTGGAGTCTTGTAAATTTATTATAAAACATCCAGAATTTTATTCGCCACTAAAAAATAATAAAAGGAATAATAGAAACTTAAATAAATTTAGATTACCGATATCGAAAATGAAATTAGTAGCATCTAGCCCCCATATAATGATGATTAAAATATATAACCATGTCCCTAACTATTTAAAAAACTATAACACACCGACACTATTTATCAAACATTTAAAAGCCTTTCTTATTGCCAAGTGTTATTATGACTTAAATGAATTTTTCAATGACAAATCACCCAGCCAATGGAATGCTTCAGACTCTTAAGAATTTAATTTATAATGAATGTATTTAAATGAAGAATAAATAACAATATTTTAATGAATTTATGGTGTCGATTCTAGCATGATTCTCTAAACTTTTTTACTTATGTATTGGGAATGATAAGGATACACTGTCGTCAAATTTAGGTTTGGGTTGGAGAGTCATGCTAGAATTGACACCAAACACCAATGTATGTAAAGAATGATTAAAACTTAGTTTATAAAGTCTTAACCACAGTTACGATGTAATTGCTTTGACGGAGACATGGCTTAATGACAGTGTATTTGATGCGGAAATTCTAAATAATAACTACCGGATTTATCGTAGAGATCGCGCCACTACATCTTCTATCAAAAAGGACGGAGGTGGAGTCCTTATAGCTGTCTCTAATAATCTTACGTCTTCTCGTCTACCATACTTGGAAAGCAGTTCTGAGGATTTATGGGTTTCGATCACCGACTCCAAGGGAGTTTTAGGTAAATTAGTTATATGTGCCTTATATCTCCCACCACCTGTATCCTCAGTAGACCTCGATAATTTACTCAGCAATATTTCTAGTGGATTATCTTCACTAGACATTCACGATAAAATGTTAATCATAGGCGACTTTAATCTGGGATATATTGAATGGGTCCCATGTCAATCAATGTCATCGTCAGCTATGTCTCCCAAATTCAGAAATTGTATTCTCTATCAATCCTTGTCTGATTTCATGTCATTAAATAATCTAACGCAATTTAATAATATTATGAATGGGAATAATAAACTGCTAGATTTAGTTTTCTCAAGTGGTTCATCTGTTAATGTTGATTTTGTAGATGATCCTCTTGTGAGTCTTGATACACATCATCCATCGATTAATATTAATATTGACCTTACAGTTCATAAATGTTTGAAAAAGCAGACAATTTTAAAATTTAATTTCTCTCGTGCAGATTATGCTCAAATTAATAAAAAATTTGATTGTGTTGATTGGGGATCAAGAACTCAGAAATACAGACTCGATGCTATGGTTAATTCATTCTACTCTATAGTCAATCAAACTATAGAAAGGTACGTACCTAAAGTTTCTGCAAAATGTAATAAGTATCCTGCATGGTACTCAAAAAACCTTATTCAAATGCTTAGAGAAAAGGAAAAATTACGGAAGAGACTAAAGCTTTATAATAATCCTGTAGATAACTTTGAGTTCAAAGAGGCACGATATAGATGCCATTTACTAATAAAAAAATGTTACCGTCGATGTTTGTATAATATTGAAAACTCTATTAGCGAGAATAACATCAAAGCCTTCTGGAGCTATGTGAAAAACAATCGCAAGAAAACCGTTACGATGCCCTCTGTAATGCATTTGGATAATACGAAGTTTGATACTCCTCAGTCAATTTGTAATGCCTTTGCACTTCTCATCGGTATACGTGGCTAATGATCCTGCTATTCTAATGCCACACGATGGCAGTACATCTTATGACAATAATAATTCCCTTTCTAATATATACCTGTCGGAAGAATGCATTGAAAAAGCGATGAAGAATCTTGATCCAAGGAAAGGTCCAGGTCCGGATGGAGTGCCAGCCGTATTCCTAAAAAACTGTGCTTCTTCTCTATCATATTCGCTTAATATTATTTTTAATAATTCTTTATCTACTGGTGTTTTTCCGTTAGTTTGGAAATGGGCTAATGTCTTACCAATTCCTAAATCAGGAAATACGAGCGACGTGCGTAATTATATACCTATTTCCTTATTATCTAGTTTTCCTAAACTGTTTGAAAAATTAGTGTACCCATATTTTACAAATCATCTTGGATCCATCCTCGTTCCTCAGCAGCACGGTTTTCGTCAAAAGATGTCTACAATTACAAATCTGACATGCTATGTAAATGAATTAAGTTTTGAACTGGATCAGGGTCGACAGGTGGATGCGGTGTACACCGATATAAGTAAAGCATTCGATAAGGTTAATCACTCTATAATGCTGAAGAAATTATGCTTGGCAGGTGTTCACGGCTCTTTGTTAGACTGGTGTCATTCTTATCTTTCTGAGAGATATCAAAAAGTAGTTACTTGTGGATATGAATCTGATTATATTCTGGTTTACTCAGGAGTTCCTCAGGGATCACATTTGGGACCTCTCTTTTTTCTAGCATTTATAAACGATCTGGTGCGAGTTATTAGGTACTCAAGTTGTTTATTGTTTGCCGACGATCTTAAAGTATACAAAACTGTCCAAAATTCCAATGATGCTGAGCTTTTACAAAAAGATCTGGACCAAATAGCGGCTTGGTCACACGCAAATGTGCTTCCTTTTAATCCTGACAAATGTAAGCATATAAAATTCACTAAGAAACGATTTCCGGTTAAGTCTACATATTCTATAAATTTGCAAGTTCGTGAAGAGGTATCGTCCATTCAAGATCTCGGTATTTTTTGGATAAAAAATTACTTTTCACTCATCATTTTTGACCATATTATATCTAAGAGTTTAAAAATGCTGGGATTTCTTTGGCGTAGTTGTAAGCGGTTTAAAAATGTTGAAGCATTGAAACTTCTATACTTTGCTTTGGTACGCAGTTCCTTGGAGTATTGTTCTGCTATTTGGAATCCTCTTTATGAATGTCATAAAAGCAGAATTGAAAGAATCCAAAAAAAGTTTTTGTCTTTTCTAACTAGACACCAGTTAAAAAGATATGAACTCATCTCATATAAGGATAAATTGGAGTATTTCGAGTTGGTTTCATTGCGGAAACGCAGATGGGTTGCTGATCAGATTTTACTGTATAAAATTCTGAGAGGTAACATTGATTGTCCTCAACTTCTTAGTGAAATTAGTTTTAATATACCACGACCAAATTTCAGACCAGCTAACTATATATTATTTAATTTAAAAACTTATAAAACCAAGCTGGGTACGCAGAGTGTTTTAAATAGGATTTGTGAAGAACACACTAAAATCTGTACTGGGTCCTTGGTAGGCGTTGATTTGTTCGCTGCGTCATTGATTGCATTTAGGAGGGCTTTGCTATCGAGCATTGATTGTGGCACTTGATTATAGTTTAGTTTTATGTATGTTTTGTTTTATACCTAGTTTAGTTTTATATCATTAATTTTGACAGAAATAAGAGTTGTGTATGCCTGTAACTGTTTTTGCACAACTCTATGTATAACGTATGTTTTTTTTTCGTTTCGTTTCGTTTCGTTTCGTTTCGTTTCGTTTCGTTTCGTTTCGTTTCGTTTCGTTTCGTTTCGTTTCGTTTCGTTTCGTTTCGTTTCGTTTCGTTTCGTTTCGTTTCGTTTCGTTTCGTTTCGTTTCGTTTCGTTTCGTTTCGTTTCGTTTCGTTTCGTTTCGTTTCGTTTCGTTTCGTTTCATTGCGTTTCATTTCGTTTCATTTCGTTTCATTTCGTTTCATTTCGTTTCATTTCGTTTCATTTCGTTTCATTTCGTTTCATTTCGTTTCATTTCGTTTCATTTCGTTTCATTTCGTTTCCATTTCCATTTCATTTCGTTTCCATTTCATTTCGTTTCATTTCGTTTCATTTCCTTTCATTTCGTTTCGTTTCGTTTCATTTCGTTTCGTTTCGTTTCGTTTCGTTTCGTTTCGTTTCGTTTCGTTTCGTTTCGTTTCGTTTCGTTTCGTTTCGTTTCGTTTCGTTTCGTTTCGTTTCGTTTCGTTTCGTTTCGTTTCGTTTCGTTTCGTTTCGTTTCGTTTCGTTTCGTTTCGTTTCGTTTCGTTTCGTTTCGTTTCGTTTCCTTTCGTTTCATTTCGTTTCATTTCGTTTCATTTCGTTTCATTTCGTTTCATTTCGTTTCATTTCGTTTCATTTCGTTTCCATTTCCATTTCATTTCGTTTCCATTTCCATTTCATTTCGTTTCATTTCGTTTCATTTCGTTTCATTTCGTTTCATTTCGTTTCATTTCGTTTCATTTCGTTTCATTTCGTTTCATTTCGTTTCATTTCGTTTCATTTCGTTTCATTTCGTTTCATTTCGTTTCATTTCGTTTCATTTCGTTTCATTTCGTTTCATTTCGTTTCATTTCGTTTCATTTCGTTTCATTTCGTTTCATTTCGTTTCATTTCGTTTCATTTCATTTCAATTCATTTCATTTCATTTCATTTCATTTCATTTCATTTATATGTTCATCGTCGTTGTTATTACCAAAAAAAAGATGGCGCGTAACCAAAAAATGTGACGCGTAACCGAAAAATGTGACGGTAAATTTTTTTCCAACGCCGATAAAGAAGTTTCACTTCAAAAAATCATGATACTGGGTTGCTTAGTCGCAAATTACCTTAATTTTCTCAGATATTGAAGCGAAAACAAGACACCAATTCTGTGGTAAGATTTGTGGTCTGACCAATATGAAAAAATATTTTTTGTATTCGAATATCGTTCGCTGATTGTTTCTGATGTTATGACGCCTGTGTTAGATTATTTAATCCCTTGCAAAAACATTTAAGTGCTATAACTTTGACGGGAAAACGTCTTATATGTTGTTGCACACTGGCTCCAGGAAAGAAAGTGTGACGTCATTTCACTTTGTTCACGAGTAAGTTCGTCGTTCCGAGGTGTGTGAGGTAAGGTCGATGAGTTCCTTCAACCTCCCCTGAACCCCCTGACGCCCACTCGTACAGAGGCGTGCTTGAGCTCAAATGAACCTGTACAAAAGGCCCAACAAAACTGCCCCAAAGAAAACATCGAACGACTGGTTAACACGTAAAATTATTCGCCCGTAAACCATAGTCAACCATTTTTTGAAGTGAAAACTTCTTTAGTGGCGTTGTACACTTTTTTTGTATGGTTAAAATATGTTAAACTCGCGTTAGGACACGTGGGCTGATCGCGTCATGACACGTGGCCTGATCGGGGATCTGACGAAAATAAAATTGGAAAGGTTGTTGACTTTCAATATATTGGACGAAACATAGTAATATTCTATTTTATCGTATTATAATAATAAGTCTTTATCTAGGACGTCCAGGTGGCAGCTTTATTGCGAAGAATATGCATTTTTTTACAATAGATGTCGCTAGGTGCGCTTAAACGTGATTCATGTAAGTTGATTTTTCTGAGAGATAAACTTTTTTAATGTAATATAAATTGTCATGTTTGTGTTCGATGGCGCAATAAATAAATATTGTATTCTACCACATAAATGATTGTACTTTTATACTGATAATTAAAGCAATTCGTGCAAAATTATTCTCTCACCATTCCAAAATATCAAAAATGCACAACGCTAATATTCAAGTTTTCACTTCTGCCGGCACTCCCGGAGTGCATGCAACCCGTCGTTTTTTATTTTAAAAGACTGTTTTTTTGTAGTTAAGCTTGTATTTCTAGGAAGCAAGGCAGTAAATCATCATACCTGCGGAATAGTATCCACTGGATTCGCTGCAAGAGGGCGGGCGCACGGTGGGGCGGGCGGCGGGCTCGCCCACATACCCGTGGTTCACCACACCGCCTTCTAACACTTTCTCACCTGACATCCAAAATACTTGTGTCATAAACCATCATTATTAACCTATTAATGTCTCCACTGCTGGGGCACAGGCCTCTTCTATGGATGGAATAGGGAGATTGGGCCATGAACCACCACGCGGGCCCAGTGTGGATTCGTGAGTGCTGACGACTGCAGATGCAGCCGGGACCAACGGCTTAACGTGCCTTCTGAAGCACGAGGAAGCTCGAGATAGTAAATATTTGGTCACCCATCCAATGACCGACTACTGCGAAAGTTGCTTAACTTCGAGAATCGCAGTCGAAAGCGCTAACCACTTGCGCCATCGAGCTCCGTACTTGTGTCATAAACCATCATGTTTAATTAATTAATGTCCCCACTGCTGAGGCATAGGCCTTCCCTATGGATGAAATAGGGAATGCAGGCCATGACCAACCACCAGAGTACTAACGGTGGGTGCTAACGACTGCAGATGCAGCCGAGACCAATGGTTTAACGTGCGTTCCGGAGCACGGAGGAGCTCGAGATAACTAATTGTGGTCACCCATCCAATGACCGACAATTACGAAATTTACTTAACTTCACGATCGCGAGCCAAACGCCCTATCCAACTACGCCATCGAGCTCCTCAAGTCCAGTTATAAATCATAAGTTTAAGTATTGAGTATTGTATTGACTTTGCGAGCTTGGGAGATCTTTACTAAATGTCTGTAAGGATCGCTCTGTGCGAGATACGCATAGCATAACCTGACTTAACTGTAGAGTATCTTAATCACGGAGTTACCTACATCATTGTAATAAGTATAAAAAACACATAAAAAAAAACAATATTAAAAAATCAATGTTCATTACGCTTTGTATAAAATTTGGTTCCCTTTCTTAAAGTTACATGAATCTATACTCATACTAATGATCCGGCGCGAAGGACCATGTGGCGGGGTCACTCACCCGGCACGGCGTCCAGCAGCGTGCGCGCCAGCTGCAGCAGGAAGGCGGGCGCGAGGTTGGCGCGCGTGCGGTCCACGCGCACGTCTAGCTGCGCGGCGGGTGATCCGGCTCGAAGGACCATGTGGCGGGGTCACTCACCCGGCACGGCGTCCAGCAGCGTGCGCGCCAGCTGCAGCAGGAAGGCGGGCGCGAGGTTGGCGCGCGTGCGGTCCACGCGCACGTCTAGCTGCGCGGCGGGTGATCCGGCTCGAAGGACCATGTGGCGGGGTCACTCACCCGGCACGGCGTCCAGCAGCGTGCGCGCCAGCTGCAGCAGGAAGGCGGGCGCGAGGTTGGCGCGCGTGCGGTCCACGCGCACGTCTAGCTGCGTGGCGGGTGATCCGGCTCGAAGGACCATGTGGCGGGGTCACTCACCCGGCACGGCGTCCAGCAGCGTGCGCGCCAGCTGCAGCAGGAAGGCGGGCGCGAGGTTGGCACGCGTGCGGTCCACGCGCACGTCTAGCTGCGCGGCGGGTGATCCGGCTCGAAGGACCATGTGGCGGGGTCACTCACCCGGCACGGCGTCCAGCAGCGTGCGCGCCAGCTGCAGCAGGAAGGCGGGCGCGAGGTTGGCGCGCGTGCGGTCCACGCGCACGTCTAGCTGCGCGGCGGGTGATCCGGCTCGAAGGACCATGTGGCGGGGTCACTCACCCGGCACGGCGTCCAGCAGCGTGCGCGCCAGCTGCAGCAGGAAGGCGGGCGCGAGGTTGGCGCGCGTGCGGTCCACGCGCACGTCTAGCTGCGCGGCGGGTGATCCGGCTCGAAGGACCATGTGGCGGGGTCACTCACCCGGCACGGCGTCCAGCAGCGTGCGCGCCAGCTGCAGCAGGAAGGCGGGCGCGAGGTTGGCGCGCGTGCGGTCCACGCGCACGTCTAGCTGCGTGGCGGGTGATCCGGCTCGAAGGACCATGTGGCGGGGTCACTCACCCGGCACGGCGTCCAGCAGCGTGCGCGCCAGCTGCAGCAGGAAGGCGGGCGCGAGGTTGGCGCGCGTGCGGTCCACGCGCACGTCTAGCTGCGCGGCGGGTGATCCGGCTCGAAGGACCATGTGGCGGGGTCACTCACCCGGCACGGCGTCCAGCAGCGTGCGCGCCAGCTGCAGCAGGAAGGCGGGCGCGAGGTTGGCGCGCGTGCGGTCCACGCGCACGTCTAGCTGCGCGGCGGGTGATCCGGCTCGAAGGACCATGTGGCGGGGTCACTCACCCGGCACGGCGTCCAGCAGCGTGCGCGCCAGCTGCAGCAGGAAGGCGGGCGCGAGGTTGGCGCGCGTGCGGTCCACGCGCACGTCTAGCTGCGCGGCGGGTCGCGGGGCGGGTGACACGCGCACGCTACAGTCTATGAGCGGCGGTCGGCGAACGCTAATACCGCACGACGCTCGAGTCGCACCGCCTTGGCATTGGAAGATCCTAACCAAAAGAATCATAGTTTATTGGGCGAAACTTCAAAAGACGTTTCTTCCTCATACGCCACACCGTTTTGGCATTGGAACAACCTGGCTAGAAAACATTTGTTTATAAGACAGACATTTAAGAGGAATTTGTTCTTCTTAGAGAAATGTGCAGGTGCTTTAGACGGGATACGGTCAAACATGACCCTTATAAGCAATGCGCTTATAATGCCGCACAACGCGCGAGCCGCGCTGTCTTGGCATTGGAGGATCCTAACCAAAAGAATCAGTTTATGTGGCGAAACTCCAAAAGACGTTTGTTCCGACACCGTCCCGCTTTAGCATTGGAACAACCTGGCTAGAAAACATTTGTTAATATGACAGAAATTCAAGAAAAAATTGTATGTTGTTTTTCTTAGGCAAACGTGGATGTCCTTTAAACAGGACACAAAACACACTGGGTTTTCAAACACAATTTTGCCGCCATGATATTGAAAGATCTTGTCTAAAAGTTATTAATGTGGTGGAACTGCAAGCACCATGCTGTATCTTTGGCGATATCCTCACCTTCCCTCGGGCGGGACAGTCAAACGGGAGGTTTTTGTGATAACTGCGATAATTTATTAACATTGTACCCATCAGAAGTCAAAGGACAACCCGAAACAGTAACACACAACGAAAACTATAAAAGCGTGTACATAGTTCCAGAATATTTGGTAATGAATAGCAACAGATCCCCTGGAGTACGTAGTCCTAAAATCGTCATCCAATCTCTTATAAATTTAATAGTGGTGTACGGTTCAATAAACCGCACAATATAATTTATTTTACATTTTATATTTTGCAGCATTGCATTTTTACTTTGGTGTGTCGAATCTAGAACGCGACGCATCAGTCTACGTTTCAACCGCGACTCATAAACTCCATACACTATTTCATTAGTCAAATAAGTTTCGTGTGCCAATAAACGGTATCTCTGTAAAATCCATTTTCTTTTCTTGTACGTACACACATCCCGTACAAACTGGTCCTTCGAGTCTCCGAAGGCGGGACCAAATTTGTGTGATCAAGTGCTTGGTTAAGCCGTGTGAGTGTTTGAAATCAGGACACCACTCTGCCACGTCGAGTTACGTAAGTCACAAGTCCGGTCTTTGGTGAGTTATCTATTGCTTTCAAGTTATTTTACAAACATGGAAGAACTTTTGAGTAGTCAGAACCGCATCATGGAAACTATGAACACTCTTCTCGTTAATTTCAAGAAAGATGGGTCCGAGCGCAAAACTCTAACTTATCTCAAAAATCGACTGAGCACGTTAATAGGTTACTGGCATGAATTTCAATGTAACCACATCAAACTCTGCGAGTATGACGACAAATCCCACGAATATTTCACGAGCAATGAATACAAACGAATATCAGAATTTTACATTGATACACGAGCACACATACAAACATACTTGCCCTCTGGTACACAAACGGAGGGAAAACAGCTTCTGCGTACGGCTACACCATTAGCTAGCGAAGGGCGAGAAACGTTTTCTCGAATCGCATCACCCGCAGAACAGCAGGCAAAAGGTCCATTTGAGCTTCAAACTACGCGCAGCAGCACCGACCGGGGAACCAGCAGCAAGCTGGACGAGATGCTCCGCAAGCAAAAGAGCAACTTCAAGGCGTTCTCCAGGACGGTCAGTAATATCAACCTTGATAATATCTCCGACAGGTGGGAGTTCGAGGATGTGTTAAGATCTGTGCAAGCGAGATGGTCCGTCATAGATTCCCTACATTGGGAAATAGATAGCGAGTTCTATGAAGACACAGAGTACGAGCAAGCCTTTGGTAGGTACGAACAGCAGTTCAACGACATCAAGAGAAATATCAACTCCAAAATGTGGAATCAATGTCATCGAGAAAAATCGACTCCACAGATGGACATACCTATTTTTACTGGAAACTATCATCAGTGGGTGTCCTTCAAGGATTTATTCGTAGAAGCGATACATAATAACCGCTCCTTATCGAACGCCCAAAAATTACAGTTTCTCAAGAGTAAACTTCGAGGTGAAGCAGAAAAGTTGGTGCAACATTTACCAATCACATCCGAAAATTATGAGGTGAGTTGGGATATACTGAATCGCAGGTACAATAATGCGAAGCTTATATTCAATAGCCATGTCAGCATCTTACTAAACTTACCTTCCATACAACTACAATCAGCGGCAACCATAAAAAAGGTATTTGATAACACCAACGAGTGTCTTAACGCAATACAAGCGCTCGGTGTCGACATAAGTACTTGGGATCCATTAATAGTTTATATCATTTCAAATAAACTGGATGCCGACACCCACACTGATTATATTGAATCATTGAAAAATCCTAGGGACTTACCTAAATTGACGGACTTATTGCAGTTCCTAGAAAATAAATTTACATCCCTAGAAGCATCTCGACGCAAACCAGAGTCATCAAAGCCTCTAAATCAGGAGGATCCAGTGAGTAATTCTAAGAAAATTCATTATTTCAAATCGTTCACTAGCCGACAAAATCAATCGAGTCAGAAAAGCAGTAATAAATTGACCCAAAAAGATATGAAGTGTGTAGTATGCAATAAAGATAGAGATCACGCCATTTACAATTGCGAAACATTTTTAGGTATGCAACCGCAAATGAGACAAGACATAGTTAAGAAGTTGTCACTATGCACAAATTGCCTACATTTCCATCGCAACGGAAAATGCTTCACCAACAAAAATGCCGCGAGTGCGATGAGAGCCACAATACATTACTCCATGGCGCTAACATGTTTGTAGGTACGGACAAAACTCGAACGTCATCACAACAACGTGACGCACACAATCAGTCGAGTCAATTAAAAACAAATGTACTGCAAGGACAGGTAGGTGAAATATTACTGGCAACAGCATTAGTCCAAGTGACCAAACCTGATGGATCTCGACAAAATATGAGGGCACTAGTTGACCAGGGGTCTCAAGTATCCTTGATTACCGAATCAGCAGCACAACTTTTAGGCTTCAAACGTCAGGGTTGCAGAGCAATAGTGTTCGGGGTTGGTTCCAAAGAAAATAAATGTAATGGTATGATTTCACTTCCGTTATGCTCACTTTACAATGATTATACTTTTGACGTCAATGTTTTTGTTACGAAGCGGCTAGTAAATAAATTACCAAATAAATCATTTTTAAAACCAAATTGGCCCCACATTGAAAATATACAACTAGCTGATCCTGAGTTCTTCAAAAGCAGCTCGATAGATATGTTGTTGGGAGCAGACGTGTACTCCGCGATCATTTTAAGCGGCATCATAAAAGAAAACGATACCATGCCTATAGCGCAACAAACTCGCTTAGGATGGATTTTGTGTGGCAGCGCAAGTGTTACAAAATCATATCACTGCAATGTAACCTTGATCCAGGATGAGTTACACAAATTTTGGGCAATCGAGGATATTGCTGACCAGCATGATATGTCATCAGAAGACTTGCACTGCATGCAGTTATACCAATCAACTACAGAACGCCAAGCAGACGGCAGGTATGTCGTTCGTCTCCCGTTACACTCGGACATAGATGAGAAACTGGGTCAATCCAAACCGAAAGCCTTGGCTCAATTTTTCCAACTAGAACGTAAGTTTAAACGTCAAGAAAAATTAGCAGCTGATTATAAATTATTCATTCATGAATATTGTTTACTGGGTCATATGCAATTAGATCCGATAGCGGCCACCGGTAACAAGACTCTTACAGGCTACTATATGCCGCACCATAGCGTACATCGCGCTGATTCATTAACCACTAAATTAAGAGTTGTTTACAATGCCTCGGAAAAAACATCAAGTGGATATAGCTTAAACGACCTTATGTATAGGGGTCCAAACTTGCAACACGACCTATTGGTACTCATAGTCAGGTGGAGACAATATCCTTACGCATTTACAGCAGATTGCGAAAAAATGTACCGGCAAATTTTGGTTCACCCTGATCATCAAAAATATCAGAAAATTGTGTGGCGTGACACCCCTGAGCAACCGATAAGGGATTATCAACTCTCTACCGTCACATATGGGACAAAGGCCGCACCCTTTTTAGCAATTATGACACTGAGACGCTTAGCACAAGATGAGCGCCAGCACCATCCATCAGCAGCGAAGGTCCTGGAAGAGCAGGTCTATATGGATGACGTTTTATCAGGTCATTTTACTGTCGAATCAGCCAAAGCATTAAAAACAGAACTAATCAGTCTTGTCGGTTCGGCAGGGTTCAACCTGAGAAAGTGGTCGTCAAATGAACATTCACTAATTGAGGATAACCTCACCTCTCAGTCAGAGCCGCACACTTACAATTTCCGCCATCAGGAATCAACCAAAACTCTAGGACTAGTCTGGAATCCCAAAGAAGATAATTTCACTTTCCAATGTAAACTGTCTCCGCAGTCATCACAAAAACCAACAAAAAGAATATTGTTATCTGAAATATCCAAAATCTTCGATCCTTTGGGATGGTTAGCACCATCGATAGTGCAGCTTAAACTACTATTCCAAAGCATATGGACGCTGGATCTCCAATGGGACGAAGAAGTACCCGAAGAACACTTCAAAAGGTGGGTGCAACTAAGGGAGGATATTACAGACATTGACAAGATAACAATACCCAGATGGATAAAAAGTGGAAAAAGTGATATATTGCAGCTCCATGGTTTCAGTGACGCTTCCACAAAGGCTTACGCAGCAGTTATATATGTTAAGATACAAAAAGATGGGGAAGCAACCGTAACTCTGCTGGCCGCCAAAACCAAGGTAGTACCACTAAATAAAACAACATCACTACCGCGACTAGAGTTATGCGGCACCCTATTACTTTCAAAATTAATGGCAAAAATAGTTGAGAGTCTAAATTATCACAAAGTTGAAATTTATGGATGGCGTGACTCTACTGCAGTTCTTGGTTGGCTGCAAGGCGATCCCTGCAAATGGAAAACGTTCGTGAGTAACAGGGTCAAAAAGGTCACAGAGGTTATACCCTCCAATAGCTGGCGTTATGTCAGGTCCGAAGAAAACCCAGCTGATTGCGCGAGCCGTGGCCTATCAGTCAATCAACTAAAAGATCACACCCTTTGGTGGAACGGTCCATCTTGGTTACCGTCATATATTTCAAAACGTGAAAATAAAAAATATGACACTAATTTAGACACGTTAAAAATAGCACAAAGCAACTCAATACAAATAAAACAGTCCGACATGAATATTATTGAACAATTATTATGCAAATACAGCAGTATTACGCGAGTGACGCGCGTCCTTGCATGGGTTATGCGCGCGATAAGCCAAAAATCACTTACGAAAGCACATTTAACAGCTGATGAACTATATACAATTAAATTAAAAGTAATTAAATATGTACAAGAATGTGAGTTTTCAGAGGACATACTTACCATAAAAAAGAGCGGAGAGGTGAAAGCGAACAGTAAAATCATAAACCTGAACCCGTATCTGGATAAAAACCAAATTTTAAGAGTTGGAGGTCGACTGGAAAACGCGAACATTAGCGAGGATATGAAACATCCACTTATAATCCCACATTCTAGTCGCCTCACCGACCTGCTTATAGACCACGCACACAAAGTAACTTTTCATGGTGGGACTAGACTGACACTTTCCTACCTCCGAAGGGAATACTGGATACTGGGAGGAAATAGAGCCGTCAAAAAACGCTTACACCAATGTGTCACTTGTAGAAAATACTCCTCTAATAAACAGCGGCAAATAATGGGTGAGTTACCGGAAGCCAGAACCAATCCCTCTCGACCCTTCTACCATACCGGGGTAGATTTCACCGGGTTCGTGGATGTTAAAGCAAATAAGGGTCGAGGTATTAAGACAACAAAGGGCTACGTGTCAGTTTTCGTGTGCATGGCGACAAAAGCTGTGCACCTAGAACTTGTCTCGGATTTGACAACATCGTCATTTTTGGCAGCCCTCCGTCGTTTTGCATCACGCAGAGGCACACCCCGTCACATGTATAGTGATAACGGGACGAATTTCGTCGGAGCAAACAAGGTGCTGAAATCCGAATTTGCCAACTTAAAATTAATAATTACTGACGAGTTCCTTTCCGAAATTAGTGAAATGAAAATAGACTGGCATTTTAACGCTCCATCTTGGCCGAGCGCAGGAGGCCTATGGGAAGCCGCTGTTAAAAGCCTGAAATACCATTTACGCAGAGTAGTGGGCGAGCAAAAACTGACGTTTGAAGAGTATACCACTCTATTATCACAACTCGAGGCTTGTCTCAATACTCGCCCCCTCTGTGCAATTAGTGAAGATCCAAACGACATCAATTATTTAACACCATCCCATTTCTTAGCAAGTGGGCCCATCCTCACCATATATGAAACTGAAAACGATGACAGAACTCGTTGGAGATTGACACAAAAGATTTTTCATGATATATGGGCGAGATGGCGTTTTGAATACTTATCTCAACTTTCAGCAAGATCGAAATGGCAACAAAAACAAGAAAATATCAAGCCAAATGACATTGTCCTGATACATGACGCTAATTTACCCCCAGGTAAATGGGCGCTCGGACGAGTAGTCGACGCCCACCCAGGAAAGGATGGACACGTTCGCGTCATCAGCGTCAAAACAAAAAACGGTGTCCTGAAAAGACCGGTAATCAAGGTGTCACTATTGCCCGTAAGCAACAATGATAAGGCCAGCGTTGATCGCAGTCAAGGGTCGATACACGAAAATGCTGCTGCTGGGACAAAACGCACACTCAACTCATTCAGTAAAAATAACTTTGTGACGTCATGCATAAATTTTATGACAATATTACTACTTTTATTTATGTTATGTGGATCAACAACAGCACAACATTCATACGATATTAGACCATTACAAAATAATAACAGTATCTATTTGGACAAATTATCTGACATACGCATTATACAGGACAAATGGAAACTGGTGGTTTATTATAATATGGATCCTTATTGGAATGGAGCAAAATTATTAAACACATACTATCAGCATTTAGAATCATTATGCCAAAACATTGAAAGGAAATCCCACTGTGACACAATAAAGTTACAGCTACGTCACAGTTTCTCGGAACTACAGTTCTACAATATCATGTTACAAAATAAACATCCAACGCGCACGCGACGCGGTCTCATCAATGGCGTAGGTAACATTGCTAATAGCCTTTTTGGAGTGTTAGATGACAAATTCGCATCAAAATACGAAAAGGACATAAGAAATATTAGAAACAATGAAAAATATTTAGTGAATCTATGGAAAAACCAAACTTCTGTCATCGAAGCGGAAAATAATTTATTGCAACGCATCGAAAATACGATGGAAGATCAACACAAAATTTTTAAAAATCACCTCAATATTCTAGAACAAGCAACAGGAAGCTTGCAAAAGGAGATAGAAAATATTGATATAACGGATGAATTTATCTTGACAAGCATTATCGCAAACAACATCATCAGTAATCTCAAACATATACAAGATACGCTATTGGATACAATTACCAATACTCACCATTTTAATTTTCACATTTTATCTCCAGAACAACTTCGAAGAGAATTAAGTATTATTTCCGGGCAACTGTCAAAGGACTCAGCACTGCCCATTGATAACATCCTGATTGACCTACCAAAGGTGTATGAGATTCTCAAAGTAAAAGCTCGCATGACAATACAATACTTTATTTTCGAGATTGAAATTCCGTTGGTAAACAGAGACAGTTACGAATTATATAAGCTTTATTCCGTTCCTCAGCAAAAGGAAAACTCAGTCATTAATATCTCGCCGATAGCAGATTATTTGGCCATTAATTTACAAAAAGATACCTATTTACCAATATCGGAAACAGAGTTATCCAAATGCATCCAGTTTGACAAAATAACTTATTTGTGTGAATTGCAAAAACCAGTATATCATAGAGATTCAGACGAAAACTTTTGTATAAGAGACCAACAAAACAAGGCATGTATGACATTTATTAATATGTGCCGTGATACATGGACGGAGCTTATCAATGTAAACAAATTCTTAGTCACCTGTTGCGACAAATGCAACTTGAGATTCATATGTGGGAGTCGAGTTACTAACGAACGATTAAAAGGCTCGAATATAATTGCGCTCGGACATAATTGCATAATCAAGAGCGATACCTTCACTATTATCGCACATAAACAACACATGAACGAGCTAAATATAGAACCGGACATAGTTTTAGCCGAAATAGCACCTGTCAACAAAATCATTAACCTGACTATACCTGTGACTACGATAAACGAAAGCGATTACAAAGAAACTCTCAAAGTCATCGGCGAACAGGTCACACAGCTGAAATCTAGTGGAGATAGGCTAGAAGAAATGGACTACTTATCATCACATGACGTCCATCCAGTACGCCGCTATTTATACAGTAGCGGTAGTGGCAGTAGCATGTGCCGTATTCGTGTGGTGGCGTATGCGCCGCCCCCCTTCAACCAGGATCAACGAGGCCCCAGGGCAGGCCGCGTTCACAACGCGAGAGCCGCCTGGGCCTCCCGCAGCGGACGCTGGGCTTGCGCCCGGACCTTCGACAGCGAACACCGTCTTCGCGCGTCCCGCGTGCCCGACGACAGCGCCCCGAATAAAGGGGCCGTGTGAGGTCGACAATTGTGGTCAGTGCAAAGTGCAAGTGAGTGCTAGTGAAGTGCAGTGTCACAAAAGTATCAGCGAAAGTGGTAGTGCACAGGACACCAAACGTAACTCAAACGGCACTTCGCCTATTTTTAGTAAAATAAGATTTATACAGGAATGATTGTCGGTTTCAGTTTGTTTCACTCCTACTAACACTCAAATTGTTCAATCATCTTGTCTCCACTTCATTACACTAAAACCGACACTTTCATCTCATCTCGCGCCCCGGAACATGTACGGTTCAATAAACCGCACAATATAATTTATTTTACATTTTATATTTTGCAGCATTGCATTTTTACTTTGGTGTGTCGAATCTAGAACGCGACGCATCAGTCTACGTTTCAACCGCGACTCATAAACTCCATACACTATTTCATTAGTCAAATAAGTTTCGTGTGCCAATAAACGGTATCTCTGTAAAATCCATTTTCTTTTCTTGTACGTACACACATCCCGTACAAGTGGCGTTATTATTTATTATTATTTCTACAGCATTCAAAACTATTTAAAAATATGCATGTACAATAAAATGAACAACGATGTCAATCACGATACATTAAACAAATAACTTTAAGCAAGCTTTACGCGCTGCTATATCATAAAACTTACTTCTTTATGACAATAGTAGGGTCCGGCCTGATATCTTCAATGAGCAGGCTCTGCAGACTGGCCCTCATCTCGATGCTTCCATCGGAGTAATGGTCCAGTTGTACTGTAGCTTCGCCGGCCGTCAGCTTCGCCAGCCCGTGGTTCAGGTCGCGGACAGGAGAGCTCAACACTTCGTCCATGTCAGAGAACAGTTTCAACTCTACGCCGTCGAGGGTGAATCTGGAAACGGTTCGTTCTAGCAAGTGATAAGTGTTTTGGAAAACTTTTCCTTATCTGAGAAAACGCATTTAAAATTAAAAGGACCCATTATTTTCTCCGCACCACTCTTCCCGATTTTGTGCCTCTAGTATTATCGTGCATTTATGTGTAGAAAAATATCCTGAATTCATCAACAATATAAGTGGAATATATCATATGGTAGGTTCCCTATTTTAATTCGGATTTTCAGCAATTTTTATTGAATTTGTTTTGGATTTTGATACGAGAGTAATTAATAAGATATAATTTTAGATGTTTTTTGAGATGATTTGTACCAACGTACAAAATTGGGCAATAATCCAAGGTCTTCTTTACAACTACAAAATATGTTCTTATACACTATATATATCTTCATAAATCATTAACAATTAAAGCTGCTGATATAGTTTTTTCACTTGAGGATTGATTGGACATCTTTAGAGATACTACTTGGCAACCCATGGAATCTCCATGCAGTTGCCTGGTACATTACGCAGTTGAGATAGAAATGCGGAACAATTGCATTTATTATCCTCACACTCTTTAAAAAAAAATAAGTGTACCTCAAAACGGCTTCTTTCCTAATCACTTCTCCTTGTGCTAAAAATGCTTGCAACTTTTTTACCGACACATCTGTTGGAGCCATTTCTACAGGAGAACTTGGAACTATGCTTCCTGCAATAACACAGACACAAGAAAGTCAAAATGATATAAACCAGATATAAGCTTCAGGACTTTTAGTAAAATTTAATAATGATACGCACCTATATAATGCCCTTCGCTGAGATTATCACTCCACACAGCCAGCATTGTAGCCAAGTCTTTCGATCCAATGTTCATAAGAACACTATCAATAATGACATCCGCTTCCAATGCCAATATCTCACGGTTACTGCTGCCACTAGCTAGTTGTGTGTATCCAACAGCTCTTTTCATATCGCAGCGAGCTGAGACCGGTTCTAAGATTGGCTCCTGGAAATTAAAAAGCGCTTTGTACTTGTTTTCTCCTTTAAACAGCGGCGGAAAGTTAAAGGGAGTTGTTCAGCTATGTTTTTCGTTATTTATTACTGAGGGAATGATAAAGAACTAGTTGCAGGTGGAAGAGAAAAGAAAAACGCTGAAGAAACAGATTTATTGAAAGGGGGGTAGAAAAGCTGATAAGAAAGAATGGAAAAAACAGACAATGCAAGAATATAGGAGGAGTTGGAATGGATAGGAGTTTAAAGAGAAAAATTGTTTTTTTTTTTCAATATCATAAGGTGACAGACTTACTTGAACCTCAAGTGTACCAGCAAGGGTCATAACGGCACGCGACAACGTGATGTTGACAAGCTTCACCAATATGTTGTCAATGACAGGACTCTGACCGGGACTGCTGACCTCCTGACCCGCGTTCACTTGCTTGAAAAAGTTCTCTATTGTCAGGTCACCTAGAGCATATTGCATTACAATGAGATGATCAGGTCTTAAGAAAATATGCCATTGAATATGTATATACATACATATATTCACGTCTATGCTTACCCATATTTAGGACCAGTAAATTGGGAGACGAAGGTTTTTGAGGTAACAACAACACAGGTGCGTGTATCTGTAAACAAAATAGTTAAAAAATATTATGCAACCTCTTTCTCGTTATTGAATAATTCCGATGCAGTATGAGCCAATGTAAAGATATTCTTTCTTTTCCAGGCTCACGCTATTTTTTTTTTGCCAAATGAATTCATATCAAAAGTAGCGAGATATTGCTAGGCCGATAACAAACAATACAGAAATTTATGTTAAACTGGTTGAGAATTCGGGTACCTAAGTAAAAAAAATTCAATAGCTTTAATTTTAAAATCAAGAGAAATTGTTACCTCGATGACCAAGTTAAGTCTCGCAGAACAAGTCCTCAGACCTTCGGCATGTTTATGCGCAGTCCGTTCAGCGACAGCCGCGGCCTCTCCCGCCGCTGTACTCGGTATTAGAGGTTCTAGAAATTGCTGCGTCAACAGTAAAGAATTCATCAATATTCACGTACATTATTTTTCAATAACATTTTTTGTTTTAACATTTTGTGACACGATTTATAAATGTGGAATAGCTTACGTCGTGCGTGATCTCAGCTTTTTGTTTTCCATCTTTAAAAACTTCATCATAGTTATTTCAATTTGGACCGTTATTATAAATTACGAGGATTCTTTATCTTCTATTTTATATGGATGACTTATTTGTATTTTAAACTGTTAACTGCCCTACTTGTCAGTGGAAACTTTGTTGATGTACGTTATTTTCTATATTTAATTAATCTTAATGCAATAAAATATTATTTTTATCTCAAATAAATATAAAAAAAAACAGAAACGCCCAAGTTGAAGGAAAAAACAACAGATACTGATAGAATTATAATAAATAAATTATGTACATATACGTTTTGGTAAAGAAGTCTTAGTAGTAAAGTTGTCCAACTCTTTAGTTGGATTCAGATTAACTGGATAAGTTTTAAGTTTATTAATTTATGGTAAAAAAATAATAATTACGAAATAAAATAAAAATACTTACCTGGAGATGGTGCAGAATACAGTAAAACAGGACTACATGCAGCCTGCCCACGTATATGCGCAACTCCCCGTGCGCCTTGAGTTGTTTCTCATCGCCGTAATATCTCGGAGCTGCGCGTACGTACTTGATCTCTAGCACCTTGTCCTCGTCCGGCCATACGAGCTACACAGCAATAGAATAATTTAAGATGAATATAGCTTAGAAAGAGGAGCTCGATAGCGCAGGTGGTTAGCACGTTCGACTGCGATCGTTGAAGTTAAGCAACTTTCGCAATGGTCGATCATTGGATGGGTGGCCAAAACTCTTCTATCTTGAGTTTCTCTGTACTTCGGAAGGCACGTTAAGCCGTTGGTCCCGGTTGCATCTGCAGTCGTTAGCACTCGCCAATCCGCACTGGGCCCGCGTGGCGGGTCATGGCCCAATCTCCCTATTCCATCCATTGGGAAGGCCTGTGTCCCCGCAGGGGAGACATTAATAGGCTGATGATGATGATTTTGTAGCCTAAATCTTTTATTTACAGATTTGAAACCCCTACAATACAAAGTTTGGGCTAAGTTCATTAAATTGACATCCAGGACAAAAATGTGATTATTTTAATTTTAATGATAGTTTCTTTCTCGTTATTAAATTTCTCATTAAGTGAGAACGTAAAAAAGTAACCAAATTTTCTAAATTTTAAGAGATTAATACATTATAATCTAAACAAAAATTTACTAGATTTCTTTTAATTAATTTAGCAGTAATGTTTGAAATAACTACATAGTGGTGTCAATTCTGGCATGATTCTCTAAAACTAAACTTTAATTTGACAACAGGGTCATGTCATTTTTTACTTGTCATTTTCAATACAGAATTAAAAGGAGAGACTAATATTAAATTTAGGATTAAGTTTAGAGAATCATGTCATAATTGACACCACTAAATGGATATTCTACTATAAATATCTTATTTAGTTGTTGCTCGATCCCGTTGTGTACAAACCTTTGGATATAAAGTGGCGTCAGACATATCGTCCAGGTGCAGAGAACTGAGATATAGTCGGAAAATGCAGCGGTCATTGGCTCTAAACACGCAGTCACTCTCCAATCCCGATAGTCGCATTTCCAAAAGAGCGCAGTCTAAGTGACACAACTTAAGAGATATCGAAGATGCCCTGAAAAATGAATAAAGATCGATTTAAGTAATGCCTTCGACAAAACGGTACAAGACACATAAACCAAGGTAAAAGCAGTAATATTAAAGAAATCATAAGTACCTGACCGAATAACTGAATTTGGTAGCCCCAGAAGGCACTGGTGGATCTAATTCGGGCTTCATTAGGTAGTTCCACAGGGAGTTTGTTTTGGGCACCACTATCTTCTTTACGTTCAAAGAGTGGCGATTTTGAATTCTGTAAAAATATTTTGAAGTGAGATAAATTTATAAAAGACAGAGACTCAACCATCCAATTCTATTGATCCCGAAACTCCTTATTCCAGTTATTTTTTTTTACGCTGAACATTTAGGTGCACCAATCCCTCAAAAATAAAACTTTTGTGACTAAGCTCTTTAAAAAATATTTTAATTTTACGGTAGTTTCAATTCTTACTTGTCGCTCACGTACTGCAGATACTTGATGAGTGTGTTCAGTGCAAGCGCATGTAGTAGAAACGAAACAGGTCCAGTGTCCAGCACTAGAGACTGTTCCACACTGTGGAAGTGGGAACGGAACTCGGGACAGTCCGCTCGAACCTAAAGACATGGAGAATGGAACTATTAAAAGAAATGCTTAAATGCTTTCAACTCAGTAAAATATGAAATTACGAACTCAGAGATGAGCAAATTTATTGCAGCAGGAGAATATAAAAAAATAAGTTTGCTATAAAACATTTGTGAACAACAATTTGTGATCCTTCGAGCCGGACAAGTAGATAACTGGGTTCGATATACCGGGTGAAAGAGGAACGCTCCCGATACTGGATATGATACCACTAAATTTTTTTTTAGATAATTTATTTTTCCTCAATTTTGTTTAGCTTTATTTATATCACAATGTTGTAAGATTAATTTACTACAACAGCTTCATAAAAAAATGTATTTTTTATCATTTTTCTAACAACAAGCAATGTAATTAATATTCAATAAACCAGCTGGACATGCCGTTGACCCGAGCGATGCAGTCGGTACGTCTCGCTAGCCAGTGCGCACACATCATTCATCCGTATTCTTACTTTGCTTCTCGACTCAACATAATGTTGATGACTGAGCTATGAGTGACTACCTTGGCCATTATCGTTACCTTTTGACGCTTCATATCTCTATTTTATGGTCTTTAAATATTTTCTCCTATCCTACTTCAGTACATCTTTTAACTAACAAAGAAGATTGAAACAAACATAAGCATCAGCTTGTTATCCTCTCTCGCCTTCGGATAGACCACTTTCTTATCACAGGACAACTTTGAGTTTTTAGCAAGAACAACAAAATAAACTTAATAGGGTATTTGACAGTATTAAAAGTAAAGTGCCAATTGTTAGCACCTGTATTTAGAATGAATATTGGCAGGAGTTTTTACTATTTTTACAGAAAAAATATTCATAATTTTACTAAAAACCCGCGATAAAGATAATAGTTTTCTTGTCTATTGTCACGTGACCCAAAACGCTTTGGATTGGTGGAGCCTAAAAGACGTCACACGCAAGTAAGCTTCCGGTTAAAGTGACATTAGATTGTATGGTTTGACGTTTTAATGACAGTTGTGTGACGTCACACACCAGTGAGACGCCATATTGTCCAGAGATACGTTTCTCGCGGCAACTTGAAAATAGAGTTTTTGATTTAGTTATTTACCGAAATACACAACATAATGATGAATATCCACTTTTTATGAACTCTATAAACATTAGTAAATAACGTGAGATCGTTTTCTGAAACTTGTCAAATACCCTATTATCAGCTGTGTTTCTCACCTTCCGGTAGAGTAGATTGTACAGCTCCCCGGAGCTAGTGAGTAGAGAGTAGCTCGAGTTACTGATGCTGTGGTGCTGTTTGTCCGATGGACAGCTTTATAGCGAGGCCGTACAGCATCAGGGCCACTTCCAAGTATACCTTGCTTAACGTAACGTACCTGGGGCTGTTTAGCCGTAAACTTTGATAACTAGTTTGCATAGAACTGTGGTTCGTATGTGTAAAACCGGAAATAATCAAAAAAGTGTCGTGGCGCGATCGGATACTGTAAGTGTTGTGTGTCGAGAACAGTTTCGAGTGAATAGTGAGAATGTGAACAGTGGTACGGGTATCGAACGCAATAAGAGACTTCGTCGGAGGATAGACCGATATGTCTGCCAATAACAGCCTACCCGCAATTACTTCAGTTACTCCGTGATCATGGCGCTTGCAACAGTGCCGAAATATCGGAAACTCGCTAAAAACAAGATACATGGTAACAATCCCGTAAATAACTTATATTACAATAATGTTAGTGACCATGAAAGTTTAAAACAATATAAAGTGTTTATATATCTATGTATTCTTACCTTGATTACGCTAAATATCTTCGTAAAGAAATGAAATCAAACTTTATTCCAATTGATTTTGAGCTCATTTGAATCTTCCTTAAAATTATTTCTTCTTGTTATTCCGGACAAGTTTTAGCTGACAAATAAGAACAAATCATTAGATAGTTAACCTCACCTTCCGATAGAGTAGATTGAATAGCTCCCCGGAGCTGGTCAGCAACTCGAGGTATTGTCCGTTGATGCTGTGGTGCTGTTTGTCCGTAAGGAGTGCCTGCGCGATGGACAGCTGGACGGCAGGCCCGTACTGCATCAGGGCCACGTCCAGGCAGACCTTGCTGATGATCAGCATTATGTACGGCCGGTCCACTTGCTCCGTAGACCGTGATACGTTGATCACCACCTCACCTGGCAAACAATATTGATGTGAAATCAGTAAGATAACGTTGATCATCGTGTGAAACATCTATTAGTACAGGCTTTCGAATGGTTAGTAGCAAATACCTACTAGCTCGAATAGTGAGCTTTTATGCATTGCAATTTGGTCCGTATTTGTGAAAGTTTTTAACCGACTTCAACAAAGGAGGAGGTTCTGTGTTCGACTGTATATATTTTTTTTTGTTGATCTAAATACACTCAAAGCTTCTTTGTGTCTAAAGACCAGTTAAGTGTCCCGGCACACGGGCCACACGCCACAGCCACAAACGCCGACACGAGAAGCTAGAAGCGGCTACTAAAGTGGCTGAAGAGCGGGACAGCGCCCGACTAAGGTAAGGGAGAGAGCGGTGGGGAATCGCGCGAGTGACGTGTGGCGGCGTTTTGTATCGGCGCATTAAGTGGCCGGTGCGGGCCACAAGAAGCGAGCAACGACGATTTGTAGCGTGTGGCGGCCACCGGCGTACCGTGTGTGGCGAGTCCATATAAAATGTATGAAAACTACAAGAAATATGCCGGTGGTTGTGCTCGGTGGCCCGTGTGCGGCGACACTAAGATTTCATTTCTATCCCAATCGGCTGCAGCATATTTTTAAATTTATTTCTAATTTTCATAACATTGTTTTCTTTTTGATGTTTCACATCTCATCTGCCTGTGGGCTTCTCGCAATAGGTTTCTTTTTTCACTTATTCACAAAACTAAACAACTTTGTTAGGTTTCACACGGTACCTACTCGAATCAATATTATTTCGCTTTGATTCAGACGAGTGCTCCAGAAATTGAGTTACCAGGACCCCGACAGATATATTGAATTTCCTCGAGACTTAGGTCGCGTAGAAGGTATGAGGTAAAGATTGATGAAAATTACTAATGTAAGATGTTACGGAGGCAAATTGAATGAATCTTTGCGTATTGCGTACCTTAACGAAATAAAACCTTTATGCAGGTACTAGCGGCCCGCCCTCGCATCGCTTCGGTGTAGAGCTGAAGTGTAGACTACAGTTTTTGTTCTCAGGCTTGTATTATACACAATGACATGCATCTATGGTTCTTCTTATACCTGCATGCAAAGTCTCAGCCCGATTGGTTTAAAATTGACAAAGTTTCATACAAACTTTCATTCCCTATTTAATACCCTGGGGGGTAGAATTGATCAAAAACCTTTCTTAGCGGATGCCTACGTGGTTTGGGCTGTGCGTTGATAGATCACTATGTCAGTCACCTTTGAGTTTTATATATATAGATGACTATTATCTTTTCATTGGGTTGGAATATTATCTCCTGTTGGGCGTATTTTTCCATCATCACATTATTAAGTACTATTTACTTACCAATAATAAACTTCAGCAGCATGTTGATATTGTTGCTCGGCGACACGTTGTCTTCGAACCCAGATAGGTTGACTGATCGCGCGTACACTTCCACGAATGTCTGCGTTTATGATTGCCCACTTCTTCTTCAACCTTTTTCTATCCAATTCTGAGTATAGGTTAACTCCATGCTGCGCCTATTTTCTCGGTGATATGCTATTTGAAACCAGTTTCTTCCTGCTACTTTGGTGATTTCGTCGGACTATGTGGCGGGCTGTCTGCCTATGTTTCTGCGTCCTGTTCTAGGTCGCCACTCCACAATAGCTCGACTCTACCTGTAGTCTGTTCTGCGAGTCACGTGACCTCATTCACTTCGTCCCTGCACGGTGCATGGTGGAATTATCCGTACTTACCGACAATATACCTCAGCAGCATGTTGATGTTGTTCCTCGGCGACACGTTATTTACACGAACCCGGGCAGGTCAACGGATCGTTCATAAACCTCCATATCCTTATCAGTAGGACATTATTATAACCCACTTCTTCTTCAACCACTGCTGGGTAGGTCTCCTCCATGCTGCGCCAAATTAATGCACAGAGGCACATCACCGAGAATGTGCCATCCAAGACCAGTAACTTGCTGTGAATTTGGTGACGCCATCAAGTCATCTGGCAGGCTGCCTGCCTACGTTTTGACGTCCTCCACAATAGCTCAACTCCAGTCGTGTTACGTGTTCCACCCACTTCAACTTCAGCAGAGCAATCCTTCGAGCGATATTGGTTACTCTGGTTCTCTTACGGGAAATACCAAGCATCGCTCTCTCTATTGCTCGCTGTGTGACCTTGAGGTTTCTTATGATTCTTCTTCTTATTATTACTACTTACCGATTATAAACCTCAGCAGCATGTTGATGTTGTTGCTCGGCGAAACGTTGTCGTCGAACCCGGGTAGGTCCACGGATCGGGCGTACACTTCCATATCTTCGTCGCTGTGCTCTGAGGACACGAATGCCTGCGTACTCTCTTGGAAGCCTAGGCGAGCGCCTGCTTTGTCGTACGTCGACTCGGCCGCCCTTTGGAAATTGAAATTATTATAGTCTACTATTCGCCGAACTTTTTATATTATTCACCGTTGATTAAGCGATTCTGATGACTGTTCTATCTAGTCATAACAATTTAGAAACGCAAGGGAACGCAGCAATCATAACAAACACTACTTTATTTTGTAAATAAATAAATATTTCCAACATAATAAATTATCATAATTTAAAATGTACTTTTAACATATTTTCCTGGACAATACCTTCTTAACGTCAAAACACTAGTTTAAATTGTATACTATGTATAATTTAAAAGATACTTGTGACATTATTGCCCGCACAGTGATGTCGATTCTGGCACGATTCTCTAAAGCTAAACTTAAATTTGACAACAGTGCATCCCTGTCATTCTCTATACAGAATGAAAAGGAGAGACTGGTGTTAAATTTAGTTTTAAGTTTAGAGAATCACGCCAGAATCGACACCAGTATCTTAAAAACTGACTTCAGATACTTTTAAAACGAGTGGGATAAGTTGTTGTAAATTTTGCGAGTGTAAATAAGAGTGAAAACAGCCGGGCCGGATTTAGGATTGTGGAGGCCCTGGGCCACTTAGGATTCGTATTCTTGTTAACCCATCGAAATGTTGTTATTTCTTAAGCTGTTGTGGAGGCCCCTGGGCCACAGCCCCACCTGCCCTGCCTTAAATTCGGCCCTGAGGGCAAGTACCACCCCACTCAGCCATTAAGCGATTGGGGTACTTCCTCAAGATGAGTAGTGAATTGGAAGTGCTTATCAGGGCCATTTGATTTTGATATTTCACTGATTGCCTGATTGGAGTGAACAAATATAGATCAATGATTTCTGTTATTTAAGATTAATTTAATCAAATAATCATGTATGTTAGATGTACAAAGTACTGTAGGTAAAGGTAAAAGAGCAAAAAAAAATACCAAAGGAAAAGATGTTTACTAGAGTTTACTAGTTGGAATTTGAAAGATTTTTTTCCCCAAGTCTCTATTGTGGGGGCCCCCCGTTTGTGAAGGCCCCGGGGCTTTCGCCCCGGTTGCCCTCCCCTAAATGCGGCAGTGGAAAACAGGTTTATAACCCGGCTTATGGTAAGCAGCTGCTATATCATATAGCCGCTTGCGATACCAGTCTAGCATTTGCGCCGTTGCCTACCCTGACTTCATTTCTACATGTTACCATACATATTTTTCAAGCATGTATTCAAGTTTTGATGTCATCTTTCAATTGACGACGCCGTATGAAATAAAACATGGAGAAAAAATAGTCCTTGCTGAGTTTCTTGTCAGTTCTTCTCAGTAAAGGTCTCCTGCCCTAGATTACAAACAAACCAATAGCATAGAGTTGACATTAGCTAGAGCTTGTAACAGCCAAGGATGAATAAATTATTTTGAAATTAACCCTGATTCCATGTTCCATAGACTAAACCAGAGTTCCTCAAACTTTTTTGTGTCGTAAACCCCTTGCCATGATTTTCCGTGTTAGGTAGACCCCCTACTTACCTGATATTGATTTTTTTTCGCTGACGTAGACCCCATGCAGGTTGTCATAGACCCCTAGGGGTCGATACAGACCACTTTGGGAATCACTGGACTAAACGAAAGCTAACTAAACCAAAGCCTCACCTATGCCGACTCAAGTATGCGTTGACGATCTTCTGCCTTAGATTCACCAGCTCCTTATACCCCGGGTCTGCGTTCACCGTGTCCATTTGGAACAGCTCCATCAGCTCAGGATCCTCCACGTCTTCAACGTAGTCTCCCGAGTCCATAAATGACACTGGGACCGTGTTGGGTACAGGTATAGGCAAATTGTCGCAGAAGTCTAGGAGAAGGCTTATGATACGATCCGAGAGGTTCAGCTTCAAGCTCGATAGGGATATATTCAATTTGTATCTGGAAATGTAACAAAAAGATTAGTGAAAATATTTATTTTTTAAGCATGTAACTGCTTGATGTTTAAATCTAAGGAAAATATAACTAGAAAAAATTTCACGCGGACCAGGCAGCAGATGGGACTCGATTTTTCTCTAGTTATATTTTCCTTAGATTTTATATATTTTAGAGCGCTGCATTGCAGCTTAAGAATGGCTAGAAGAATTTGGACGCGGCCATCAGGGCCGCGGTAGCACAATTGATCAGTGCATTCGCCCGGATAGCGGGTTCGAGTCCCGTCTGCTGCCTGGTCCGCGTGAAATTTTTTCCAGTCATATTTTGCTTAGATAAAGATTAGTGTCCTGTGTAGACATGCTTAATAATAGGCACTCACTAAATTCTACCTGTTAAATCCAAAATTCAAATACTTTTTGGTGATAAAAATTTGAAGTTATAGGTATCTCTATATGGTCAATATCTTTCATTTTGTTCATGTTAAGACGAATAGATAGACACTTGAGCTGTGAACGAAATTGAGAAATGTAATCATATTTGCGCAGGCCAAATATGCATCGAAACATCAGGATATTCTTACATTGAAAACATGAGATATGACTGACGTTTTGTTACAGTCTTACCTTGGCAATAATTTATAGTCTTTCTTTATGCTGTTAGAGAAGACCACTTGTGCTTTGATCTTCGGAATCAGGTGTAGTTCCGAATCAGCATGCTTGCGTTGTTCCCGCCAAGGCTCGTCCCACTCGCTAAACAAAACCTGAGGGGAAAAGAAGTCGTCATCAAATGAATTAGGATAGCATCAAATGCCTAAAAATCGAGTCATACTTGAGTTGTGTAAAGAAAATTACTTTATTGGCTCAAACTCTCGAGAATTGGTGCTTATGCCATCTCGGATCCAAGCCCCTCTTGAGGTACGACTAATATTTCAAATATCTCTTATCTATTAGACAAGTCCGTCCGTCCGTCTGTCTGTGGTGCTGTTTCAGCGGCCAAACCGTAAGAGATAGATAAAGAGAATATTTAAGTTACAAGTTAAGAATAGTCTGATAAGACTACAAACCGGATTTGAGTAACGTAGCACTTCCGGTTTTCGAGAAATCACGAATTTCAAACGAAACCACACAAAATCTCCGAAGTTCTCAACTAATTAAATACATTTTTTTTTAAATCAGGTTTTGGTGAACATTTGGTTCACTGGTTTGCTAGTTTTAATTATTAGGTAGATTGTCTTAAACCAGTTTCAAAAATCAATCTCCAGTTAAAGGTCAGAATGATCTGTTTTAGTTTCTTAGCAACAATACGTATAATAATCTAAATAAATAAAAATATCTAAGCTACAAAGCTCTAAAGGCCTTATAGCTATTAACGGGATTGTTACCATGTACCTTGTTTTTTATGAGTCTCCGATATTACGGCACTGTTGTGTGTACTCCGTGATCATGGCGCTTGCAACAGTGCCGAAATATCGGAGACTCATAAAATATCTAAGCTACAAAGCTCTAAAGGCCTTATAGCTATTAACGGGATTGTTACCATGTACCTTGTTTTTTATGAGTCTCCGGTATTACGGCACTGTTGTGTGTACTCCGTGATCATAGCGCTTGCTAGTGCCGAAATATCGGAGACTCATAAAAAACATGGTACATGGTAACAATCCCGTTAATAGCTATAATGTTAGTGACCATGAGAGTTTAAAACAATATATCTAAAGGCCTATCTCTTACTGGAGTTTGATTATTGAAACTCGCCGATAAAACAACTTTTAAGATTTCAGCTGCATACTAAGCATTATATGAGGATAATACCTGGGAAGGAATATGGAAATAGCTAAACAGACCCACCTGCAGATTACATTCAGCGTGCAATCTGTCATACAAGCGCTCTTCAAGCTCCATACAAGTGGCATCCTCAAGCATCAGGTTGGATGGCTGCAAGTCCGACTTTATTATGATGCGGCTTATGTCAAGCACTACCACACGCCCGGATCTGAAAGAAAACTTCCGTGGAACAAAATTTCTTTTATAGGACACATTTTCAACAACAGGCTCAATCCTTTAAAATCCACCTCCCATCATCATCATCATCATCATCAGCCTATTAATGTCCCCACTGCTGGGGCACAGGCCTTCCCTATGGATGGAATAGGGAGATTGGGCCATGACCCACCACGCGGGCCCAGTGCGGATTGGTGGGTGCTAACGACTGCAAATGCAGCCGGGACCAACGGCTTAACGTACCTTCCGAAGCACGGAGGAGCTCGAGATAGTAAATTTTTGGTCACCCATCCAATGACCGACCACTGCGAAAGTTGCTTAACTTCAACGATCGCAGCCGAACGCGCTAGCCACCTGCGCCATCGATCTCCTCCCATATATAGGGTGAAATTGAATGTTTTAATGAAACTTCGTCAGATTGTTGGGTTACGTGAAAAGAGTATGCCTGATTTTTTTCGGATTTTTTTGAAGTATTTTTTTTCATGTTTTTATTTATAATTTGTGTATTTTTATGTCATTTTCTCCTTTTGAGTAGTTATTCATTTTAAACAAACAAACTTACATATCCAGTGAAAAATAACTAATAAATAAGTACTTCAAAAAAATGGAAAAACATTAAAATTCCACGGCGGGTCAACGACCGACCGCGCCCGCCAGCCGTTGAGTGAGTACGTACCTCTACACAGAGTTCAGTTGACTCCTTTGATTCCACACAATACAATAAAGTCGTCTTAGATGCCTTTATTGAAATAATAAGCACAAATGTCATCTTCTCTTAAGCGGAGAAAAACTTTAAAAGTTAATAATAATTTTGTCACGATTAGAAATAGGCAAATGTTAAACAAAAAGAAATACTTATTGCAGTTCAATACTTGGCTGAAATTTATAACCCGGTATTTAAAAGTACTTACGAGACCGATGTACCTATTCATTTTTTTCACTTAAACTTCCCGTATACACTTTGTAAACACAATCAATCATCAAACCTACTTTCGTAAAGCCTTGTGGCTCTGCTGAGTATACCGTGACACTACAATAACAACACACCATATCCAACTTCTTATATTGAGGCCACAGAACAAGAACTAATCATGGCATTATTTGCAAATCTTCTCTTGTCCCAAAATTAAAAGATACGCACGCGCGGTGGATAAACTTGACACTGCGCTCGCTCACTGCGCTTTGCACCGCGCATAGGTAGGTATTCAACCGATTCAACGGCGGGAGCGGTCATTGCTCCCGACCGCTCGTCTTCTGTTTTTACGTTTTTTTAGTAGTGCTAATTAGTTGTTTTTTACTTACTCTGTATGAGTGTTTAAAAAGAATAATTATTTAGTACCCAAAAGGAGATTAAAATATAACAAAAAAAAAACGAAATTTTATTTTAAATCATTTTTAAAAAATCCGAAAAAATTCAGAGATACTCTATATACGTAACCCAATAATCCCACGAAGTTTCATTGAAACATTCAATTTCACCCTGTATTTGCTAAATCCATAAATAATAGTCATCCTATATCTTCAGTCTGCGATCGGGGAAATTAAGCAAATTTTGCAAAAGCATGTCATTGCTTGGGTGATCAAAAATTTACTATCTCTCACTTCTTCGTTCTTCCAAATGCATTTAAGTGCCGACTGCATCTGCTCACCCATCAATATGCATTGGGTGCACCCACTATACTAGGCTAGTGATGACATCAAAACCTAAAATAGTCTCAAACACACTTCGTCATACCGTCAATAAATAAGCTTGGGCCCATTTATAGACATTGAGAATGAATTAAGCGCTCCCTGCCTTCTATGTAATGATAAGAAAACGACGAAGCGATCGGCCCATAATTCATGGCCAAATATAATGGCTGTTTGTCGCTCCTTCTGGAGAACTGTCAGGCTAGACCATCGCTATCTCTCTTTTCGGAGGAGTTCAATCCAATAGGGTATTTGACAGTATTAAAAATAAAGTGCCAATTGTTAGCATCTGTGTTTAGAATGAATATGGCAGGGGTTTTTACTATTTTTACAACAAAAATATTCATAATTTTACTAAAAACCCACGAAAAAGATAATAGTTTTCTTATCTATTGTCACGTGACCCAAAACACTTGGGATTGACGGAGCCTAAAATGACGTCACTCAAGTAAACTTCCGGTTAAAGTCACATTACATTGTATCGTTTGACGTTTTAATATCAGTCGTGTGACGTCACACACTAGTAAGACGCCATATTGTCCAGTAAAACGTTTTCGCGGCAACTTGAAAATGGAGTTTTTGATTTGGTTATTTTTACTGAAATACGCAACAGAATGATGAATATCTACATTTTACGGACTCCATAAACATTAGTCAATAACGTGAGATCGTTTTCTAAAACTTGTTAAATACCCTATTTCGACCTTATTAGACGACGGTACCAGTTAATGTGCCTGTGATTGGTCATCGACGGCCAACTCTAAACAAATTAGTAGTATTTACGGGACTAATGTGAATAATATTTTCTCTATTTTACAAGTTTTTATTTAACTTGCTATGTATGTTTGTTACGGTCAAATCTTACAACTCAATTTTAAAGCACTTGCCCTCAACCGATTAAGCTGAAATTTGGTATGCTCGTTCAGTTCGGATGACAATGCATGCTTAACAGTGTGACGTCATTCTAAATCCAATATGGCGGCATACCCAAAATGGCGGACCAATCATTTTTAATGCATTCCTACAATATGGGTATCAAATTAAAGGGTTTGCTGAGAGTAACTCGAAAAAAATGTGACGTCACTCTCAATCCAATATGGCGGACTTCTAAAATTTGAAAATCTATTTAGAAACAAACTTTAACTAAATTTTCTTTTTTTTCCTTTTTAGCGCATTTGAATAAAAGCTTGTTTTTAAAAAGGTTTTTGTACCTTAATTTTATTGTTTTTCACCTCCTTATTTTCTTGTATACCTTCTTTTATATTTACTATCCTTCTATGCTTTCTCTTTCCGACTTCTGTCCGCGCCCCTGGCTGTATCAAATAGCAGCCTCGAACATGGACAGTATATTGTTAAACATGTTGAAATTTGAATAATAAGAATAAGTTAGTCAAGGGACAAATTGTAAAATAACTGAATAAAAATGATATGAAAAAAAAATCATTTAATGGCCTACTCCTCAGTTGTGCACGCATCCGTATTCAGGAAGGACGATACAAGGCATTTAAATCAGTGTTGCCACCTTGGATTTTTTTAAGGGGCCAAGTCAAAGGTAAATAATCGCCAGATTTCAAAAATTTGGATTTAATAAAATACACCAAAATCCGCTAAATTACAATTACATCTCTGATAACAAAAAACCCTAATTTAAATAAAAAATCAGTGAATATGTATGAGATGCTACAGAAATAACTGTGAGTAACCACATAGAACATTATGAAATTTCGGAAAGCTAGGGCATTTCCCCCTTAAAAATATGTTGCTAGATTTCATGTTAAAAAACCACTAAAAATTTACCCGCTAGATGATGAAAATATACCACTAGAAGCCGTGAAAAAGCACCAGTTCTGGTGGAAAAACCACCAAGGTGGCAACACTGATTTTAATGTCCACGTTTATTTCACCACGGTAGCTGACGGCGTATGCAATCACCTCCTCAAACAACTCTAGCGGACGTCGATCGAGAAGTCCTATCAGCTTTATTATCGGATAAAGAACTTAGAATTACTCTTATAAATTTTATTTTTTAAGCATGTAACTGTTTGATGTTTAAAACTAAAGAACTTATAACTAGAAAAAAATCCACGCGGACCAGGCAGTAGACAGTGGTGGTTACCTACAATGCGAAGAGATGGCGCTGCCTTGCAGCTTAAGAATGACTACAATAATTTCGACGCGGCCATCAGGGCCTCGGTAACATAATTGGTCAGTGCATTCGCGAAGGGTGCGGGTTCGAGTCCCGTCTGCTGCCTGGTCCGCGTGGATTTTTTTCTAGTTATATTTTCTTTAGAATTACTCTTCAATTATGCATGCATCCGTAATCAGGTAGCACGCTACAAGGCCCTTTAATGTCCACGTTGACTTGGGACAACTTCCAGCGGCTGACATCGAGTGGGTTTAGGAGAAGTTTACTAGCTCCATTTTTGAGTAAAGAACTAACTACTCACCTATGTACACATCCACATTCAGGCAGGACGATGTAAGGCCCCTTGAAGTCCACATTGACTTGGAACAGTTTCCGTCGACTGATGGCGTACGCGAGTTTATCAGCTCCTTTATTGAATAAAGAACTATATAAAAACTATTCCTCACTTGTGTACACATCCATATTCAGGCAGGACGATGCAAGGCCCCTTGATGTCCACGTTAACTTGGAACAGTTTCCGACGACTGACGGCGTACGCGAGTTTATCAGCTCCTTTACTGAATAAAGAACTATATAAAAACTACTCCTCACTTGTGCACGCATCCATATTCAGGCAGGACGATGCAAGGCCCCTTGATGTCCACGTTAACTTGGAACAGTTTCCGACGACTGACGGCGTACGCGAGTTTATCGGCTCCCTTATTGAATAAAGAACTATATAAAAACTATTCCTCACTTGTGCACACATCCATATTCAGGCAGGACGATACAAGGCCCTTTGATATCAACGTTGACTTGGAACAGTTTCCGTCGACTGACGGCATACGCGAGCACCGCGCGGCTAACCCGCGCCGCGCCCGCCGCGGCTGCGTGGAACTCTTCAGACAACTCCTCGGCCGACATCGAGTGGGTTTGGAAGAAGTTTATCAGCTCCGTGAACGCGTGCTGGTGGGACGAGAAAGATCGTAGTCGAAGATGTTTACAAAGCCGTGCCATTATTTTTATTTATTTATTTAATGGATAGGTCCGACAAATTACTCCAGAGGGGGGTGGTGACCTGATGTTAAGTTATTGTGAAGTCCAGACATGAAGATAGCTGGTACAGCAGTTCTACCTGCCACACCAGCCATCCTAACCTTGCCTGCCTGCATGATGCTTCCTCACGCCTCTTTTAAAGGATCCCAGGTTGTAAGAAGGAGGGAACACGCGAGCAGGCAGCGTTTGTCGCAATTCAGTGAGTTAGTGTTGTCGTAAGGTGGACGGGACTTTCTCAGACGTGCATTCTATAGAGGTCCATTCCCCAAACGGTCATACGAATTCCGCTATGCGCAATGCACCGCCTCTCTTATATCTAATCATAATTTTCCTCTATGAAAAGTACATTTTTCCTACCACTTGCTTAGGATTTCTTTAGCTTTGATTAGACTTCAGACCCCACTAACGGCATATGTGTGCCAATTACTAATAATATTCCTATCTTTAATTTGTATTTCCCCATAATGTTACACAAAATGCTTTGTTGTTTCTTTCTTATCCTCAATATAGTATATACTATACTATATATACCTTGAAACTCTTCAACAGGCCTTAAATGTATGTGATTATTTAAGCATCATCACTTGACACCCATAAATAATATATAGTATTATTTTCTGCTACTTTCGTTCACAGCTTAACTAAACTTAGCAATTTTTAACGAAAAACAGAAAAACATTATCCCAACCTCGATATACAGTATCTCCACCGGCTCCATCAACACACAGAGTCCATAATCGGCTTCCACAGTGCTACAAGGATTCCTCTCGAAGTCTACAGCTAAGATATTATTGGCTCCTGTCGGTGCTTGGCCACGTTCCGCGCTTAGAAGAGGTACCAACTCGCCATCAGATGTGGCACCTTCTATAACTATGCTTTCTGCTCTAGCTGATAACTGGGGAAATACATAAAGATTTATATATAAACGCTCATCATCAATCACGTAAAACATATCATCCTTTACTAGCTTACCTTATACGCTTTCGCCGAGGGTCTCGTTTCCAACGAAGCCAGAAACTGCGTCAGGGTAACAACCAGTACTTCTTTACTGCGGTTCATCAGTGTTAAGGAACAGTTGGCTAACGTCAGATTTAGTTTATGCTCTGTAACGAAAACGTAAGGATTTCTCTTACTCATTCCAACATAACTCTAAAACTTGCAATGCTTTCAATATTTTTATCTTATTCAATTCCATAACTATAAGACTTACCAATATATTGCTTGGACTTGTCTGGTCTTTTCTCTCCCTCCACAAAACCGATTAGCTCACAAACTTTCTTCTTCTCTGGGCTGGAGAGATGACTCCAAAGACTCTTGGAGCGCTCACTTTTGACGCACAGCTCAACATGGGTCTTCTCTTCAGCATCACTTTCGGAATCCGAACTAGTGGGCTTCCACCAATCAAATTCACTCTCAACTACTTCAATCCTGTCGGGTTCTTGTGACAGAAGCTGAAAGACAAAGGTTCTTGTTCATTTGTTTTCATGTCACCAATAAATAAAAGAATTTATTAGAACTCGAAGTTTTAACGAAACAAGAGCACATTCCTTCCTTAACATCCGGCATCGCATCTGTGATACTCCTGGTGTTGCAGGTGTCTAAGGTTGACGGTGATCACTTAACATTAGGTGAGCCGTCAGCTCGTATCCCCTCTATAGTATAAAGAATTATATAAAAGTACTAAGGGATTAGGGAAAATATTAAAGCTTACTTCAAATTTAGCCTGTTCTCTAGCAATGACGACGGATATTATAGGCAAGTTGTCTTCGCACTTCTGCAAATCCAGCTTCAACTCGGTATCATTGGGACTCCTCAGGGTGCTCTTGTAGACCTTCTTGTAGACATTATAGTTTTCTCTGTGCTTCTTCACCGCCGCCCAAGTATAAGGCCTAACTCTCTGCTCAACGACTACATTGTAAGCGTAACGCCACCACTTCTTCACGTCCTTCGAAAGTGGAACGCCCGGATGGAGATGCCGATATTTTCTGAAAACACCAGCTAAATTACATTTTGAATTTAAGAAATGAGAAACAACGAAAATAGCCTGATCTGTTTATTGGCGTCTACGATGGAGTGCTCGCCTTTCAGACCTCGCTAACATGGTTTATTTAAGGCTTATTCAAGGTGATCATTTATCACCAACAATGGTACTTAAATGATAACCAAAAAATTCAACTCCTAACTTAACGTAACCTTTTGTATTTTTTTAATAAACATGAAATATTTTCCTTTATTGGTAAATCTTCGGTCTTTGGTCGTTGTCGGAAATTTATGCAGTGTGTGAAATATTGTCACCCGTAAAATATTATTCGGTTTTTAGGGATGCAGGCAGGATATAGTAAATAAATAAATAACAAATAAATATTTCCAACACTCACACCAATTAGCCTAGCCCCAAAAGTAAGCACGCCTTACAGCTTATGTTATGGGATACTAGGGTAACGGATAGAATACATATATTGTACATATATAAGTATATTTATATAGAAATACATATTAAACATCCATGACCGGAGTACAAATGCTCGTATTCATCACACAACCATCTGCCCCCACCGGGATTCGAACCCGGGACCTCTCAAGTCGGTGACACCATGAAACCCGTTATAAACCACTCGGCCACGGAGGTCGTCAAAGAAAGAATTTCCTCTAGGAATCCTCGATTTTTAAGGAGTCTTACCTATTCAATTTGATCCTAGCAAACGATGCCAGGAGGTTATCTATCGACAAGTATTGCCTCCTGGAGAGCTGCAGAGCACTGTCTTGAAGCACGGCGTCCAGCAGTAGCCGAGGCACCCGAGCTTCGCCAGACCGGTTGATGATGACCTTCACTTTGGAAGTTACTGGTTTCAGCACTGTAAACAATAAATTATACCTTTAATTTGGAAGTAAATGATTATAGCACTGCAACAAGTGATCGTTCTGGCGTTACAATGTTTAATATTGTCGCGTTAGTTTTGTCTGTAAAATTACAGAGTGCATTCGTATTATGAAAGCACTTTAGTTATGAGTCACGGGTAAACGAATTCTAAGGACTTGGTGTCACAGGTAATTTTATGTAAATATCTATCAACTGTAGCAGAAAACTTACGGAATTCAAAATCCTCATGATGCATGGAGAACTTGTCCAGACCAGTCAGCATATAATGCTTCCAGTTATAATACTGTATGGGTGTGATGTGGGCTGTCTCGTTGTCATCCAAAGCAGTAGCCGTTGGATTCCAATAAAAGGACAATGATTCAATACGCATCATCTGGTAGACCGTTGATGCGTTAGGTGGAGTCACGCATGGTTTCCATTTACTAGAAAATAAATTATGATTATTTATTTTATGTGTAACTGAGAGAGTTTAATAAAATGACGCAATTATCTGCGATTCCATACTGATTTATGTTCGACAAATTATAGACAGAATTCCTACTTTGATAGAGTAACACAAAATTTCAACAATAATTATTCAACTGATGTGGACGTATTTCTAGCGAGACAAAATTATTTCAAAAAGATTGTGAATAGTTAATTTTTTAATAATAATAATAAAACCTAATTTAAATTACTTTATATTTTTATCACCTTTTTCTCTGTGCGTATGGCTTTATGCTTAATTTTATACTTCTGTGTTTTTATTTTTATATAGTTTTAAATTAATCTACGGCCTCGATTGGATTAAGTATATTTTATTTGATTTGTATTTGTGAAAACTGTATAAGGCTTATCAATGCTACATCATCTCGTTTTATCCTTAGTTTTAACATGCCGTTTATTTTCTATGAATAAATAAATAAAATAACACCCGTAAACTTACCTATTGGTAGTCTCAATCGAAAGACTTTGGAGGCAAAGACCGCAAGCCAACGGTCCGTCTTTCGAACTGATAGAATCCTCATAACGAATATGAACATTCCTTACGTAAATGTGCAGATTATCTACAATAGCCGTAAACAGATTCTCGAAGAAATTCTGTGGTCCTTTCAAGATCTCGCTCTCTGCTTCTAGGTCTTGCAAGATCTTCCGCTTGGCGGCTCTCATGAGTCTTTTCTCTCTGTCTGGATCGAAGTAGCTGTTGGAGATAGCTGGACCCACGAGGATTAGGACATCTTCGATGTTGACTACCACAGGTTGAGTGTAGAGGCCGGACCACGGGATCTGGAGGTTGATGCGACCGATGGTGCCGATTTTAACATCGATCGGAAGATCTAATTCATACTAGACAACGAAAGGATACTTTGTTAATAAAATATAAGGAAAATAATGAGTGCAGTGTAGTGTAGTGTAAATCCATAGTAGGTATATACATAGTAGGTATATTGCGCGAAAAATGACGCGCAGACATTGTGTTTTTAACAAGGAAATTCCCTTGAAATCGTATGCGCTGTTTAATCTGTTTTAACTACCATATAAATATGGTTTGAGTTAGGAATGTAAGGTAAGTCTTACATTCCTAATTTTTCACAAAAGCAAAAAGTGGCTCTTTGCAAGAAGCCATACAAAGCCTATCAAAATCAGTTCAGTCGTTTAAGCGTAAAAGTTAACGATCAGAGTAACAGAACTATCGTATTGACAAACATGAGGACAAACAAGGTTGATAGGTCGATGGCGTAGCCGTACCGCATTCAGCTTACGATCGTGAGAGTTAAGGAACTTTTGCAATGACCGGCAATAGAATGGGTGCTCATAAATGTATTATCTCGAGTTCCTCTGGGGTCATGTATGACCCATTCAGCGCGCCAGCAGTAAGACGCAAGCAAGGGCGACGCCAATTTTTTTGAGTGTGTAATGCTGTTGGTCGCAGATCACTTTTACAGCGTCATCGGGTTTGGGGACGGCGAGATCGAGAGCTCGATGGCGCAAGTGGTTAGCGCGTTCAGCTGCGATCGTTGAAATTAAGCAACTTTCGCAGTGGTCGGTCATTGGATGGGTGACCAAAAATTACTATCTCGAGCTCCTCCGTGCTTCGGAAGGCACGTTAAGCCGTTGGTCCCGGCTGCATCTGCAGTCGTTAGCACCAACCAAACCGCACTGGGCCCGCGTTGTGGGTCATGGCCCAATCTCCCTATTCCATCCATAGGGAAGGCCTGTGCCCCAGCAGTGGGGACATTAATAGGCTGATAATGATGATGATGATGATGAGATCCTAAGGGGACCTCAAGTCTAGAATTGGCGATTTCCTCTAGAGGAAATTCAGTCGGATGGCATCTCCCCACGGGGGGAGGCTCCTCTCCGTCTGGAACCTCTAGACCAGTCAAACCTGATAGGGTCGGCTCAACTTGAGGGCGTCTCCGAGACTCAGGCCTCGGTTCAGATATCACCCCCCCCCCCCCACCCCCCAAAGTGCATAGTCCACTCATTTGACTTGCTTGCCTGAACAAACAATTCGGCATCCTGCACCTCGAAACTATTAGTATTTTTAAATCACTCCAATCCCAACTGAGTTTATTTATACCCTTAGTGTCGCCGCACACGGGCCACCGACCACAACCACAAAACGCCGCCACCGGCATATTTCTTGTAGTTTTCATACATTTTATATGGACTCGCCACACACGGTACACCGGTGACCGCCACACGCTACAAATCGTCGTTGCTCGCTTCTTGTGGCCCGCACCGGCCACTTAATGCGCCGATACAAAACGCCGCCACACGTCACTCGCGCGATTCCCCACCCCTCTCTCCCTTACCTTAGTCGACCGCTGTCGCTCGCTTCAGCCACTTTAGTAGCCACTTCTAGCTTCTCATGGCGGCGTTTGTGGCTGTGGCGTGTGGCCCGTGTGAGGCGACACTTAAAACCATCCATTTATGAATATGAACTTGCCTCCCCTTAGGCCATCATTAACGCGTATACAATTTCACTCCATTCGTAAGAGGTCCGGGGCTAGTTTTAGGGGCCTCCACTCCACCACGTTGCCCCAATGCTCCCCACCACCTTTAAATAAGGCCCTGACAGTAAGGGCAGCATAACATTAAAATACCTAAACTTTTACGTCGAATCTCTTATCTAATAGACAAGTCCGTCCGTCCGTCCGTGGTGCTGTTTCAGCGGCCAAACCGTAAGAGATAGATAAAGAGAATGTTTAAGTTATAAGTTAAGAATAGTCTGATAAGACTACAAACCGGATGTGAGTAACGTAGCACTTCCGGTTTTCGAGAAATCACGTGATTTCTATTTCAAACGAAACCACACAAAATCTCCGAAGTTCTCAATTAATGAAATACATTTTTTTTTTGGTGAACATGTGGTTCACTGGTTTGCTAGTCTCTTATCTAATAGACAAGTCCGTCCGTCCGTCCGTGGTGATGTTTCAGCGGCCAAACCGTAAGAGATAGATGAAGAGAATGTTTAAGTTATAAGTTAAGAATAGTATGATAAGACTACAAACCGTTTTTTTTTGGTGAACATTTGGTTCACTGGTTTGCTAGTAATAAATATTGGTACAAGCTCACCAAGGCTTCAGGCTTGAGCTTGAGGTCAGTGAGGTTGACGTTGCCGGAGAAGATGCCCACGTTGAGGTTCTCCGTGTCCAGGTCCTGCACGTACTTGCCCAGCAGCCGGTTCAGGATGCCGGCGACGGCTCCCTCAAACATTGTTGCGGCGGTATTGGGTCACGCGGATCTGTAGGCAGATGCTGGCTTATAATTTCCGGGACATTTGCACCCCCTTAAATAAAACATCAAATCAAAATATAGGTCAGTGACAATTGCCTTTAAATGGCTTCTGGCGATCAATGTTTGGAATTAAAAACGCTTTATATAGCTTCTGTCGCCCCTCGCAGCCCAATTCCAAATAGATCCCTGAACGTAGATGTATTTATAGTAATATTGTGAAAAAAACTGGTATTCAGGGTTTTCGGTACAATAAGGTCTAATTACTGGACACGGGATAAAACGCAAAATTCCAGGATAATCCTGGATTTCCCGGCCTTCTGGCAACCCTAGTAGGTAATCATTAATTAAGAGGCCACTTGCACCTACTACATTCTTAATTGAGGCTTTTCATTTCTATTCTAATACTTAACGGTCTGTTTCACAATCTGTTAGTGAAGCTCTAAGTAAGCTGCTTCGAACACAAAGGTGCCTTCAGATTACGCTATATAATGCGATTCAACTAAGAATAGGACCGACTGGGCGCCATATTTTGACGTCATAGCTGTCAATTCAAACCAAATAGGTAGAGTGAGCAAAAAAATCTATTTAATAAAACTTATTTACTTAGATTAAGTGAGAAGAAACATCAGATTTTTCAATAAAATTAATTTACTAAGATTGAAAGAAAAAAACAACCGATTTTTAATAATATTTCTATATTAAGACTGTGTGAGAAAAAACATTAATCAGAATCCAGCTCTTCAATTCCGCTTATCTCTGCATTACCGCCGGAGTAGTTATGAATAATCATGCAAGTCACATACGAACATGCATCCTTTAAGTAAACGAAAGTTTTAAATCGTGTTTCTGAACGCAACATAAAGTGTCACTTGTTTGACTATTTAGGTTATCAACCATTCATAGCCAAAACTAAATAAATAAAAAAAAATATCATCCAATATTAAGTAACATTATTTGTTTAAAAATGTTTGATTTTTATTCTAGAACTAGTGGCCCGCCCTCGCTTCGCTTCGGTGTAGAGCTGTAGTGTAAACTATAGTTTTTGTTCTCAGGCTTGTGCTATAAAGAATGACTTTATTTATATAATTACACGTGTTATTGTGAGTCAACCATAAAAGATAGAAATATGCTGTTGCGTGATATTTTTTAGACAATTTTATGTAGAATATTTCCGTCATACATGATTTCTATGTAACTTTAACCATTAAGGCTGCACCCGCGACGGAAGCTTAAAAAATGGAGTAACTTCTCCCGTTTTCCCAACATTTCCCTTCACTACTCTGCTGCTATTGATTGTAGCGTGATGAAAAGTATACTATAACCTGCCCAGGAGTATGAAGAATAATTGTACCAAGTTTCGTTAAAATCCGTTGAGTAGTTTTTGTTTCTATAAGGAACATACACACAGACAGACAGACAGACAAAAATTTTACTGATTGCATTTTTGGCATCAGTATCGATCACTAATCACCCCCTGATAGTTATTTTAAAAATATATTTCATGTACAGAATTGACATCTCTACAGATTTATTATAAGTATAGATTAGCCGAGTGCTAAAAAATTGTTCAGCGTTTTTTTTTTTGCAAATTGTACTTTACAAGAGACTTTTGACAGATGGAGGTCATTGGCTTTCCTATTCTTATTTGAATCGCATTTTATCTTATAACTCATAGCACGATATCGCGTACCATACATTTACTGTATAGAACACGGTCACACCACGCTAGTACGATATTGGAGTCGATTCTGGCGTGATTCTCTAAACTTAAAACTAAATTTAACATCAGTCTCTCCTTTTTATTCTGTATAGAGAATGACAAGGATACACTGTTGTCAATTTTAAGTTTAGATTTAGAGAATCGTGCCTGAATCGACACCATTGTGTGTGCTTCCTTGCTACGTTGTAAGTAAGTAGGATCCGAGTGATTTTAAAGCTGCTCGTGCATAGAGGTATAGATAATTTTTTGGAAATTCTCTGCGTAACTTTCGTGACGAAATTTGATATTGGATTTTTAGTAAGTATAAAATTATTAGGTACTTTAAAGAAGACGCAATAATATGAAAATTAATTCATAATTCACAGAGATATTTAATTTTGATTTCTTTGTGTCCATCAAAGTTACGAAACGAATTTAACTAACATTCACTAACTGCAAATACGGGAAACAATTGCCAAATCTCATGGTTTCGCACGGTTGATAAAGTTTTATCCTAGATTAAATTAACTGCCGAAAATCACTATATTTATGAGTATGTGTAAATAGTTTATTACATTTTCTACATATTATGTGTGTATATATTAAAAACAGACAAGAGAATAAGAAATCAAAATTATTTTAATGCCCAAATTAATTTTCATTGATATTATCTACAATTACTATTATATTATTTATTTACTATTTCAGTGAACAACAGATCAATGTCTCTGTTCTCAATTTGAATAGCACGCCTTCTTGGCGCCCGATGGAAAAACACGGCCAGCTAGATTTAGGCCGGGACTCCACCGAAGCAGAGATGTGTGCGGTTTGCTGTGCGAGAAGAGATGTTTTTCAGCTCGGGGGACTCCACTAAAGCTGAGATGTGTGCGGTGTTCTGTGTGCTATGCGAGAAGAGATGTTTTACAGCTCGGGAGCGAGGCGTTGAGTGCTGAAGCGAGTTGCTGGTGGGCTAGAGGGGAGAGGGTGACATCGTTCACTGCACGACGCTCACATCTCTCGTCTCCACTGCGCGTCGTCCGCACACAGCCCACGTCTCCGCTTCCATCACGCAATACAAATATTACACATCTCTAGATGCACTACACTATCTATTGTCACGTAAACGTAATTTAAACTCAAATAAAAATGATAAATATTCAAAAACTTTTGATTATATACGTTTTTTTACTATATCCCGCTTTCGACGTAAGAATCCCGCTTTTTTCATTCAAAAACTTCCTAAATCCGGACTTGGCAAAAGAATCTGGCAACGCTAATATCTCCACTGAAGCTGAGCGGAGAGGAGATGTGTCAATAGCACAATTCTATTGGTTGTTTAAAAATCATCTCCTCTCCGCTGGTCTCGTCTCCGCTTTGGTGGAGTCCCGGCCTTATACTGTCTGAATTAGAATCTGGATTCATAATATGAATTTGTATTATCAGTGCATACGGAATTCCATACAATTTCACTACTATCCACACACAATCTGACAAATTCGTAATCTGAAATTATAGTACTCTTTGACTAATCGTAGATAGGTATGCAACATACTATACTGTACAGGGAAATCCCCTTAAATTTAATCAAAATAAGTACTGTACCATCTTTCCAATTTCTTGGTATTATGTTAAAAACTTATTGTTGATTGATATCTTTGTTCAATGAGTTATGTATAAATAAATATACTATAAATACTCTTAGATACGATTGCTAACTAATTCACTACTAAGTACTAGCTTCTACAAGATTGAACAGCTTTTGTAGGAGTGATTTCGTGAAATGGGACGGAAGTTTGTAACAGGAAGTCGCGAAAGCGCACGCTATTTGCTTTGATTTTAGAACATAATGTTCAAATGGCTTGTTCCTTTTGTAGTAGTAGGTTTTATTTCTTATTTTACTAATATAAGGTGAGGTTTCAAATTTTACACATCATACGCGACTACTGTAAAGCTCGCTCGATTTTTTTGAAGTGAAAACTTCTTTAGCGGCGTTGTACACTTTTTTTTGTATGGGTAAGAAATGTTATCCTCGCGTCAGGTTAAACACGTGGGCTGATCTGAAATCTGACGAAAACAATAAAATTGGAAAGGTTGTTGACTTTCAATATATTGGACGAAACATAGTAATATTTTATTTTATCATATTATAATAATAAGTCTCTCTCTCTAGGACGTCCACGTGGCAGCTTTATTGCGAAGAAAATGCATTTTTTTTACAATAGATGTCGCTAGGTGCGCTTAAATGTGATTCATGTAAGTTTACTTCTTTACAATAGACGTCGCTAAGTGCGCTTAAACGTGATTCATGTAAGTTGATTTTTCTGAGAGATAAACTTTTTATGTTTATGTACGATAGCGCAATAAATAAATATTGTATTGTACCACATACATGATAGTACTTTTATACTGATAATTAAAGCAATTCGTGCAAAATTATTCCCTAACCATTCCAAAATATCAACAATGATTCAAGTTTTCACTTCTGCTGGCACTCCCGGAGTGCAAGCCGTCGTTTTTTTTTATTGACATTTCGCATCCTTTGCAGGAATGCATCGTCGGAATCATCACTCCGACGGAATCATCATTCCGACGACGCATTCCGGCAAAGGATGCGAAACGTCAATAAATAAATAAAATCAATGCATCTAACCCGTTGAAACTTGTTTTATTTGTACTACTTACTTAAAACTACCTTGTTATTATGTTTAGCAATTTGTAAGTGTGTTACGTTGCTTGTTACTAAAATGAAAGTAGGTACCTACTTGCCTGGACGGTCAGCTAAAATCCAATTTTTTGTACACTAAACTTGGAAAACGGAGTACACACTTTGAGTTACCTATCCTGCTAACATTATCTTACGAAATATATTCGTCGTCATAATTTCACTTTGCCTAATACTTATTTATTGTAAATTATAAACATTCCACGAGCAAAACTGTTGTAAACAATAACAAACACTAAAAATACTAAGTAGTTAAGTACAAAACAATTTCACCAGACTCTTTACATCGTAAATGCGATTACAAATGATGTTTGACGATAAACTGCACTCGAGCAGAGGATATTTATTAAATCGTTATCACATCGGACCGTGCTATCTACAGATAAAGGGGGGCGAGTCGATGGGTCGTGCCTAGAAAGCGCGAAATTTTTCGTTAAGGATATAAACGAACATACAACCGACCAAGCAGAGGCAGGTTTTTAGTATTACAGACCACTTACGATTTGTAACCCTTTGCCTCCCCCCTCTCCCCCCACCTAGAATTAGTAAACCAAATGAAAATATAGGGCAGTAACGAACAACTTTATATGGTTTCTGCCGCCCTGAGCCATGGTCCTTTTGGTCCTTGTCTCTAGGGTAAATAAATATGCCCCTGCGACCAAGTGCATAGTGGCCTCCGTACTCTATGGTGGCCTCCCGCACGGGGGGTCCGCACAAGCAATGAGTTAATATTCAGTGATTGTTATTTTTTTTTTTAAATAATAAATAAATATTTCGAACTCTCACACCAATTAGCCTATCCCCAAAGTAAGCACTTTGTTATTGGTTAAAAAGAACAAAAAAGGCACGCACAAAAAATACACATAACCTATACACATATTGACAAAAGAACTACACCCTTTTTTAAAACACATCTATCTACCTATTCAACTGGCGAACCTATCAACGTGTACAGCCAGCCTTCTGATTGATCCCTAAAAAGGTAAACAAACATTTAGTAGGTATATAATAAAAAAATATTGGAATAGGGTAAGGCGGGGCACAGTGTTACACGGGGTACAATGTTACAATGCACATTTCTCCGTCCCTTTCTATTAGTTTTATGATGTTGGTAAACACGTATGTCAAGCTCACAAGCCGCCATGTTTGAACCGTTGTTTCTGCCACAGTTTGTACCGCGCTTGAAAATTAACAAACAAAAATTGTTTTTGTGTGATTAAACGTCGAAAAAAACGGTTAAATTTTTTTAATTTTTTTCCGGTTTTGTTGTATTGAGGTAAATGTTGATAATTTTCTTTTCTTTAATGTTTATTTAGCTACATATTACCGTTGAATTATTTGTTGTAAAATAAACTAATATATTCATTTAAATTTTTCAATTTGGTTTGCCTCTCTGGGGCACTGTGTTACGGGGCACTGTGTGACACTGTACTATTTCAAGGTATTAAAAAAAATGGTGCGAAATACGATTTCGCACCATTTTCCGTCTTCCTCATACGGAGGAAGACGGATTATGGTCTTCGCAGTAAAAAAAGATACGGCAGAAGCGATTTTGATGGTTCAAAGTGGTGTTAGTCTTCGAAAGGCAGCAAATGAAAAGCACGTAAGTTTTATGACATTACAAAGATTGCAGAAAGAAAGACCAAACGTCAGACTAATGTCTATACTTTTCCAAAAAATATTTTGAAGAAGTTTAATATTTATTAGAAGTTAAATCCTTTTTCTCATTTTGTTAATTTCCTATTATTTTATGTTGTAACATTGTACCCTTACCCTGTAACAGACTACCCCAGATACGGGGCTCAGTGTTACAATCGACTGATTTAATTAAAGTGCAATTTAAATTTAGTAGTTCCTAATAATGTTAATCTTTGAGCTATTTTAATTATAGAAAGATTGTTAAAGTTTATTGTCATACCAAAAACTAGCTGATTAAAACAGTATTTTTATCATTATATTTCAGTATATTTTTTTGTAACACCCCCATCCTACCCTACTCATTCTCCGCTAAATTACAACTGCATCAAACAAACATTAATTGTAAACCTAAATGATTTTCTGAGATTGGTTATAATAGGAATCAATGAGATTATCGCGATCGACTATTATTATTAATTATTTATATCGACTATTTAGTCGTTATAAATTAATAATAGTAATAAAAATATCAATAATAAGCTATCTTGGTCAACGGATCAGACTTGCCACCAACGCGGCAATACACCATTCCTGATGGCGGCACTGGGGGTGATATATTTTGTATTTTGTAAATTATTTATTTATCTAAGTAAGTAGGTTAAGCTATATAGTTTTTAAGTTTGTATTATTTTAATGTATCTCTATCTTATTTCAATAGTTATGCAATTTAAAATTAAATAATAAGTACTTAGTATTGTTATTTTTCTAAGTAATGAACCAAAAACGAAGTTGTTCATTATTATCTTCGCACTGGCAGCCGCACATGGTAATCAAAATTTCTTCCAATTCCTGTGGTTTTCTTTTATTAGGTTCTCGTATTCGGTATTTATTCGCAACCAACGTTTAAACATTTTGTTTCAAGGCAGCCGTCAAAATGTTATTACCGTCCCGCAAGTATCAATTAATTAACTAAGCTGTTGGCGAGAACAGTTAAGGAAAGTAGGTAGGTATTTTGAATTGATTGGAATTCTATGGTCTGGTGGTTAGCGCGTCTGTTATCGTGGAAGTAAAGGAACTTTCGCAATGTATAGGTAGAGAATGGGTGACCTAAAACTTATTATCGCGAGCTCATCTGCACTTCGGAAGCTACGTTTAGCCGTTGGTCCTGGCTGCATCTGCAGTCAGTAGAATCCACTTATCAGCAGCCCGCGTTGTGAGCAGTGGCGGACTAACAGGGGGGCGGAAGGGGCGGCCCGCCCCGGGCCTCCAATCTTGGGGGGCCTCCAAATGCCTCCGCGTTACCCTGATCAAATCCTAAACAAGACTTTTAAAATGTGCTTAGTACCTACATAATTTCATCAAGATCAAAACTCTACAGTAATCTAGACTTTTACGCGGTACTAATATTTTTTTAACTTTACTGAACGCGTCCAATACGCTGGGGGAGTTCCCGTCTTTGTAGCGGGTACTTCCTCAGGAATCGCTGAATGAATGAAGTGCAAATAATTTACTCTAGTACGCATACATTTACATTCACTACATTCTATTTAAGTCTAACAATCTTTGTGGTCTCCAAAAATGAGTCTGGAATCACCAAACTAAACTCCTTGAACAATAATTAAGTTGGTTCATCAACATCAAGAAACCAGGAAAAGTGAAGGTAAAAAGAACGATGCCGGGTGAATCAGCTCATGATGCTGGATTATTAATTCAAAAAGAAATACGTCGATCAATGTATGAATGCATAGACCGCTTTATACAAGAATTTTCGAATCGGGCTATTAAACAAAACAAAAATATTTTCCAAAATAATGAAACAAAGTTTATGCTCGGAGCTTCAGATGTCGCTCTGGCTGTAGCAGTTGACAATCTGATACAAAGTTATGGTAAATTTGACAAGACTGGTTTTAACGAAATAAACATAAGAATCTACATTTTTTTTAAAGCTGGGGCCCTCATTTAGCTTTGCCGCCCCGGGGCTCTGCCGGGCTTAGTCCGCCACTGGTTGTGAGTCATGGGCCCAATTTCTCTATTACATCCTTGTGAAAGCCCTGTGCCCTAGCAGTGGAGATATTAACTATAGGGTGTATTCCGAAATATAAAATGGCCAGCGTACTGGTGTTTGATTCGGAATACACCCATAATGATCAAAGATGGCTTCGATGTGAAGCAGTGTTGCCAGCCGATTTTGGCGGGACGTCCCGATTTTTAAATCAAACAAGCTCAATTCCGCTTTTCGCGAATAACTCGACCGTGCATGCAGCGTACTGAGAAAGCGCAGGCGGGTAGCACAGACTAGTGTGGACTGGCCACCTGCCCGGCGCGTAATTAAGTACTCTCAAACAAAGACTCAAGTATTTAACGATAAAAATCTGAATTAAAATGTCATATTTTTATTAAAATACATGTTCTATGAATATTTTTATTAGGTACTGTAAAGTCCGTTACCTTACAGCCTACTTGTTTGGATAAACTCTTTGTTCATGTAATGCCTACGGCTGGCAATTATACTAAAAAGTTAATGTCATGATTTTAATATTTGAAATTAGGAATCGTCTGTCTTTTGATAGAAGATTCCACATCATATAGACTTCAGGCACCAAACCATACGTTAATATAAGATTAAACTCATATATATTATATTCGCCTAAAATCTAATAAAACCAATATAAAATCAAAGTTGTTTTAATAAATTGCTACGCTCCCAGGGCCTACCCTTTCAGGGTAGATCGCCGCAGTACCTATCTATTGTCACGTTAACGTAATTTGAACTCAAATAAAAATGATAAATATTCAAAAAATTTTGATTATATACGTTTTTTTACTATATCCCGCTTTCGACGTAAGAATCCCGCTTTTTTCACTCAAAAACTTCCTAAATCCGGACTTGGCAAAAGAATCTGGCAACGCTAATGTGAAGCCACGTTGATGGACCATACAATTTTAACGCTGTCAGCGTCCGCAACTCTCAAAGAATAGAAATATGAGCGATTATTTTTATAACTTTGTAAGTGTATTTATTTAGGCCTTCACTCTAGCCCCCTTATTAATAAACTAGGAATAAGCTTAGACTAGTTACGCCATGTGTTATTCATGTCACTCAAATGCCATTTGTCATTCAATAGACAGAGACAAAATATGGCGTAACTAAGTAATCCAAGCAAAGTCTTCGTTTACTAATAAGGAGGTCAATGTAGACAAATCACAATTTACTTCGTTAGTAAGAATAGTGAACCATTTTCAGCAATTTAAATCATAGCTAAAGCACGGTAATAATATCATACAGTAGTCTATCTTCATACAAACGGTCGGAAAGCGAGTCATACCTACGCCACTGGAGTTCGATGTGCTCTCGGCGGGCACCCAGTCGCGAATGCGCCACCGCCCCGCGACGACCGAACGGTCTGAATTGTTTTTTATGCAGTTAGCCGTGCTTAAACGTGCGTTTTGTATTGTAAATATTTGATTTAATTAAGTAGATACCTACATAATTTTGTATAGAAAAGAACAAACGACGATCAATATCGTACAACAGCACAATTGCTGTTTTTGGTTGCTTGAACTCTTCAATAACACACCCAGAGATATCATTTTTTAAATTACCTGAAATATTGGAAATGTGTCTTACCTTTATAGAATATTTTTTATATACCTATCTACTAGTACGTTATTTGTTTC